CGACTTACAGGACTAGTTTGATTTGTATGTTTCTTCAAATGACTTGACATGAAACATTTCAATGATAATGACTCTATCCGCTTTGGACTTCAGGATCTCACGTACTGATTGGAAAGCATCGTCCAGGCGCTGTGACGTAAGTGATGTGAAAATGTCTGCAAGACGCAAGGCTAGATTGCCTTAGTCCATATCAGATACCGAATGAGTCTAGAATCAATTGACCTACTTCTTTCGCGTCGCATTTCAATATTGCGAATCTGAAGTGTACCAGAAATAGTCGGGATAGTAGTAGCTTCACTCAACCAATCCAATATCTTTGGCAACAACATCGGGTTCAACGCGAGAAAAGCCTGTCGGTAATATCCCGCCACTTCTAATTGGCTTTCAATTCTCAGGATCCGGGGTTCCATGCTGGAAACACGGATTTCTTCACACTGAAAAGCTCTCTGTAGGCTTAGTATCATAGACTGCAAATGATAAATTGAGACCTCGGCACCAAACAGTGGCGATTCTTTGAGCCGACATGCCATCGTTGACAGAAAGGTTTGGTCGCGAGTCCAGATTTCCTTGGATTCATATCCCTCAAGTTCACCAGCCTGTATGCCTTGAAAAACATGACAAATCAATGCGACGCTTGCCCTCACTCCAAACGGCCGGTACGGAGGGTGTTCGGTTTGCAAGCTTCCAGCTAAAAAGCTCGACTGAGGGGATGCATTTTGCCCAATAATGAACAATATATACCTTGTTTGGAGCTCTATATCTTCCAATGTTACTGTGTGCAGCCAGTCAGACTCAGTCAAAGCTTCGCGGGCACTGATTAGCCATCTTCGAAGATGACCATTCAGCAAGACAAAGCTCTCTTCCCAGTCACAGCCGCGGCGACATATGACCTTCCACAGAGCGCCTGTATCTGTAGGAAGAATTGAAGAAATGAAAAGGTAACTTAGAACCAACAAGAGTTGGTGGATTGTGGGTGGGCCGTAAATGTTTTTCCCAGCTATGGTAAAATTGAAATTCGGGGGTGGAGGCAAAGCGGTCTGGTTGACAGTCAGTCGTGGGTCTCAAAGCCTCATAGATTGTGATCATTACCGGAGGGGTCATCTGCGCAAACGGCTTTGTTTTTTGAGAGGTTGACAAGCTTCGACCCCGCTCCATAATATCTTCAGCAGCGGTAGGGCCATTTGATTGGGAAAACGAAACTTCCTCCGCCACCGTAGCCGCAACAATATTTGGTAGTATCTCATAGGACGGATTTTGATCTTGCTTGAAATTCGTCTTCTCCAAGTGCTGAATATATTCATCATCTGCACACCCTACGACGTGGTGCATCGCCTCAGCTGTACTCGTTCCATGTTGCAAAGCCTGTTCGGTTGGCGGTTCTTGTACTTTCCATGTAGTTTGGTATTCACCAAATTCACCTTCTTGCACTTGTTTTTGCTGATTTGGCCGTAGCTCTGAGAGAGCAGGTCTCCGGTCTGACCCTTTCATTGCATAAACACACAATTTACCACGCCTGACACAAGCTTGACAATGGGGAACTTCACGATTGCATCGAATTTTCAAACTGCGGCATGATTGGCAAGAACGAAGAGGCATTGTGGTTGGACTGGTCAATATTGCAAGCTACCACCGTTGTATTCCAACTGTTTAAGCGAGACGTGTGGTAGCCATAGGACGCCTGTGGACATAAAAATTGGTGCTAAACTGTCACTCCCGATGCACTGCAGTAGGATATGTCAAACGCTCTTCTCAACGGGCGCAGAAGCGGAAGGCGTATTGCTAAAAGGCGGTTTCAGTTCAGGGCGAGTGGTACTGCGACGCAGAAAAATCCAGCATGTAGGGGCGATTGTTGTAGCACAACACGTTCAAGATAATCTGAAGCTATACGGGTAGAAGTTAGAGAGTCCATAGAAGAGGAAAACCAGAACTTATAGTGTCTGTTGGTTTCAAAGATTATATACAGTAACTCAAGATATGTAGCCAGATTTGATGATTACAGTCCGCTGATTCCGGATAAGCTCCTAGGAAGGGTTTCTTTCGTCCTAGGAGCAACCGGTATGTTTCTCTGGACACCAATCATGCATTCAAAGGCCCGGGGTGACACATAAAGGTTTTTTTCTTTGAGCTGCAACAGAACGCGGATGCCTGGGCTGTCGCATATGCCAGCGACCAAACACCGGCATTATCTATATGCTTGAGCTCTGACAGGAGGAGTTCCTGAATTAGTAGAAATTATGAACAGTGCGCTGGGAGCCGCATTGCCTATCCGGCATTGCTTCAGCTACCCTGGGCTCGGCTTTCTGCTGGAAGCAAAGTTAGAGGTCCAAAAGCCTTGGATTGAAAATCATGGAGCAAACTTCAAGCCATTTCTGCACACGTCTTGCACTTACTAGTTCCCCGCTGTTTCCCTCATCATACTCGCTATACCACCTATAGAAGAATCTCTAAAATATGTCCCCATGAAAGCAACTGAGGTAGGAATCTCGTATATCTTCTCTTTCTTGATGCTGCAGGTCTCTTAAGCGACGGAGAAACGATGACAATGCCAGCTTTCTTGCAGTTCATAGTGTGGTGGTCATTGGTCGACCAGCCGAGGCGTTGGGTCATTGAAGTACAACCGGACTGGCCTACCCTGAGCCAACCCTGAGCCTTCCTTGAGCCTACCCTGAGCCTACCCTGAGCCTACCCTGAGCCTTCCCTGAGCCTACCCTGAGCCTACCCTGAGCCTACCCTGAGCCTACCCTGAGCCTACCCTGAGCCTACCCTGAGCCTACCCTGAGCCTACCCTGAGCTTACCCTGAGCCCACCCTGAGCCGGCCGAGCTTATGTCATCTCAGACGAGGGGTAAAATACCGCGAGTTCCCCGCGTTGTATTGTCATACATGGTCATTCCGGACCATCCCAAACTCACATGTTATGTATGGTAAATCTGAGCATACCGGAACAACTCTGTCGTAACAGGTCATACATAGCACATGGAGCGTTCCAACAGATCCTCCGAATCAACCATATTGTCATTGGTGGGCCATCCTCAATACCGGCTAGCGAGGTTTTTCCAATTTGGGAGCCTGTGTGCCTCTGTACAATATGAAGCCAACAAATTTCGATATTGACCAATGCTATCATCCGCTCTGATTGTACCATTCCAGCAGGAAGTGAATTTCTTGAAACATCTCAACAAATAAAAGTCGCAATGACCGATCGAATTACAGAGCCCTAGTCCTCACGATTTCCACCTCCTATACGTGGTTAGAATCGTTCCAGCATGTTTCAACTACGCATCTTATGCAATTGATCGACCCGTCACATAAAATTCTACATATTCTGATGATTCTATCGGTAGCGTCTCAATGTTGATTATGTCAAGCAATAAGAACAATGGGGAAAGATGGCCGTCTTTTCTTCATTGTTGTGCTCCAGTACACTTTTATTGACCCCTCGCTCCGCCCGGGGAATTCTCGTGAAAATCGCTTGACCACCTCCGACCAAGCAAGGTTTTGCTCGTCTCTAAGCTTCATCAAAAGGCGATCTTCCTCCGGAGACCACCGTAGTCCCTTTCTCGAAGAGGTGTGCGGCGCATCAACCGCTTCAATGTTCAAGCTCGTGTGACTATAGTCGTCGCTTATGTCGTCACATTGGCTTGATGGAGAAGCGGTAGCGGTGTTCGAAGGCGTAGAAGCGCAATGGGTTAACGCACCCTCAAAAAGCCAGGACAGGAACTGTAGTCGGTCTTCGACGGAAAGGGCCGTGAATTGGGCACGAACTGTGGGGAAAGAAAGGCTTGGACGATGAACGGAACTTTTCTTGGGCCGAGAAGAGCCAATCCTTGTATGTCTTTTTCTCGTACCCGAGCTTTTCTTTGATATTGAGGGCTGGCAATCCGTGTCCACCATCCCCTCTGAATTTCGTTGTCTGCGTTCGAAAAATGAGACTTTGCTCTGAGAGCGAATGGATTTCGCGGGACATTCGTCCGGGTTCGTTGCGATGCCGGTGATCCTCGTAGTCGTTTGAGTCGGTTCGACAACCGGAGAGGCATGGTCATTTAGGATTGCAGGATCGATAGTTTGAATATTTGGAAGCTCTCCATGCTGAGTAGGGATTCCAAGATCAACAGTAGGAGGATTTTGACCGACAAAATTCACAGAATCCCAGTTGCCCGATTCCATATCGAGGAGGTGATGCTCTTTTTCCCAATGGATATCATCGGCAAATCGTGTAGAAGCGAGGTCATCTGCACCAAATATGTTTTGTGGTTGCGAAATGTTCTCGAAGTTGACAGGCTCCGGGTCAATAAGAACGGGACTTGTCTGATCTAAGCCCTTCGATTCCCGTCGAGTGGTTTGAGCTTCCGAATGCAACCCATCTAAGCAGACCTCCGTCGGCGGGCGGGCAGGAAGGGGGTGTCGCTCGGGTTTGTGGGAATGAATCTTTTGGTTCTTCGAGTCATAGTCGCTAGATCTGGAGCTTGGCGGACTGGTAGTGATCGAGACTGGACTTGGGTAGCGACAAGTACCAGGGGGATTGCGCAATGGCTGAGCTTTGTCTTGGAAAGGATTCCACGGACGAAACGATTCCAGGCGAAAGTTGGTGTTTGACATGTTTAAAAAGCTAGATGGCTAGAAGAATCCTGAAGGTGTTGCTTTGGGGAGGGAAAGGGGGGTTGGAGGTTGAGTGTGTAGCAGGGTTAGGGGGGAGGGAAAGGGGAACTGATGGATTGATTGAGCCATCGGAAGGATATTGTCATCTCCTTTATAGACAAGGATTTCCCGTGAGATAGCGCAGAGAATTCACCGCGGCATTCAACTCGATCCGTTTCATCGTCATATCAAGGCGCAGAGCCACACCGGTTGCACATCAAGGGGCCGAAGGCCATCGGCAAAAGCTTCCGCACACCTCGGTGGCGGCCTATTGTGACCCGGCTCCACAGTGGTCGGCAGCCGTCTGTAGAATGGACTATCGTCAGCCTTCTGATGCAGTACTTGGCATCGATTGAGACCAGGCTAGAATGCGGCAATTTCGCCATTGGTCCGTATCCCGGCATGGTCGTCCGAAGTCTCGTCGACTGGGTAACAATGGTCAGGAGAAATAGACTATGACGAAAGTCTTACCCCTAGGCAGTCACGAACAAGCGGACCTGCGTGGACGACTGGGGGCTGTACAATGCAACCTCGGACGGTCCACAGCAAATCAGGAGCGTGTGTATTGAGGATTTCTGAGACACTGTTCTCCGGCCGCGCAAAAATAATGCCAGCGAAATGACCGAAGCGCTCAGCAAGAAGGGCTCGCAACAGGAGGTTTTCTCGAGAGCTTCATAGTATAATCAACCGTCGGCAGAGATGCTAGCATCATATTGCACGATATGTCCAAAGACTTCATGATCTCAATGCATCAACTCGCCAGGGATTAGCCCGCGTTGCAGGCAACGCCGGCCAGAACGGGCTCAACGGTGGATCGAGCAGCATCTCCGGTGGAAATGAAAGGGGCGACGCATCAGGTGGCAAGTCAGTGCGTAGAGGTTGACGGGGGCCGAGAGAAAGGGAGTCAGACAGGAAAAAGAAGAGAAAGTGCGTCGACAAAGCTGCGAGGAGGACGAGCGGAGTTTTATAGATGGAGGTGCCGGTTGGGGAACGGTAAAAGCGGCCAGAGGTGGCACTAAACCCGAACGGGGGCGCGGACGAGGCACCAAACCCGAAGGGGCAAGGGGATGGTGGAGACGGGCAGGCGGTCGAGAGCGGCAGGACGGCGGTGCAATGAGAGCCGTTTCTGGCCGCCCGCTCACCGTGTCCTCGTATACTCTCTACTCTATACTCTAACTTATAACTGACTGTTTACTGTACTCTCTTTTGTACTCTTTTCGTCTTGTACTTGGGACCCGCCAGGATCCCTGGTTCTCAACGAGGGTTCCATGGTTGTCCAATTCCTTATATTTGCCTATTCTCCACGCCCAATGTCGGCCCAATGCTCGCCTCCCTATACAAGACCCTGGTATTCCTCTTTTGGTGGACTTTCCTTTTTTTTTAAATTTTCTCTCTCTTCTCATCGACTTCCGGTACCGATAAGTTAAGCGACTTGGACAATGTCACTGTACCCAAGACCCGAAAAGTCGGTGGGGAGAAATCCCTGCAATCCACCAGTATACTGTACAGTGTATACTTACACTAACCTGACCGAATTGCCACTGCAGTGGAGTGTGAGTCAAGATGGAATTTCCCCCCCCCCCCCCTCTTCAAACGTCAAACGGCAGGAAAAGAGAGAGACCGAAAAAAAAAAAACGAGAAGTGGGAAAAGGGAAAAAGAGGGACTGAGCACTGCATGGCATTCGCTGTCTTCCGGCCTGTCGCCCATGTGGCAGGTTATCTTTGGATGTGGTCTTTTCCCCGACACGCTCATTCGTGAGTCATACAGAAGACCATGCATCCTGGCCAAGTCAGTCCTAGTGAGAGGACTCTCAGGACGGTACCAGTACGGAGTTCCACGTACTCCATGGATCATCATCCGAGACTACTGTAGATAGACGGAGCCTTCGGGAACAACTCTCGCGACAGTCGGGATGACATGCAGAGCTATCATCGCCATCCCTTGCGTCGTTAAACTCTCCCCACGTGTGGAAAGAGATGTTGTGCCAATCGACGGGAAAGGTTAACTTATACTTCGGACACGAATCCTCACCATCCGGTTAAGTCCCAATCGAGAGGCTGAAAACAATCCATGCTCCACTTGTGCGGCTCCAGAACTAGAACCCTGGGCCGTTTGGCGCCAGTTCGGGGACAAGGACGGGAAGTCGGAGCAGTCGGGGAGAACCTTTAGGAAGTAGGGCATATCTCATAAGCTTCGGTCGCATATCGACCATCATGCTCGATAGGCTCGTGATAACAATATCCATCCTGATGAATTCATGGAGTTCTCCCCCTCTCTCTCTCTCTCTCTCGGGAAGTAAAAAAAAAAAAGTAGGTCAGGGAGTCACCCCCTTGCGTCGTGATTCTGCAAGATGGCATCAGTCTCTCGAGGACAGGACGTTCACCGCTAGTTCATCAATGCTGATAACGGCAATGGAAGAGGAGGGGAAGCACGGGTAGGACTATTCCTACTTGGGTTCGAGATACTGCGTTAGGGCTGTGAGGGTGGCAGCGGGACGTCTCAAGAAAAATGCTGGGTACATGACTTGCATGTCGAGCGATCGATACTCCGATCGCCCCGTAACAGGGCCAGACCAGTCCATCCTCGCCGTTCTACTGTATACATTCAGAGGGCCAGTGTTGTCTGCCTGGTTTTGCCCCCGGAATCGGGAATGAGGATCATCTGATGTGATACACAGGCGATAATCGGGCGAGCCAATCGCTTTCGGGGCTCCAGATGGATTGTAATAGGCTGTGTGAAGGAGACCGCCCGGAAAGCCTTCCGCTTCATTGGATGTGGTGGCGTCTTCGATCGGGGCGTTGGGATTATAGTTCAGCAGGAAAGTAAATGCGAAGAATACATGGCCTTGGATCAGCGCTGGTGCGTTCCGCTCGTCATTTGTAACCAGTCCCTAAATTACAGTATATCCTATGACAAATCCACGGGGAGGTCTGGCCGGGGAGACGCGGACACCTTAGTTCTTGCGCAGATACAGAGCAATCCATCCAAGCAGCCGATAGACAGTAATGATGCCAATCAGAATTCCAACCCATTTGCCAGTCCGACCAGCGGCATACCCATACTGTTCCAACACCGCATCTCCCCGGATGAGACACTGATCAGCCAAATCAGTGGTATACATACACTGACATCCATCACCGCAGGAGTAAGTCCTCTGCGAGAACTCATTGACCATCATACCCTGGAAAACATATGCCTGAGGAGCAAGTCAGTCGGACAAGAAAATTAAGTTCTGATCATGCGCTGACCTACCTGATAATCGATGTAGTGGAACACATATTTCCAGAACGGATTGAGAATCGTGGGCGTGACCAAAAACCCTCCGACGCTCATCCAGAGTCCGTTGGCGAACGCCACTAGAGCCAAGGAGATCACGAAGTTTGGGAAGATGGCGGTCACCAGAACGACCAGGGACTCGGCGGCGACCAGGTCGAGGAATAACCACATCACCCAAGTGAAGAAGGCTTCCCCGGTGGGTCGGAAGTTGGAGAGCCAATATGAGATGATGGAGAACAGGACGGATATGATGACTGGGAATTGGTGAGTGAGGTTTGAGTGGCAGGGCGGAAGGAGACATACACAGGAAAGGAAGGCCGATGAGAAAGTTCGAGACCATGAAGGGGGTTGCACCGTACAGCCCGTTGGCTCGCTCTTTGGCAAAGGTTGCTCGATCTTCCAAGAAGGCTGGCACGTATGCCACGGCCATGAAAGACATGAATGCAGAGCCGAAGAACTATATGCGTGTCAGTCCATCATCCTTCCCAGGCCTGGTAGTACGCACAATAGCATTGATGAACGGCTGGATGTACTCCTGTGACGGGTGAAGTCGAAGCCACACAGTCCCCATCATGATAGCCAGCCCTGTATCACATTAGCCCTTTCAGACTTTCAGTCAAAGACCATCATGCTCACCTAGATACATCACAATTCGAATTCCATAGGCAACGACATCACGATAGGACTTGATGAACGAACGATAAAGCAGAGCGGAAGTGATGGGCAGCGGTCCAGGTCGAGCCATGTCATCCACCAGTGCGTCGTCTCCATCCTTTTCCACCAACCGGACTCGATCTGCAACCTTCCTATTCACTGCCTCGCTCGCTGCCGACTCTGCCCAGGCAGCTTGAATGACTCGAACGCGTTCCTGGGCCAATTCTTTCGAGCTGTTGAAGTCTGCGCTGACAATATCCAACAAGAACTCTGCCGGGTTAGTATTCGTCGGGACTGGATGGCCAATGTCATCGAAGTAACTCTCCACACCAGGGACCGGACCAAAGTAGCATGTTCTCCCCGCGGAAAGAAGAAGGAGCTTGTCGAAGAGCCGGAACGTCGTGGTTGAAGGCTGATGAATACTGGCAATGATGATGATCTACAATAATCAGTGACTTCCACCAGCTGATCCCTGACGCCTGAAATGACTCACTTGATTAGTCCGCGCGAGCTCCTTTGCATACGACATCACTTCGTAGCTGGCGGTCGAGTCCAGCCCACTAGTCGGCTCATCCAAGAACAGGATCTTAGGACAAGTGATCAACTGACTAGCAACACTCACCCGACGCTTCTGACCACCACTGATACCCTTTCGGATTGGAGTCCCCACTAACGTGTTCGCCTGGTTCTGGATACCGAATGCTTCCAAAAGTGTCTGGATCCGATCCATACGCTGGCGTTTCGACACCGAGCTACAGGAGAATCAAGAGTAAGTAGGTCGCCAGCTAGACCGGAGACCGGGGAAGACGTGAGAGCAAGATGACCTACCTAGGGAGTGACAGATCCGCTGCGAACTTCAACGTCTCCTGCACGGTCAAGGATCCGATCAACGCATCTTCCTGCTCAACATAGGAAGTCATACGCTGGAATGCTTTTGAGTCAACCTGCAAGCCGTTGACATAGCTCTCCCCGAGAACTTTGGCCCCAGATGACGCGGCACGTCGAGCCAACACATTCAGCAGCGTGGTCTTGCCGCAGCCCGACGGGCCCATTAAGGCAACAAGCTCCCCTGTACATCAAGCATCAGCATCCATGCTCAGATTGTAGATCATGGACCAGGATGTGTTACATACCCTGCTGCACATCGCCGGTGATATCATTGAGCAAATCGCGAGACTGTTTCGTCTCCCGATCCTTGACCGTCACTGTCAGACCCCGCCACGAAAAGTCGTGTACGGTCTGGTTCACGAGAAAGTGACCGTTATCATTGCATTCCAAGTCCATCGTCCTGTCCTCATTTGGCATAGGATCGACCATGCTGCGTGCTGGTGCAGGATGTATGGCAGATACGAGGGTATTCGGTTCCAGTCCATCCCAGATTGTTGGGTTTAGCATTTATATGTTTCGATTCCATCGGGGTTTAGCTCAGCTGCAAACATTGCAGTGATTACATATCCCTGTCTAGTGGGCCATGTCCATCAATGGTATTGTTGACCGGTCCGAGGTCCCCGAGAAGTAAGGGCTTGGGGGGAGCTTAGCTAAGATTCCCGCTGATCCCCGGGTTGGAATGCGATGAGACGGCGTTTGATACGACCTTCGGGCTTCATCTAGTTCAGCTTGTTCCATGGCTTCCTGAGAGCCTAGAGAGTCCAAAGGATTCGTACGGGGTTCAGTTGACCTTCGGGGTTCACCAAGCCTTGCTTATTTCATGGCGGAGTCTAGAGGGTCTGAGTCTACCAGGTCAATAGTTCCATATTAGAGGTGCATATTTATCAACGGCTTTGACCGGGGGCGTCGAGGGACACGTATCTGTGGCTCGATCTGACTCCACATTCTCACACCATTGGAAAAACTACGACTCATAAAAAAAAAGCAAAGCGTAAAGGAAAATCGAGTTGTAAAGAAAGAAGCATAATGCCATTTTTATTTGCCCCGCTCTTGGCGCCCAATGCAACTAAAAGGTATAGCTTAAAAGAAAACTGAAATCAAACACCGTCCATATAGTTGATATGAAATTACATGCTGGAAGAAGTCAGTAAAAGATATTTGAAGAACGAAAGGGGAAAAAGACTAACCGCTCAACGGGGTTGAGGCCGAGGATCCGCATGCCGTTGTTCAGAACCTGGCGGGCGGAAGCATACAGGGCCATGCGAGCCTTCTTAACCTCAGGCTCACTGCCGATGACCTTGAGGACATCGTAGCTAGAGCTGAGCATGTGGGTCATGCGGAATAGGTAGCTGAGAACAGTGATGGGCTCGAGAGTCTTGGCCGTGTTCAGGAGCACATCGGGCCACTGAGCCAGAAGACGGATGAGATCAGAAGCATGAGTCTCGGTCAAAAGATCGAAGTTGGCGTCAACGAGGCTGTCAATGTCCAACTCCGACTTGCGGGCCATCGAACAAAGACGAGCGTGGGCGTATTGAAGGTATGGGCCAGTGTCACCCTCGAAAGAGGTCATGGCATCCAAGTTGAAGTCATAGCCGTTAATGCTAGGAGCCAGTCAGTATAATCGGAATCTATGGTTAAGTATGAAAAATAGGTTATGCATACCGCTTGCCAGTCATATCTTGCACCATAACGGAGGTGATTCCGAGGGTATCAGCAGTCTTCACGGGGTCCTCGACCTGCGAGTACTTGGTTTCGTTCTTCTTCATGACCTCGTGCATCTTTTCGCCGACATCCTTGAGAATATCGTCAAGGAACTTGACGGTTCCCTTACGGGTGCTCATGCCGCGGACCATTCCGAAGTTGATGTGCTGGCAGCGAGAGGCAAGGTCCTTGTGACCCATGAGCTCGGTGACCTTGAAGAGCTGAGCAAGATGCAGATCTTGCTGAGCGGCAACAACGTAGATCATCTTGTCAAAGTGGTACTCCTCGTCACGCTCGGTAATGGCACCGATATCACGGGTCAGGTACAGGGGAGTACCGTCCTTGCGGACAATGATAGCCTTGCCGAGCTTCTTGGCGCCGTGCTTGGTGAAGTCAACGATGACAGCACCCTCGGACTCCTCGGAGACGCCGGCCTTCTCCATCAGCTTGTAGGCTGCACTCATGCTCTCGCCCTTGATCTGCGATTCACCGGAGTAGACGTCGAAGTCGATGTTGAGGCGGGCGTAGGTCTGCTTGTACTTCTCGATACTAAGGTCACGGAACTTGCGCCACAGAGCGAGGGCCTCGGGGTCACCGTCCTCCATGCTCTTGAAGTAGCGACGAGCCTTCTCATCCTCGCTGACGTCGACAAGCTTGGCGAGCTGTGCCTCCAATTCAGCAACGTCCTCACTCTTCTCCTTCTTGGCCTTGATCTGCTCCTTCAACTCCTTGATAGGGCCGTCGTGCTCAGCAACAATACGGTTGACCTTGACGTAGACATCGAAAAGATGGTTGATGGGATCCTTGGTCAGATCCTCATCGTTACCGAAGTATTTGAAGCCGTTGGCCAACAGACCATACTGCTTACCCCAGTCACCAAGGTAGTTCATCTTGATAACATTCCATCCCATGACAGTGTAGAGGTTTGCAAGGAAACCACCGATGATGGTGCTGCGCAAGTGACCGGCATGGAAGGGCTTAGCGATGTTGGGCGACGAAAACTCAATGATGATCTTCTTCTGGCCCTTGGAGGGGTCTGAGGGGTCCTTTTGACCTTGGTTGCCGTTTGTACCGTATGCAGCCTTCTCGGACAGGACGCGACCAAGAACGGTCTTGGCCAAGGGTTCGGGCTTGCAGAAGAACTGCACGTGAGGCCCGGTGACAGAGGGTGGGTGAACGAGATCGGACTCGGGGAATTTTGAGGCGAGCTCCTTGGCGAGCTCCATAGGGTTTTGCTTGATCTGGAGGGAAGCGGCCTGTATTCATCAGATACACGGTTAGCTTCAGTCCACGATGGACATGCGACAGCGCGCTTGACGGGCACATACGGGCAATGAAAGGTCGCCCTTGTCCAGAGTGCTGGTCCATGCGAGACGAGCATAGATCTTGGCAGCATCAATGCCGGTGGCATTTCCCAATTGCTCCGCAATGTGCTCACGGTAGATGTCCATGGGGTTCAATGTCGGGAAGCATCCAGCGAACTTGGACTTCTGATGAGTGGACTGGAGGGTAAGAGCCGCCACGGAGGCGGGGAGGGAGGCAGCGGACGCCATGGTGTAAGATCGCGATGTTGCGAGAAATCGAGGTCTTGGGTAAGAGAGTGAACGAGAAAAAAAGGCTGTGAATCGCCGAGCCCCGCTTAGATGACCCATAAAGGAGGGGGAACTGGGATCTTTGCCTTTCTTTTTTTTTTTGCCCGATGAGTCAAGCCGGCGGTGAGTCACGTGGGCCGAGTATCCCTAAGCCATGGGCTATCCATGGCTAGATACACAGTATAGCGAGTGGTGGACTTGTTTAGAAGTAATCTCACCCGAGCAAACCAGGGACTTGACATACGGGATGCTGTGAATGTCCAGATATCTCAAAAAGCCTAATAGGAAAGCCAGAAAACATTCATTGCGTATACTCTATCTCACGATGCAAGTCGGTTGCATATGTTATACAGTATGATTGCACGTATAACTATTTCTCATTCTCCTCTCTGTTTATTTCTCAATTGATTTGTGTAGAATGTTGGCAAGTCGTTCACGGGTGCCATTGTATACTGTTCTTGTAGTGCCCGCGCGGCCAATCACACTGCGGCTATCTGAATGCCTGACGTCACCAGTATTTCTTGATATCTCCTCCTGATGTGCCTATCGATTCTTACCCTTGTGAGTAGTTCATACAGAAGTTAAACCTATCAATATGGGAAATCGTCGCCAAAAATCGCTGTCCAAGTCCATACAGTCTGCGTTGACTCGCGACCCAGACCGCTTCAAGAAGTCTGCCCTCGGCAAGTTAGTAGCCTTCTTTTCTGTGTATCGCATAAAGCTTGTCCGCCATGAGAAAATACTCTTTGATCAACTGCGCCAGGATGTTTGGCAGTTTGATGATCATGATTATAAGGGGAGTTTTCATACAACAAGAGGTCAACCGCCATTGAAGACGATGGGCGACTTGGGCTACTCAGGCTCGGTAAGTAACCATGTTCACAGTATGATAATAATGGCTTTTCCTGATTGAGAATCTAGACATTTTTCTCAACTCTGGATGCACATTTCCTTGTGAAAAGCCTGCCACGACATTTTGAATATTCGTTCTTCGAAGGGGATCTTCTTCGGCCATACTTTGAATATATGTCCCAGCATCCAGACTCATTGCTGGTGTGGATTACCGACTATATCATCGCACCTTACATTACTCTCGGCACCATCTTCGGCTGTACTCCAGCTCGTCATTTAATCATGGAGAACGCCCTCTCTGGTAAAGATGAAGATCCAGCGGCTGAACAATGGGAGACGTATGACTTGAAACCCCTCAACTACTTTTTCCCCGAGCGAGACTTACTACCAGAGCCCCTTGTGAGTGAAGAAACCCTTGGAAAGTTGGCAGATACCTTCAACGACAAACTCCACCTGTGGCAGGCGGACTCCGAGAAATTTTGGAAGTCAATCGAAGACGATACCAAATTTCTTGAACAAGCCAACGCGGTAGACTACTCGCTATTCCTAGTACGAATACCTGCCTCTTCCGCGCCTAAAATTCAAGGACGAGCAAGCCCTTGGAGGATAGGACTGTTATCTGCCGATGGACGCTGGAAGTATCGCGCAGCCATCCTCGACTTCTTTTATGCGCGGCACAAGTTACAAGCACAGGCACTTTCAGGTGTGGTACAGACATTCAATGTCATTGGTAGACAAGGTCCCATGACAATCACAACCACTGCGAGTGATTATCGTGAGAAATTCCTGGCTATGATCACAGACCTCGTTGAGGTTCACTGAGAGGCGAGACTTGAGATCTAGCATTCTATCTTTCTTATTTGATATGTTCAAGAGCGTCCGAGTCAGTAATGACGCGTCCATATAGTTATTTAGATGGTTGCGACGAAGAGCAAGGGCAGAAAAAAGAACCTGACATTCTGAATGCCCTTTGATGAATATGTGACTATGTCTGTTTCTAGCGCCTCGGAATCCAGCAAAACTGCCAAAGATCATGATTGCAGTGCGGGCTCAAATAAAAACGATTAGATAGAGATGCCATTACTGCGAGTAATTGTGATTAAATCATCTCACGTTCAATGTCTCTTATTTGGTTATGTAGACCATTCCGAACAACGCCCTTATGGCAAGTTCAAATCGAAGCAGATTACATGCAAAGTCATAACACCTCGCAGGCCACCGTTTACCAAGGATGAGATAAATCCGAAATGATACGATATCTATCTCGGAATTGATAATTTTGTGGAAAGGGGTGAGCAAGCTAAACATTGAATTCTTTACTTGAGTCGCACAGAACTATACCATCAGCTTCACATTGTCAAACTGCACCTTGATACACCCAAAAAAACGTATTTACAGATGCCCCCGCTCAACTGGGTAGACAACGGCACAGATGTCGCAGAATTGACCGAAACTTTAAGCAACGAAGTGCCGCTGAAGAAGTTTTGTGGGTCGCGAAACTGGATAGGAATGGAGCAGCGCTTCCATGACCGCATTCAATGCGCCATACCCAGGGAAGAAATCGAGAGGTGGAGCTGTCTATTATGGTGGAGTCTTTGCCTTAAAATCTGATTGCCCAGAAATCTCAAATTGCCCACGAGATTGATAAACGCTCCTCCCGAGACATGAAAGACATTCTCCATAGAATACGCGGCTGAGAGAAATCTTCGGAATTCACCATTGTTGGGCTCGGTTAGTTAAAGTTCAATTCTGTCGTCGATATATTGCCCTAGCCTCGTGTTCATTAAATTCTAACTTAATTTAAAGGCCAAATTGCCTTTCCCCATAATCTACTCTGTGGCACTTTGACCGCGACACGTTACCTGCTAACCCTAATTGCCATCAGGGGTAAGAAAGACCCGATGCATTGACCGCCACGAAACCCTGAGAGACACAGCAACACCGCTGCAAAAGATCTTCCGGGCTCAGCTGCCTATTTCTCCCAAGATCGACCGGAGAGACGAGTTGCCCAAGGAGGTTGGGTTAGGCACTATTGAACAGGTTCCCTACAATGACAGCGATCGGCAAGTCGGCAGTCTACTATGTCCGGAAAGGTGCCGTGAGGGTAAATATCAAAAACCACGAATATACCGGGTTTTTTACAAGTATTGGCCCATCCCGCTGTGTCCAACACAAAACTAGTGGCGTCCTGAACCAATGGATGTAAACTGTAGCATGACCAAGTTTGCTCTGAAATCCCCACTTGATCGGACTAGGCCGCCTGCGAGTCGCCAATTAAGCCTTTCGTTCCTGTCTGTCCCTCTCGTTCTCCACTATACACTTGTACAAATTGGATTTAGTCTGTGCATTGCGGTGCATGGTGTGTATGTAGGTGAACGCGATCCGCGGACGGGGGGCCTCCGCTTTGAGCCTCGGGTCCGACTGTGCGTAGTGGTGTGAATACATATAGGCGTTGGTGCTGTACGCGAATGGGACTCATTCCGGTCTTTACCTGTCCTTTGTCACTCCTTCGAGCATGGGTCTCCATGAGAATTTCCCGGCGTACGGTGGTCGCGGGCCCAGCGACTTACGCTTGGGTATTGCTTTGGGTACGGTTGCGACCATTTTCATGGTGTTGCGGATTTATGTTCGTCTTCGTATGAACAAGTTTGGAACCACCGCGTTGATCTGGTCTCTTGTCGCTTGGGTATGGTCACTGATCCATCTCCATGGTCTCTGTATTAACAGGGGACAGTTATTTACTACACTCACTCAAATATTCGGTATCATTTCGGTTCTCCACGGCCTAGGGAATCACATCACGATTGTCCAAGAGGTCGGCGAACTACACAACTTCCTTCTATTCACATGGATCACGGTCTTTTTCTTCAACATGGCCATTCCGACCGGCAAGGTCGCGGTGGCTGCATTCTTGATTGAGATGAACTCACAGAGCAGTAAATATGATCCCTTCCTCCTCGTCACTAGTTCCCTAGTAAAGCTCACCCTCACGTTCTATAGACCCCAAAATCCGTCGCAGCCTTATCGTCGTCGCAGCTCTGAATATTCTCGTCAATATCCCGCAAGTCCTTCTGGTCTGGTTCCAATGCAGTCCCCCGAATGCACTATGGGATCCGTCCCTCCAGAGCCAATGTGATCACCGCAAGAGTGTATATTATACCTACTTTGTCGGTGCCGTGGCCGCCATCTCCGACATCTACCTTGCAGTCATTCCAATCACAATGCTGGTCCCCCTCCGTATCGACAAGAAACTGAAATGGGGTCTGAGTTTCCTCATGGGATGCGGTGTCTTCGCCGGCGCCGCGGCAATCGTCAGAACATGGGCAGCCAAGTTCATCATGAGCGAAGACTCATCTTGTAAGTCGCAGCATATCATGCTCAGCCGGCACATTTACTAACATCAGACCAGACGGCGTGGGAACCCTCTTCTGCTGGGGTGAAGTGGAAGAATGGATCGTTCTCATCACCATGTCAATTCCACCAGTTTGGCCACTCGTCCGCCCATTGACGCATCACTTCATCAAATCCACAGCCAACCGCAGCCACCCTCAATATAAGCAATATGATTACTATGGAAACTATGGCTCGACAACTCGAGGCAACCAATCTATTGCGCCGCCTATTGTCACGACTACTATTTCGATTTCTTCTCGGAAGGGTGGTCCGATGTCTGCTACAACGGCCGGTCCATCTTCTTCGATCGACTCGCTTTCGAGATTTGGAGAAGATGAGCCTGAGACACCGCATACTATCTTGAGTCATAATGGTGATCCGGAGGGCTGGGTGGAGATGTCTCATTTCAAGGAACAGAATCGCACTTGAATTAGTTGCTCTACTATACCTATTTACGTTTTAATGTCACACTCTCTTTAAATTGATTGGAACTCAATAGCCCCTATGCTGGGATAAACACGCGCCAGATCAATCCCTGCACGACATCAGTCGCATCTTAGCGAGCTGAAATTAGCGCTAATCCTGCGGACAGGGATGCAATGTGCTAGCGTGGCATAGCCTCGTATCCAGTGAGTAGCCAAATTTCTAGTGTAGATCTAGTGATGGGGAAATAATGGAACAAATCATTATTCATTAGAGTAAAAAAGTCGTCACAATCAAGCAGGTGAATGTAGTATTTGTGTTCAATGGTCGTCGTGGCTTTATGATCTATCAACATTCTTGGCCCCAAGCCACTAGATCCATCGAAGAATTCCCTTTCATTCCCATTGGTCTATGAGGTGAAATTCGGGATGGATCTCGCATATTCACATCGATCGCGTGTCTCAGCCTGGTTCATTTTAACGAGTCAAACACTCGCGAGCCTTATTGATCGGGCTGAGTCTAGAACATACGTATGCTTTACAGCTCCGTACTCCGTAAAAGTATCTAAGTCACTACCGTATGCCTCTGTCGTTCTTTCTCAAGGGCATCTTGCCAATTGCCTAGGAAGCCCACCCTCCCCCTTCCCCGTACAGTAGATCAGCCTATCGCCAGGAATTGCGAGTCATACAGTATGTGGGAAGAAGATTCGTCAAAGTGGGCGGTGGACTATATTATGATCAGCCTTGGTTCTTTAAGTCCTATTCAAATGAAGATGCGCAGAAGTAGAATGAAAGAATCTTATTACCCTCAGGCTAAGCCCACTACATGTTTTGTAGTATGGCCTGAGGTATCACGTTATAGCAGATGAACCCTTCAATGCAGTACTGAGAACAGTCGATCGGGGGAAACCGTCTGGTTTTTTGGATTCTTCTTATCGAAGTCAATTCCCCGTCAAGTGCGACTAGAGAATGTTAATACGAAACTAGGAATTGTCGACAGGCGACTCTATAGGATACCTCGATCACCCCTCGGGACTACGTTAGGTCAAGCCATATTCTAGACAAGGAATGTCAGTATCAGTCGAAGCGAACCTACAAGTCTCAAAGAATAAAAGAGCTTCGTCTAGAGGATTCAACCTTATGCGTCATCTACCAAACTAGAAACGATGGATCTTTCGGCGTTTCCTACCGAACTATCTGTCTCTCGCAGATTTGCTCACTGATTCATTCTCCGTACGCCGAATTGTAGATCCGAGATTGCCGAGAAGCTCAGCCCTCGTCCCATTAGAAGTAGATTCCCGTTGATTTCCTGGATTTAACGGCATACACTCCGAAGATGTCAATCAAGGAGAGCAATAAGTTGGAATGCTGATAGATCAATGTCAGCATTGATCTACTCTCAAGTACTGAGCGCCACGTCCAGGGCAAGCATGGCACGTGGCGTGGCGTGGCATACGTTACAGCGGCTTTCTGCGCATCGAGACGACCGGTAAAGGAGAATTTGTACAGTCAATGATATTGGATAGAGATATAGAATCATACCTGGATAAATAAATCGGACATATTCTAGGAGACATCCTTTATCGCCTCGCTGGGGTCTCTAGCCACCTCTACAAACTATTCCACACAGATATACACCAATGAGCTGCTCCGCAGCTCACCCTTCCTGTATTCAACTCACACCAAAAGCAGTAGCACTTTGAGAGTCGTATTTCTTTTTGATTGATCACCCTAGAAGCAGAAGACCTGGTCCTCGAGCTTGCTGACAGGGCGGGCCTTGGTGTATCCAAGAGCCTCGGTGGACTTCTTCATGGCGCTGACCATGGGAGGAGGACCGCAAAGGAGGATCTTGACATCGGCAGCGGGGGCGGGGAGGCGCTCCTGAAATCTAATTAGTACGGTTACAGTGACACAACCCGGGTGCACAGCATACCTTGATCATATCGGGGGTGACGAAGCCGACACCACCGGTCCAGCCCTCGGGAGGGTTGTTCAGAACGTAGTAGACGCGGAATCCATCGTCTTCCTTGGTCAGCTTCTCGAGCTTTTCCTTGAGCAGGATGTCGTCGGGGTTGACGTTGGCGAAGATGAGGTCGACCTTGGTGGTGTCGGTTCCACCGTTGCGGGGGCGGTTACGAATGATGGCCTCGATGACTTGGAGCATGGGGGTGATACCAGTTCCTCCGGCGATCATACCAATGTGGCGGCACATGTTGGGGGTGTAGACCATGGCGCCCTTGGGACCGCGGACCTTCATGGTGTCGCCGACCTTGAGGTCGGTCAGGTACTTGGAGATGTTACCCTGGGGGTAGGCCTTGACCAGCAGGTCGAAGTAACCCGCCTCGTTGTCGGACGAGATGGGGGTGTAGGAGCGGACGACTTCCTTGGGCTGACCGGCGATGGTCGCGGCGAGGGAGATGTGCTGGCCGATGGGGAGACCGAGGATATCGGTAGGACGGGGGAGGGCGAAACGGTAGATGCAGACATTGTGGGAGATGTCATTCTTCTCCTTGAGAACAAAGTCCTGGAACTCGGTGGGATTCAGGACCTTCCGAGGGGCCGCTACACGGGATTAGCTCAATTCCTCGAACATTCGCTGACGGGTCACAAACAGGTCCTGAGGGCCAAAAAGGCCGAAAGAACAGCCGCCGCCGCGACAGCATAGGTGACGAATTCGGGCTTGACGGCGTAAACACCTGCGACGAGCAGGATGGAGGGCGCGAGGGCCGTTCCGATAGTGGCGAGACTGAGAATCAACCCGAGATTAGACAGGAACAGACAGGACCAGACAGCGACCAGAATCCCCAAACAACTTACCTCATGGTGAAACTGCAGAAGGTGAAGAAGAAAGAAGGAAAGAAAGAAAGAAGAGTAGAAAGTCAGAAGCGGAGAGCGGAGAGCGGAACCCCAACGGATTTCAATACCCTTTCGAGTTTACCCCGCGGATTGTTTTTCTTGTTGGACTCAAGAGTGAGGGCTATTGGGCATCGTGATTGGAGTCAGGCTGAGGGTTTAGTTCATGACTGTGAATCCGGCGTCTGTGGTTCTATGATGCCTGCGTTCAATCTCACCGCGTTGGATCGCCAACTCTTGGCCATGACCGACGAGGAATTCGTCGACCACGACTGGGAAGATCTTCAAGATATCATCGGTAGGTCTACGTCTCCTCTGATTTTCCATTGGTCCATGTATATAATTCCCCCATAGCCCGGAATGATCTCGGCGCCCTCAAGCGGAAGCCTTCCGACCTACGCCGATATCTAGCGTGGAGTGCAGACACCAAAGCCCAATATGGGTCTATCATGAATTACATTTGCCAACAGCGACTCCAGTGGCAAATGCCGTTGGAGACTGCCGATCTGGCTATGCAACGGCCCTTTGCCTTCAAGAACCCGCGACCCTTTGCCGATCCCGAGGACTACAAGATTCTCCGCAATGACTGGCCGTACGGGTTGACGCCCGGCATTTCGCATTTGGTTGTGTGGTTGCGCACGCCCATTCCGGTCAAATCCGGGGAGGGCCATCTGACGGAGGAGTCAAGGTTGTTGATCGACACGTTTGTGAGGCGCACTTTTGTTGATCGATTGGCTCGGGATCCGAGAATTGCCTCGGATGCGGCATCACACGTGTTGTGGTTTAAGAATTGGGTGGGCTTGCAGAGTGTCAGGGCGTTGGAACACGTTCACATCCTAGTTCGAGATGTGCCCGAGGATATCCTGTTGGAATGGTCGGGAGAAGCATGAGGAATCCGGGGAGATGTGCATGGAGAGGATTGCATGAGCGAATGAGAACTATAACATACCATACACCCTACGCAATACATTTGAAAGAGATCACGATAGCGAGAAAGAAAGAAATCACATGGAAAGAAGTCCGGTATCATGCGCCAGCCCATCCACCGAAGCAAAGGATTACATATACAAGCAAAGTTAAGGGATAAATATCCTCACGACTTCTGTTCCTCCACGAACTTGAGGGCCTCCTCGCGGGATACCACATCAATCGTACTGGCCTTCTGTCGGAAGCTGACTCCGTAGCACTTCTCAGCGACGTGCAGCATCTCAGGACGGAAGGTTGTGCAGATGAATTGTCCGTTTGTGGAATCCGAAATCGACTTGAGCATCTGGGCGACGGCGGTTCGGTACTGGGCATCCAGGTTGGCGTCAATCTCGTCGAAGAGGTAGAATGGTGCGGGATCACAGGCCTGGATAGCGAAGACGAGGGCGAGAGCGCAAAGACCTATAGGATGGTTAGATATGAAACAAGACTAGTCAGATGGAATAACTTACTCTTCTGTCCACCACTGAGCTGCTGGATACGCTGCTGATCATCGTGCTTGCTGTTAAAGCTGACGCTAATGCCAACCCCAACATAGTTCTCCACACTCTGGCGGGCTTCCTCGTCATCGGACTCAACACCATCCTCTGGTCGGGTATTGTGGTCCGTCTTACGCTGGATAATGAGGCGGCCACGGCCAGCGGGAACCAGCTTCTCAAACACATTGTGGAACTCGCGAGAGACCTGTTTAAAGGTACGTTCAATGGCCTCGTCCTTGCGCTGGTCAAGCACGGAGATAAGATCATCGATAGAGTTTTGCGACGCGTCCAGCTCGGAACGACGCGAGGTTAGTGTCTCACGCTGCTTGGTGAAGCTGTTGTACTGCTCAAACGCCTTCTTGTTGACATGAGAGTATTTCTTAAGAGCCTCGTTGGTCTTGTGGAGTTTCTTCACGACGATGTTGGAGTCGGTGTGTTGGTATTTAGTGAAGGCTTCGTCGGGAAGTACACCTAGGGCACGAATATTGGCTGCGCACTCGGCGCCTTGCTTGGTAAGTGCTGCCTTCTTCTGCATACTCTTCTCCATGCGTCGCTGGTGCTTTTCGATGGATCGAGCGAGATCTTCAATCTCACGGCGGGTCTCGGCATTGCGCTGTTCAAGTTCAACAACACGAGTGTTGCCCTCCTCAATGGAGGTATCCACTTGTTTGAGTCGTGTGTTGAGTTTCTCCAGTGCCTGTGTAAGACGCTTCACCTCCCGCTGTACCTCTTTCAAGTTACCCTGAACTTCCTCATCGGCAATATCAACGTCTCTGTTGAGGAGTTGATCGAGGCGAGGGTTGAGGTTCTCCCGAAGTTCAACTTCAAGCACGGATTTACGGGCCTCGAGCTCATTGCGCTGGCTCGACAATTCTTGGTATTGACGACGAAGGTCCTGTACTGTGCTGCTCAGAGTCTCAAGTCGGGCTTCTTCCTCGCTGGTGAGGGCTTTCTGGAAAGGTGACGACAACTCTGCTTCGAAGGCGCTCACTTGGTCGTTCAAAGCCGCGAGGTTGGATTCCACATTGCGAAGGGCGCGGCGCTTGGCGTCAAGGGTATCATTCGTTTTCTGTAGTTGGTCACGCTTGCCACGCAACTCTTTTCGGAGCGGTCCACTGCGGTTTTGGACGTTGTGTCTCTCTTGCTCGAGCTTCTGTAGTTCACCAACGGCCTTGGTGATCATCTGGTCGAGCTGCTCCAACTCCTTCCGAATCTCAGTGCCGCGATTTCTCTTGCTTTCATACTCATCCCGCCACTTTCCTAGACCCTTGACAGCATCCAGACGGGACTGGCGTGAATCGTGATATCCACCAGTCAGAGCACCGCGTTTGTCGGATCGATCACCCTCTGGGGTGATAGCGTTCACGCCGTGACTTCGAGCGTACTGCGACGCAACCTGTAGGTTGGGGCAAATAATGGTTTTGCCAAATACGTGCTGGAAGGCTCGCTCATATGCAGGGTCATACTGCAGTTTTTCAATCATGGGGATTGTGTCACTGGCGCGAGGCATATTCAAAGGCCTCGAGCGAAGTCGGTTTAAGGGCATGAATGTCACGCGACCAGCCTTCTTCTCTTTTGTAGAATCTCGAGAACTTTTGTGGCAGTTTCATCGGTGTCGACAACGTAGTGGAACAAACTCTGTCCTGCAGTCACTTCAACGGCGGTTCGGTATCTGTCGCTGACATCGAATAGCTCCGCAAGGGTACCATAAACACCTTCGAGGTCATACTGGCGCTTGATTCGGCGCACTGCAGCTGTGCCACGACTGGTGTTATTATCCATCATGGATGAGAGGTTACGCTCAGCACGGTCAACTTCCTGAGATGCGTTGGAAAGCACAGAGTCAAGCTTTGCCTCTTCTCTCCATAGTTCCTTTCTCTGATCCATGAGTCGATCTCTCTCATCCTTGGCATCTTGAACTTGTTGGTCAACGTTGTGCATTGTATCCCCTCGCCCATCAATCTGCTGGCGCAAAAGTTCGGTCTCTGGTTCCAGGCGAGCAATTTCAGCCTCCAATTCTTGGATGTCTTCTTTGGTCTGAGCCACAACATTTTGGACAGTCTTGACAGAGTTGTTACTCTCTCTGACTTCCATATTTAACCACTTGTCGCGCTCGGACTTGTTTTTGAAGCGTGAGTTCCGGCCTTGCTTCGCGTACAGACGTTGGCGCGAGGTTTCGGCATCTGTCAACTGTGACTTCACGGTGTCTTCTTGGTCTTTCAAGGCATTGAAGCGAGGAAGAATTTCCCGGTGTTCAGCTTCGCGCTCATTGATGGCGTTTTGAACAGAAGTAAGATCGGCGTCATAACGGGACTTCAGAGCTTGAGCGGCAGCCTGGTTGTCAGAGAGAGACTTGGCCTGCAGTTCATTTTGAGCCAGAGTTTTGGAGGCCTCACGGCGTTCGTCTTCCAGTTGAGCCTTATCAACTTTCAAAAACTCAATCTGCTGTCGGCATTCCGCGATCTCGGCGTCAATTCGAGCCATGGCCTTCTCGCCATCGATGAATTGATCGCGGTTGTTATCTGCATCTTCCACGCCGTTCTGTCGTCGTTCTTCAATCTCATTGAGAACCTTGCCGATTTCTTGTTGCTCAAGCGAGTAGATGGTATATTCCAAGCAACGGCGCTCCTTGTCTTTTTCTTGATAACTTCGGAGCTCATCCTTTTCTTCTTCAAGTTCGGCAAGTCGCTCGTTAATATAGTCGAGAAGTTCGTCAATCTTGGTGCGTTTACTGTTGGTCTCGTGCATGATCTTCAACGACTCCGACCGGCGAGCCTCGTAAACTTGTGTGCCAGCCACTTCCTTCAACAGAACTAATCGCTCGGAGTCCTTCATATTCGTCAATGCGGTGACTCGGCCTTGGGGAACGATATAGTAAGGGTTAGATCGAGAGAAACCGGCCGACTCGAGGAGGTTCATAACATCGTTCTTGGTGGCATTCTTGCGGTCGAGTGTGTATTCATCCTTCTTGATACCGATGGTACGGCGCAGTACGACCTCGGGTTTGCCAGTGGGGAATCGGTCGTCCGAATTGTCGAAGATAATCTCGACGTAAGCGGACATCACAGCAGAGCCAGAACCTTCCTGTATGGGGTAAGTATAGCTTGAGGTATGAAAATGGGCGGGCTACATACGTGCAACAAAGCTTGGCGCTCCTCTCTGCCGAGGTGAGTGTAGGCATCACTCAGAACGAATCGAATAGCGGCGAAGAAGTTACTTTTGCCAGAACCATTGCGGCCGACGATAACATTGTGTTTGGGGGAAAATGGCTCAATGACCGTTTGGTCCTTGTAGCTAAAGGTAATTACCCGTTAGGACAAGCTCATCAAGCCATGAAAGATGGTAATTTGGCCAACATACCTCTTGAAGCCCTGAATGATGATCTGCTTGACATACATCGTGTAAGGTTACGCGCGACGCGATGATCACCTAGAACGCCCAAGGCATAACGCGACTGGCGCGAATATCTGGAAGTAGAAGTGAGCGCTGAAGTTTCAGCGCCACAGGTAGCCTGGCAAAGAAAACAGAAAGACCGAGGCGATAATGCGTGTGTTGCGACGGGCAAGGAAGACTACGCGAGGAACGAAATCCGCGCGTCTCGTTGGGCGCGGGGTTCTGCCGGGCGGTCAACCAAATTTGGGCCACAGAAAAAAAAAACCTTGGGGACGGATGAACGCACATCTCTGCTTTCTCGACATTGAAGTTCCAGAATGGCTTCAAACGAGACTACCGCCCAGGCTACTGGCCTTGCTGATGGCCTTGCGCCATCCCACACCTATGTGCCCAACGAAGGCTACATGAACCCCGATAACGCAGACTCCGCTGCGGCGGGGCAAGATCTGCCCGATGAGCAGGACGATGAGTATGACGAGGATTATGAGGATATTTTCGAGGAGGAGTTGGATCGCGAGGACATTCTCTCTTCCGATAACTCCGATCTTACCAAGGCCTACAACCGCCAGCGCAAAATCAACGATCTCGCTGCCGACTCGAATGTCCCGAAATGGACCTATCCGAAGACGAACACCCAGAAGCCTACCGTCAACACCTCTGCCTCCATCGATGACCAGGTCAAGTCGCTTACTCGTCACGCTGGCAAGATCAAGCTCGATGATCAACAGGCTGGTATCTCAGGCAAGGCTGAGAAGGGCGGAGATAAAGCTGACCGAGCCACCTCGGAACAAGTGTTGGATCCTCGCACACGAATGCTCTTGCTACAGATGATCAACCGGGGCCTTGTCTCCGAGATCCACGGATGTCTGTCTACCGGAAAGGAAGCCAACGTCTATCACGCCATGTCCATCCCCGAAGAAGACGAGAATGCTACCCCGCTACACCGTGCAATCAAGGTCTACAAGACAAGTATTTTGGTCTTCAAGGACCGTGATAAGTATGTGACTGGCGAGTTCCGCTTCCGTCAGGGATACAACAAGAGCAACAACCGCGCTATGGTCAAGCTCTGGGCCGAGAAGGAAATGCGTAACTTGCGCAGAATCTACGCTACCGGTATCCCCTGTCCCGAGCCAATCTACCTTCGTCTCCACGTGCTTGTGATGGGCTTCATTGGTAGCTCCAAGGGTCTGGGTGCACCCCGCCTGAAGGACGTGGACTTCAACATTCCCGATCCTGAAACTCGCTGGCGCGCATTGTACATGGAATTGTTGGGATACATGCGTGTTATGTATCAGACTTGTCGTCTGGTTCACGCCGATTTGAGCGAGTACAACATTCTTTACCACAAGGAGCGCCTTTACATCATTGATGTCAGTCAGAGTGTTGAGCACGACCACCCCCGCAGTCTGGAATTCCTGCGTATGGATATCAAGAACGTCAGCGACTTCTTCCGCAGGAAGAATGTTCTCACACTGCCCGAGCGTACTGTCTTCCAGTTCATCATCTCCCCCGATGGCCCGACTGAGATCGCCGGTGGAAGCGAGGAGATGGACGCTGCCATTGAGAAGCTTCTCGTTGCCCGCGAGGAGGGTGACGAGGAACAGCAGGAGGCTGAGGATGTCGATACCGCTGTCTTCCGTCAGCAATACATTCCCCAAACGCTAGAGCAGGTGTACGACGTGGAGCGTGATGCCGAGCGTATTCGGGACGGTCAAGGTGCTGATCTTATTTACGGTGATCTCCTGGCCGGTGGCAAGAAGAAGACCGAGGTTGTGGAAGATGACGCTTCTGATGCCAGTGGCGGAGTTTCGGTCTCAGGATCTGATTCAGAGGACGATGAGAACGATCCCTTCGCAAAGAAAGCGCCGCGGGGTAAGCGTTTTGAAGACAAAGACTGCAAGCGCGACCACAAGGCAAAGGTCAAGGAGGAGAAGCGTGAGCAGCGAGCGAACAAGATGCCCAAGCATATGAAGAAGCGTCTTGTCTCTTCCTCCTCCCGAAAGAAGAAATAAGCGCGCGGCTTCCTTTATCTTTCTTTGCATGTGCACGTTGCGATTTCACTTTGTGTGAGTAACTGCTTGGCATGATTTGATGATGAAATGCATATATGGATGGAGCATTGGGCATTTGATACCTTGGTCTATAACACATAAAATGGGACAGCATATATATCTGCTACACAAAAATATACTTTATGGCGAAACATCTACGAACACAAAATCTAAACGTGGATGACAGACTTCTTTTTGTCTCCTATGTATATCACCCGCAAGCTGAACTGGACAATGACACATCAGAGCTCTCTTTGAAAGTCATTCCAAACCAACTGTCTTCCAATCTTGTGTAAAAACCAAGATACACAGTGCTTACATCTTCGAAGAGTATGCATCTGAAGCATCGATTGGATTGAACAGGAAATTGAAAGAAAGAAAGGCAGGTCGGACCTATTGGGTTTTCATCATCTAGGTCACATTGCAAGTCCAGCTCGCATCGTTATTTTGATATAGTAGCTAAATGAAGCATACAGCAAGCTTGAGCTCCAGATTCCACCGTAAATACATAACGTGTGTGCATAGATGGCAGGAGATTGAAATGAAGACGCCGGGAAAATGATGTGTCGCTGAATTGTGCTGGGAAAAAAGCGGTAATTAGCAGTAGATGAGATGGGTATATTGGAGCTATTGTGGATTGCGTGGGTTTACGCAACGCTCTTATGTCGTGATTTGACCCGTGCGTATGCCTGTTCAATAAGATCTTTCGGAAGGGTTGGGATATGCTCCCCCTCGGCACTGAAATCTGGCTCTCCTATTTTGGGAGCCACGGCCAACTCATGAGCACTTGATTGCTCCGTGGTGTCCTCTGGAGCAGGGTAACCATCAATGTGACCCCCTGGTAAGCGAAGGAACTGCACCTGCATGGGCGCTAGCCCAACACCAGGCCAGATGTCCGAAGGGAGAAAATCACCCTGATCGACACGGAAAGCATCTCGAGCGGAAGCGTCTTCGTCGTGGAGTTGGTTCAGCTTGTGCCGGGTGTCTCGGAGGACCTTTTCCACCCTTAGGCGAACATGTCTTCGACGGGCTACCTCGAGCAAAAGGTTATCATAGGCATTGAGAAAGCCATCATAGAGAGATTGTAGATCAGAAAGTTCTGCAAGACCACTGTTAATTCGGTCATTTTCCTCATGCCATACTCTGGTGAAATTGTGTGCCTGAGAGATGTAACGAGGCAGACGAGAGCAGGCCAGGGAAGAAAGATGGGTGTTCACTTCAACGGTAGCCTTGGAGATAGCCCACAGGACATCTCGCTGTGCTTGTACCTGCTCGAAGATGGATTCCATCTCGGCGATACGATCTTGAATTTCCATTACCACATCATCTGCCTCAGGGGCATCCTTGATAATGACTGTGACCATCTCCTGGTATTCAGCATCCGTCATTGGATCCAGGGGGGCATTTAAATTGGCATTGATTTCCGCCCCGATATTTGGCATCCCGTCGGTGCTGCGGTCCACACCCGGGGGCATATCCCCTGTGATAGATCGTGCGACTGCTCCTCCGCCATCGGTATGTTTCACTGCAGTGACACAGAGGTCAAAATGACGAACCAATGATTCAAGGAGGCCGGCCATTTCTTGGGCGTTGGCCTCCAATGACTGGATCTGACCAGGCATCGACGACAGGGTGAGTAACCCAGAATCCGACGCAGAGGAAGACGATGACGAGATTGAAACACGGGATGAGGCCAATTTCGTGGCTGAGTGGTAATGGCGAAGTGACTGCCTGGTGGCTTGAAGCTCGTCATCAAACTCCCGATTGGATGTGTCCAATTCTGCTCGTGCTGTGTTAGTACGGTCTATGGAGTCTTTCAAGGACGCATGCAGCTCTGCCACTCCTCGTTCATCAACAAAGTCGTGGAGAGTCGTCTGAGCTTCATCCTCGGGCCGGAATGAAGGATGGACAGTTGTCCCACGCAGTAGATCCAGGGTATCTTTGAGACGAGCATCAGCTGCATCCAGATTTCTCAAGGCAGCCGAGAACTCGTCACGACCTCGGTATGAAATTTCCTCCACTTCGGTGCGGACGTCGTATAGCAGCCGCAGCTGATTATTCAGGCCTCGGCGTAGAAACCCTGCCCGGGAGCATACAATGACGCTCTCCTCCAACGCTGAACGGGACTCGGTCACAATTTCGTTGGCCCGCCACACATGGTTAATCGACGAGAGCGACCGCTTGGCTCCCAACAGATAGGAGATAAGATTATCAACCTGTGGCACCGACTTCTCGTCTGGGGGAGGAATCGATGATGCGGATGACTCGGATGACGACATTTTGGTAACAATAGCGACGATGAGGTGATATCCGGATGCGCAGAGCTCGAGACACAGCTCTCAGGAAAGAACCCCCTGAGGAAGCTACAAGAGAAGGGATCTGGGATCCAGCGTTAACTATCAGTTGAAAGCCTAGACCATATTTTAGGGCCTGGCCCGATAGATCCAAACTGATATAGAGGAGACCAAAGACGGGAGCCCCGGAGTGCAGGGATTGCCCCGATAAGCTCGTTCTCCACCAAACAAAGACAACGCTGGGAAGAGCGAGGTGTCTTACCAGGTGGGGGGATCTGGGTCTGGGGGAGGATACAGTACAGTAGCTTCAACCCGGAATTAGCGGTGTGAAGCCTCGCGGAGGCCCCAGTTTTGACACATTCGCGAATCAGAGAAAGAGAAAGCGCGGTGGGAAGTGGGAATGGAGACTCCCACGTGACTCACCGCCCTGAGCACGTATTCGCCTCAAGTCACGCAATTCCTCTCCATCGGATGCGAACTAAACCCGATGCGACGGATTGCGACAGTCTGAACGATTGTGCAATCGTTCTGTTTAAAAGTCTCCTGGCATCCCCGGAACTCGAGCATCTTTTCCTTCTTGTCTTGCGTTTGTGTCATTCATACCTTCCTCTGAGTATTCCCACGGGTATCCTCAGGGTACTCATATATCCTCCGAGTACTTACCCCCCCCCCCGGACTTCCTGAGATATTGCACAGGAAGATCTCTTTGTGATATCGCCACTATTACATCCGAATCCTATTATTTCGGGAAGATCTTCGACCAACTCGTCCAAGCCACCCTTGTCCGTATCGCTGGACAACAAGAGCGACCACCGTCACCCTCCCTGGAAACGGCTTCCCCCTCTCAAACCTCATATCTGATCTGCCACCATGTCTAGCACTCCGGAAACACAAGTTGCGCACCAAAACTTGACTCCTTCCACCCCCGGAGGCCCAAGTGCAATGGCCGTGTCCAACCGCTCTTCGCCCCACAAAGACTCTGAGGCACAGACATTGGAGGAACGAGCAAGACAGAATGTTGCGTCATTCTTGACAAAGTACCAGCCGAGGCAATATGCACCTTTGCGCTCCGAGATCAACGCTGCTGCGGAGCATCGCCCGGTGAACGCTAGTTACTGCTACCGTCACCAACCAGATTCGAAATGCAGACGCCAAGCCGATGAGCAGTCAATGACTCGGCTACAAAGTGATCTCGACACACTCCCCCAAAGTGACCAACAAGGCATCGCTCATGTTTGGTCCTTGTTCTCCGCTGCTCCAGCCAAGCAGCGTACTCTCATGCTCCAGGGAATCCTGGCCCAGTGCTGCTTCCCCCAATTATCTTATATTTCTGCCAGCGTCCGCGAGCTGATTCGAATCGATTTCCTTGGAGCCCTACCCCCAGAACTGTCGTTCAAAATTCTTCGATACCTTGACACCGCGTCCCTTTGCCGGGCAGCTCAAGTGTCTCATCGATGGAGAGCCTTGGCCGATGACGACGTGGTGTGGCACAGGATGTGTGAGCAGCACATCCGCCGTAAATGCAACAAGTGTGGCTGGGGTCTTCCTCTTCTGGATCGTAAGCGTTTGCGCGAAGCAAAGCGTGAGATCGAGCTCCGTGCGACCAATTGGGGACATAACCAGCCTACTGGAGCATCGGCCGAGAACACCATCAATGAGTCTTGCTCATCAGTCGACACCCCAGTCGGTGGCAAACGAAAGATCGAATTGGATGATCAAAGTGCTGCGCTGACAAAGCGTCACTGTGCGTCCCCCGGACAAGTTCTCGAAGAAGACGAAGGCTATTTCAAGACTCGATACCGTCCGTGGAAGGATGTCTATCGTGACCGCTTCGTGGTTGGCATGAACTGGAAGCACAAGCGTTGCTCAATCAAAGTGTTTAAGGGCCACCGAGACAGTGTCATGTGTCTGCAATTTGAAGACAACATTTTGATGACTGGTTCCTACGATGCCACTGTCAAGATTTGGGACACCGAAACCGGCGAAGAATTGCGAACACTCCGAGGTCACACTGCTGGAGTGCGTTGTCTCCAGTTTGACGACACCAAGCTTATCACTGGTAGCTTGGATCGCAGCATCAGGGTGTGGAATTGGCGCACGGGTGAATGTATCTCCAAGTACAATGGTCATACTGAGGCAGTCATCGCCCTGCACTTTGATTCCACTCTTCTGGCTTCCGCCTCTGTCGACCGCACCGTCAAGATCTGGAACTTCAAGGACAAGTCCACTTTTGTGCTTCCTCACCCAGAGGGAGTCAACGCGGTGAAGATCGACACTCCTTCACGCACGGTATTGACTGCCTGTGACGACGGTGCAGCTCGCCTATGGGACTTGGACACCAAGACTTGCATCCGACTGTTCCACAACCACATCGGAGCCGTCCAGCAAGTCATCGCTTTGCCTCGCGAAATTGAGCTAGAAAGCCACCTCGCCGACTGTGAAAATGATCACGTTAGCACCTCTTCTCAAAACGGCGATGCCGTTAACCTCCTCTCCCCTATTCTCGAGGCCAAGTCTCTCTCTGCCCAGCCTTCTTCATTCGGTTCCTCTTTCGATCAAGAAGAGAGCCGTCTGGAGCCCCCTCGCTACATCATCACAAGCGGTGTGGATGCCACCATCCGCTTGTGGGAAACCAGCACTGGAAGATGTCTCCGTACCTTCTTTGGTCACCTGGAGGGTATCTGGGCTCTCTCGGCTGATACTCTGCGGATTGCATCCGGTGGCATGGATCGCATGGTGAAGATCTGGGATCCTCGTGTTCCCACCTGTCAGGATACCTTTGAGGGACACAGCGCTGCTGTGAACTGCATTGGTCTCAGTGACAGTCGCTTCATCACCGGTGGCGATGACTACCAAGTTCGCATGTACGATTTCCGGGCTTCTTAAAGTCTGTTCATGTCTCTTCTATTTTGTTTACTACACTTTTTGTGGAGAGCACGGGGTGTTTACCTGTGCAATTCCCGCATTCTTTTCTTTTCTTGTGAATTTCTAATTGATCGATGGGATACCCTGGCGCATTCAACAAGAGTTGTTTGGCTGACAAGGAGGTCGTACCTCACAGCTTACCTCTGATACTGCATTACAGGCGCTTTGGGATTTTCTTTTTACTGCAAATACGACCAGATTGACTGGTTACATTTTTACAATACGTCTTTCCAGTTTCAAAAGGCCATAATCAACATTATATCAAAAACATCTTTTCGTAGAGCTATAAGTTAAAGGAATAATTGAAAAGGTGATGTGGCTCCGGCCATCAGAGGCCTCTAGAGTCCTTGGAACATTCGCCACTCAACTTCCGTTCCCCTTCCGTATCATGACAAACACTTCCACCTTCTGGCCTTCTCAAATACGACGTCCTCTAGCGATAACTTATATGAGTTAGAAACCAAGTTGCCTAAATGGGACATGATCCGCATGTCTGCCACAAGTGACGTAGTGGTCTTGGCCTGTCGTCTAGGGTCTCTCATGCAAGGGTCCAGCGCTGTTCCAATCCCTCTTCAATTCGAATATCATTCCGGACATTCAGCACTGCTCTTCGTACCGGATAATAGGAATATTGATTCAATGTCGCCCCTGCTGCATGTACCGTGACCTGGGGTTGAATTCTCGACAGTATCGTCAAGATGATCCTGTCGAATTTACGCCGAATCAGACGATGGCTAGTGAGCAGTCCAGTTTCCGTATTCTCATGATACAGCAATTGCTAATCAATTCCATAGCTTGGCACCCTCAGTCTAGCATGGCAAGAAGAGAAGTACGATCTGATCAGCCACGGAAAAGGGAATATAGCGGACTATCACTCCCGCCGTAGGCAAAGAGCATGCAGACTTGCTCTCGCAGCAATATCAATCACAGCCATCATTTTGTTTTTTACTCTGCCGATTCTAGCCACGCCGAATGAAGCACTTTGTCCTCATCCAGTCTTACGACTCACAAGGAATGCCCAAAAATCATTTGAATCGACTCTGAACCGACAATCAAAATCATTCAATGCGGCCGTTGCGGAATACAAGCGTCGATACAATATGCCACCACCACCTCATTTCGATTTATGGTACAAATTTGCCACGGATCGAGGAACGGTCCTGATAGATGAATTCGACATAATCAATCGCGCCCTATTACCATTTTGGGGCGTTTCTCCAAGTGTGATCCGCGAAAGGACAAGACAGGACCTTGGATATAAGGATAACATGTTGATGGGTTGGTCCATACGAGCCGGCAAGCCCATTTACACCGTCTTTGGTGAACGATACCAGCGAGATGGAATGAAGACGATCATTGATCAGTTTGCGCAATGGTTACCTGATATGGATTTGGCATTTAATGTGCATGATGAGCCACGTGTTGTTGTTCCTCATGAAGAACTGAGTCGGATGATCTCTGTTGGTCGAGAAGCTCAGGATCGACTGGCTCGCATGACCTCGCCAAGAGGCATCTTTTCGAAGCGGAAATATGTATCCGAATGGGTGACACCAATTTCGACGACTCGATACAATGACCTGACGCTGCAAGAGAACTGGGGTCATTCGACCATGTCCTGTCCCGCAGATACTCCCGCGAGAGACATTGACGGGACCGCTCAGGATGACACAGCTTCGTATGAAATTGAGCCTCTGGGCTTTCTATACAACCTCACCGCGTTCAGCGATGTATGTAAGAATCCCTCGCTGCGAAATCGTCTCGGCCTCTTCAAGAGACCGCATATTTTGAAGCTTTCGAATGAGATTACTCCTGTATTCTCTGCGTCAGCGCCCTCATCTTTCCAAGATATTCCAATGCCATCAATGTGGTACTATAAGGATAAAATGTCCTATGAAGAGGATGTTGACCCCGAATGGAAAGACAAGAGAGCCCAGCTATACTGGAGAGGAGGCAATAGTGGTGCTCACTCAGATGAAGACTCCTGGCGCAGTCTGTTGCGACAGCAGGTTGTTGGGAATTTGACGCATCCCATTGCACCGCAATATACCTTCAAACGTGACTCAAACTCAGCGACGTCATCGTGTCGTGACTTTGGAAGCAACGCTGGAGATCTTGAGCAGATCCACCCAGAAAGTTTTCGGGAACAGCTCAACATTAAGTTTACGGAAATCGATTACTGCGAAGATGACTGCAAATCCCAATTGGAATTCTTTGGGGAGCCAGGTACTTTTGAATGGCCGAAAGAAGCATGGCGGCATCGCTACTTGTTGGACATGGACGGTTGGGCCTATAGTGGAAGATTCTATGCTTTCTTACGGAGCAAGAGTTTACCTATGAAATTATCAGTCTTTCGTGAATGGCATCAAGAGATTTTGGTCCCATGGGTCCATTTCGTGCCCCTTAACAAAGATGTGCGCGAGGTTCCAGAACTAATCCGATACTTTGAATATGATCCCCATGGCCAGGTGATTGCACAAAATATAGCTGCAAATGGGAGATCCTGGGCGAAAAAGGCTCTCAGGAAGGAAGACATGGAAGTCTACATGTTTCGCCTGCTCTTGGAGTATGTTCCTCCCTCACACTATTTTTAATCCAGCACTGACCATGAACGAAAGATTCGCACGTGTACAAGACGACGCTCGAGAGATGCTGGCATACAAAGAATGAGCCTCAGATTGGTAGCCCTGGAGCTATGGGTCGTGTATACGGCGGACCGGTGAATTACTGTATCCAAGCCTAACTTCCTCACCGCTTTCTATACTGTCCTACCAAATGTGGCAAGCTGCGTGAAGACCTTAGAGGAGAGCAGAGCACTCCTTTCCAATTAGGATCCAGAAGGACTTGCTCGAGAGCAGGCTTAAGAGTCCACTACTAGTATTGTGTATTAGCATATACCCGAAATACTTCCTAATCATTTGAAGGGACCTTCTTCCGATTCCTGCTGGTATTAGAACGCAGTACTCTAGATATGTATGGGAACATGACAAGCCAACCCCAGACCCAAATGGGTTTAGATGAGCCTGATTAAGACTAGCGTCCGCCCCAAACCTTACTTGACGTTCAGCCAATCAAACCGCTGGAAACCCTCCGAACCATGGATTGCCGCAGTCAAAGTACTTCAATCCATTTCATATCGTATTCCCCTGTTCATTCTCAATTCCTTTGCAGTAGTGTGATCATGGTACACTAAATAGCCAGTCTACGCTCGGCTCCAATTTGGACCGATCATATCCCGGCTCCAGGTGGCGGTAAAGACATTCGGAGAGTTACAAAAGCGACATACGCTAACCACGGCCCTAGGCCTTTATTCAAACGCAGCCAGACTACCTAATGAAACCGCCGATTATGATTAACATCCCCTTACCTGTGAAACCTGCGATCTTACGCTCTGGTGTCCCAGAAATACCCAAAAGAAAGCCAACGTCGCAGATCAAGAAGAAAAAAAAAACACGGAAAGGGTGCTGGGCCGTTTGGTCGGAGAACCCCAGAGGACTGCGACTTACCATATACATGCTCGGTGTGCTAACCGTCATGCTGATTAGTGGGACTGTTGTCGACTTCTAGGTGTTTAGAAAATGTCGAATGGAAAAGCTAGAAATACTGGCACAGATCATGAGCCTCACCCCGCGCGGCATTGCTCCCAGTCTGCTGTCTCCATCTCGAAACAGCGAGGCACCCTGTTTGGAGAGCTTCCAGACACATCAAATGTCTTATACCGCACTCACCGTTACAGTGGATGCCTCTGCAATACCCCAGGCAGTTCCGACGACTTTTATCACTCGAGGCTTTCCAAGTGAGATCACTTTTTGCGCTTCCGCTTCCAGTAGTGTGGCTGTTAATTAAGTCACAGTATGTTTGACTTCGTTTCCAATCAACGGAAGTGGAGTTAGCATAGACCGGTGTTTTATCCGAGGAGGCATAAATTCGTGCCCTGACACTTTCGGTATCGCTCTTTGCTTGAATTGTTGCTACTCAACTCTGTTAGTCTCAGTTGTGTAGCTTTGTGCGGAGAAATCGGTCTAATTTGCATATTTTGCTATGATTTGGGGTTCCTATTGGCTTCGAAGAGGTTGAATCTGTTGGTCAACTAAAATAAATTGACCTCATTATATTCCCGGAATAGTCATTGAAAGATATTGTTGTACACGTTGAGAATATCATATGAATCAACGAGAATCAACGAGAATTTTGAATTGAATATCCGAACCTGTTGTCGAGCAGTACAGTCGTCAGGAAAATGAGCAAGAACTGGAACCAGGACAATCTTGAGACCTCTATTACTTGATCCTCGCTATCAGATTTATTTCGATTCCACCTCTCCTTTCACTCAACGGCAAACGTTACCGGGCATATTGGGTACCTTCATTTCTCACCACTGCTCTTTGTGCCACGACTTGCATCTCTCAATTCTGCTAGAGGCTGTGCCTCGTTGACCTTGGTCACGTCGGCTGCTCGCTGTGTCTTGTCTGATCTTTTGCGCGCTGGCAGCATCGGGATCACTGGTGAGCCACTGCTATCCTCTAAACGTGGTGCTTCTAATGCAGAACTCATGTATCGACCGGTAGACCTGCTCCAGACTGATGCCACTAGAATTTCCAGCCCTTTGTCAGAATGGATGCTCACAGTTCTAGCAGATCGCCTTCGGTCGATCCAGAGCCCCGGAGAATACCCGTTGCGTTTCTATCTTGGCCCATTCCTTTCCGCCGGTAAGCTATTGAGTTTGTATACTTCGATGGGGCTAATGATCCCATTCGCACAGGAGTATTCCGAGAGAAATGGCTTATTCAGAGGCGAGACTGCGCCAAGTTGAACTCCTCTTCAATGGGGGAGTCAGTCGTTTTAGCGTTCTTCCTGTCCAATATAACCTCCGTGAGCGTGGAACAAAGCGCCCCGAAATTCTCGCATCCTGGCTGGATGACTCCAACGATGAAGACTATAACCCAGACAAGCATCGAGACCGAAAGAAACGGAAAGGTCCTGTGTCTCGGTCCGGGGGCACAAGTTCTCCAATGGTCAGGAAGTCCCAGAGTTTGACTTTCTTGTCGCATACAGATGAGTTCAATGACCTAGGAAGCCCGTTGGACCCCTCTAGCTATCACAGCGAACCTGAACAGGACCCCGATATTTGGGACCATCGTTGGACCGTCGATCCTACAACATCTCCCAATTCCCGTTACCAACTGCGTCCCCGTACCCAAGCTCAGTCAGAAAGCCCTACAAAGACCAAAGCCGAGCGACGGATTGTAGCCGGCGCTGCCATCTCTAAATTTGCCTCTTCTTCGGTGGCCCAAAATACCAACGAGCCTCTTCGAGGATGCAAGGCGTGTAGTGAAATCAACCAGAACTGCTCTCTCGCAACGGATCCTGATCCATTTGCATACCCGTGCACCGAATGTGAAGAAGATGGTTTTGACTGCATGGTGATTCCTGAGCCCAGGTGGAAGCGATCATGCGAAAAGTGTCGCAGCCGACATGGACCGCCATGCTCCTACCGGTTTGCCGATTATGACCATGGGGTGGCTTGCCACTCATGCCTTAACCACGGATATCCTTGTGTCGCTGGGCCGGCCAAGTACGTACCCACTACTCGGATGTTTGAGGCCTTCGAAGATAGTGATGTGGACAATCCAAGCACCCAAGATGCCGACGATAGCGACGATGACGATGATTCACTCGGGGAAGCTGCACTCGAGAACACCAAGTCCTCCAAACCTCACGAGCTGAGTGCCTTCCAATCAACCACCATCTCGGACATATCTTATAGAAACAATGACACCTTCAATGACGACGACGAGGAATTGGCCAATACCATTAGCCGAGAAGAAAATCTAGCCCCCAGACCGAACAGCTATGATGAGGCCGACGAGCATCCTGCAACATTCGGACGAGTCCGTCGAATTCAAACGGAGTTTGCACACCCTCTTCACTTCCCCAATGATCGGGATACGCCTAACGTGGGCCCAGATTGCCATTGGTGCCACAACTTTGCGTACGGAATCGTTGGTCTCGGCATTCGCAACCCAGAAGTTATTGATTTTGGCACCAAGATGATTGAAATAGCAGATGGACACACCGGGGAAGGCAAAGAAGAGACCCGTATGTGTATGCAGTGTGCTGTTGGCAGAATAAAGATCATTCAATGCACACATGGCATCATACATCATTTGCCCGCAGCAGATGCAGAGCAGAATGCCTTGGAGGACATCACAGAGTGGGAAAATTTTGTTCAAGCGTGTGATGCTATCGTGGACCCTCAGACGAATGCCTCTGGCCCAGCTTTTTCGACCAATCGTCAATGGTGTACCTTGTGCCGTACGCTCGCTGTCTGGGCTTGCGAAACACCTCAGTCAGTCAGTATCTGTGATCCTTCAATTGACTGTGAGAATCTAAGTTATGGATGTGGCCTAAGTCTCTGCAACCGGTGTTGCAACCTACTGGAGTACTACAACGGAGATTTGAATGCCGCTCACGATCACCTTTCACGCCAAGGGAACAGGGGAAGCCAGCTACGTGCCGACAGCGACTTTATTCTCTCTGGCGACAACCGAAACATTCTTTACAAGCTTCTGCTGGTTGACTAGGCTGTGATGGCTCTTTCCTCTCAATGAGATGTAACTACAATGCAAAGCTTTACATAGTTGAATGCCTTTCAAACATGTCCTGGGCTTTTGTTAAAACGGACGCACAGACTTGCTTTGGGTACTAGGGATGTAATATGTTGGATGCAGCACATCTTTAGTTTAGAGATGTCATAAATAGTGAGGTGCAAATTAACGGTGCATTGTTTGGTGTCTGAGTAATAGCATTGTTTTTCGGGCCTACGTCAATAATGATGCATAGAATGTTGTCGCAATCTGTCAAAAGTGAACGAATGAAGCTCTCTCATATTGTGAATAGTTTCACAATAGCTATTGACCCCCGACTTTGGTTACTTAGGAGTCAGTCCTATTGTTTGTACAAGATGAATATAGCCATTCAACGTCGTCCATGAAGTGACATGAGCATAAAGAAAGCGACCATGGCACTTTCTCTTCCTTTTCATGCTCCGGCTCCTGTCCCTTTTCCCGATTACTTCTCTCAATTCTCTGTTCAGGTGCAAAGTTGAATCACTGCCAGTGAAGTGAAGCAAGTAGGGCTTCCGCTCCGGGAAAATGCACTGACTAAAGGATTTTCTGCCAGCAAAATTGTGCTTCCTTCCTTCCAACCTCTTTTTTTCAAGGTGTTCGCATCTCTTTCTATTTCTCTGCCCCGAGCTGCGACACGAGGTGCGCAGCTCACCGTCACGACGTCTTCTCCAAAGCGCCGTAAAGTCTCCCCAGAGCCTCGCACCAGTCCAGGCCCCCGGGCTCGACGTCACGGCCGCTCCGAACCTCCTTCCCGCTCTCGCCACCCTGCATCTTCAAGCCGGAGCAGCTCGTCACCTTCTCCGCCCAGATACGTGCCTGCTCATCTGCAGTTTCAGTCTGAGGCCGTGACTGGTGGCCGTTCGCCTACACCCGCCACCGCGACCGCCGGACTCTCCCTCTCAAGCGAGCACTCCGACATGCCCTCCGACACTCGAGAGGAAACTCCTCTGAACACCGATGGCCGCTCTCCTTCTCCCGGCGAGAAGCGCCCGGCATCTGAAATCACTGACTCCGACCCGGAAGGAGGCGTGAGCACGAATCTGAGCAGTAATGCGCGTACCTCTGGGGATCAGGCTGGCGCAGGCGATAAATCTGCGGCTTCCACCGCTTCGCATCCGGATACCGATGCGTCTCCTGCGAATCAGCAGTCTGGATCGCAATCATTGGAATCAGACAAGCCGACGATCGATGAGCAAGTGGCGGAAGTGAATGCGTTGAGGAACCAGCCACTGAAGAATGGTCAGAAGGGCTATGTGGTTTCCATGGGATGGCTAAAGAAGGTGCTGGCTAGAACTACCGCCTTCGCAGATCAGGTGGACAAGGATTCCCAGGAAGCTGAGCTTGGTCCTATCGACAACATGGACATTGTGCTCGATACCGACCCCGCCACTCCCAGCTTCAAGGACGAATCGGACGAAACATTTGTGCCGATGCGCCCTGGATTGCAAGCCGATCAGGATTTCGTGGTGGTTCCCCAGCAAGCTTGGGACTTGATGCGTGGCTGGTATGGCGTTGTCGACCAGTCACCTATCATTGTTCGATACGCCCACAGCACGAATTCACCCGGCGAAGACGAGACGATTGAATACGAGACCAACCCTCCAATCTTCACAATCTTTAAATTGACTAACCCTTCTGCGGGAACTACGCCAGCAACTCTGAAAGAAAAGGATCTGCCATCCGTTAAGATCTTGGCCAGTCGTCAGTCGAATTATCGGAAATGGCTAACGGACGCAAAAGAACAAGCTGGAATCGAGATGTCTACCAAAGTCCGAGTGTGGAAGATCCTTCGTTTCCCTCAGAGCACGAATGGTTCAACCGCTACGACCCCCGCCGTTTCCCGTAGTACTTCACCCGCTCCGGCCTTTGCACTTGTTCCCAGCAAGACTGATAAGCTTCTCATGGATCTGAACGTCTTCCTTGGTCTTTCGGAGGGAAGTCAGCGAGAATTGCTTGAACAGGCCAAAGATCAGACCAACAACATGAACTACAATGGTCGCATGAATCTGGTTGTGGCCGGTCTCGGAAATGCAGATTGTCTTGTCCTGGAGGAGCAAATTAGTGGAACGAGGGGTGGTGAATGGGTGTCAGAGGCATCCGCAAAGACCCTGAAGAATCTGGGAATTCCAGTGAACCAACCAAAGACGCTCACCATCAAGATTGCCGAGAACAGTCCACCGGCTAGTACGGCCAGTGGTAGATCTACTCCCGCTGGGCGGACTCCCATCAAAGGATTCAATGCTCGAGGCCGCAAGGGCCGATCAAACAGAGTTCTGGGGCTGGAGAATCTTGGCAATACCTGTTACCAAAATTCAGCATTGCAATGTCTGCGAGCCGTGGAGGAGTTGACATACTATTATCTCAGTTCGTACCCTCATGCTACAGTTGGCTTTTGAGAGAAACTTTGGCCGCTAACAAGATTACAGGTGGTGCATACAAAGGCGAGTTGAACCTTGGAAACCCTCTCGGTTACAAGGGCGCAATCGCCAAAGGATGGGCTACATTGCTTGATCAGTTGTACAATTCAGAGGGAGAGAGATTCGCCAACCCCAAACGCTTCCGTCATACAATCGGTCGTTTCTACGAACCTTTTGCTGGCTGGGAACAACAGGACAGTCAAGAGTTTGTCATGTTCATTCTTGATGCTCTCTCAGAGGACACGAACCGCATTGCAAAGAAGCCATACACGGAGATTCCTGATTCTACCGATGAGATGGTTCACAATCGCAAGGCACTGGAAGAGTTTGCGCTGAGATCGTGGGACATTTACAAATCTCGTAATGACTCAATCATCACCGATCTGTTTGCTGGCATGTACAAGTCATCTGTGTGTTGCCCAGATTGTCAGAAGACGAGTATCATTTTTGATCCTTTCAGCACTCTCACACTCCCAATTCCTGGTCCTCCGGCCGTCATCACCAGGAAGGTGACTTTCATTCCTCTTGACAGCCATCCTGTTTGCTTGAGCGTTCAGCTGGAAGCTTCTCTCAGTTTGAGAGGCTGGAAGGAATATGTTGGCAAATGGATGGGTGTCGATCCAGGTCAGATTGTTGCGGGAGAAGCTCACCACGGCTCCTTCTGGCAATTGTTCCTTGAAGATGAAGTTTCTTTCGGCTCCCTTCGCACCAAGATTGACGACCAGATCCTGTTCGCCGACGTCGGTCCTATCGATGAAGAAGGTATTCTCCTCCCTATCTTCCATCGCAAGAACACTTCCCGCAATGCCAAAAACAACTTCCGCGATCTGTTTGGTCTTCCATCTTTTATTCACCTGTCCCAGGCGGAGTCTCATAATCTTGAAGCAATCTACCGCAAAATTCTTCGCTCTGCTGCTAACATGACTACTCGTGACATTTTGAACGAGGATGAGGCCAGCAAGGAAGATCAAGTCACAGATGACTCGGACACAGTTGTTACCACAGAAGATGACGCTCACTCGGCCGACTCCAAGATCAAAACCTCATCTGTGGAAGGCGAAGACAGTCTCGTGGACATTTCCATGCAAGACGCTCAGACCCCAAAGAGTGGCAATGATACGGAAGACTCCGCTTCAGACTCCGACTCTACGGATCTGCCTGAGCATCCCCTGGCAGGCAAAATCTCCCGAGAGCTGCTCAGTCTGTTCGAGACTAAGATTCTGATCACCAAGTCTCCTCTGCCCGATGGACGCAATCTAGGCCAAATCAGAAACAAAGAATTGCCTCTGATTTTCTCTCGTATTCCAACTACCGAGGGTTTGAAGAAGGTGTGTATAAGTTCTTTTCGTCCATTTTTAATAACATGCTTTTCTAATTTTTTTTTTCACCAGGGCTCTGATTCTGCGTCCCATGTTTCCGCTGAAGACAACATTGATGATTACAGTGATACCGATGGATCGGATGCGGAGACCGCAAAGGAGGAATCTATTCTTCGCCAAGGCGATGGCATCGTGCTGGATTGGACAAACGAAGGCTTCAATGCCCTCTTCGGCGGCAACCAGCGTGACAATGAGGTTCGAGGCCAGCCTTCATACAACAACCTCAAGGTTCTCACGGATTCTGAGGCCATCGCCAAGCGTCAGCAGCAGGTAAAGGCCAAGGCCGCCGGTGTTACTCTCGATCAATGCCTGGATGAATTCAGCAAAGAAGAAATCCTTTCCAAGGGAGATGCTTGGTACTGCCCTCGTTGCAAGAAACATGTGCAGGCCCACACAAAAGTTCCAGCTCTGGAAGGCCCCCGATGTTCTGGTCATTCAGCTCAAGCGCTTTACCCAGGCTCGTAGCTTCCGAAGTAAGCTTGACACCTTGGTTAAATTCCCCCTTGAGAATCTGGACTTGAACGGGCGAGTGGAAGGTCCTGCGGATGGCAAGAGCCTGGAGTATGATCTTTTCGCGATTGACAACCACCTCGGTGGGCTGGGTGGTGGCCATTACACGGCATACATCAAGGATTTCCTGAGTGGCGAATGGAACCATTGCAATGGTAAGTTCTTCAGTCTTGTGTGGTAAGAAACATGCCATTGACACTCCATTTTAGATACCCACGTTCGCCCTGTCACACAACTTTCCTCTATGATTTCCTCCAACGCCTACCTCTTATTCTACCGTCGTCGTTCCGCTCGCCCATTGGGAAATGAGGAACTGCAGGAATTGGTCGAGTCTTATAAGTCCCCTTCGGCTGATGCTGGTGATTCTTCTGATTCCCAGTCACCGTCGGGGGACGGCCTGGGCGCCTCCTCTCGCAATGGCTCTTCGAGCGTCTTGGCCGCAGCCGGAGTAACTCCCCAAGCAGGAAATGGTGGTCTGCGCGCCAGCAATGTGGGGACGGAAGAGAATGATGATGACGAATACTCTACAGACGATGACAGTGACACTGGCTTCGAAAATGGCGAATCCGAAGGTATGACTCTCACCAACAACGAAGATGAGTCCGATCACGAGGACGAGGGAGTCCCGCCCCAGGACCCATTCAGCATCTTCAAGGAGCCTTCCTGGTCCTTCGATCAATTGACCGAAGCTCACGACATGCCACAGATGACTCCACTTAATGCCTCTCATGAAGATGATGGGCTTTTCAATGACAACGACAGCACCGTTGCAGTCGGCGACGAAATGGACGTGGACACTCGCCTCCACGACCTTGAAGATTCCATTTCCGCGGGTCCCACACCCAAGACCGGTGCCTCTTTTGAGGATGTTTCCAACCTGATGGAAGATGAGTCCTCCGACGAACTTCCCGTTGTGGAGTTGCGTGTGGGCGATGAGGACAAGATGATTTCGGAATAATGAACAATGAACAACAAGCAACAAGCAACAAAAAAAACGGTGAACAAAGAAAAGTGAAAGGTCTCTTGTCTGAAGATGATCTGGTGCATCGGGCGTTTTCCAACAGGGTTGGTTGGTGGTACGGTACATACACATAGGAAAAGAGGATTATGTGCTGTTTCTTTGCATGTCAATATCGGTAGCCTTCCACAAAGGATGTGGCATGTATCTACCTGGTGGGTTTCTGATTTTTTTGGACGACATCAGTCGTCTTGATCAGCTTGATGGGTCCTGAGATGTGTGCGAACCAGTTTCTTTCATAGTTGTTGGTGTATCTTGTATCTTATGGCATATTACCACTCAGATGAGGCAATTACATTAACTTGAACTATTAACTTGATCCTGTTTGTATGACTTTGTAGATTGCATGAGTTCGTTCCTAGTTGGCGTCCAACACTTGACTTAACCTCAGCCTGTCGATGAAATCTCACGAAATGCAAATGTCTTTCTTTTTCACAGATGACCACAACATCCAATGGCATCTAATGCTATCCTATGCTCAGTTGGAGGTGGTCGAGTCTATCGAGTGTGTTCCTTCCCTTAGGGCTACGATGTTGACCACCTCCATCTCGGCTTGTTCAACGATTATGTCCTCGTCTTGCCTCATCTCACGACTCATCTAATGCTTTGGTCTGACGCCTTTCCTTTCCCTCTTGTAAACAACAGACTGATGCATGATGATCTCAGCAATTTCAACCACCGAGCTAGCTCTCTTTTCAAATCCCCCACCAGCGTCTCAGCATCTTCCGAGATTCCTTTTTCCACATTGGCCTGTTAGAGATATCCAGGATCGATATCTCCCCAGTCAAACACTAGAGGAGAGACAACAGAACCAACGTCTTGAGAATCATCGCAGGAGACTCCTCGCATCTATGACACGATCTTCATCTAACAGACTCAGGTCCCCTAGTCCCACCCGCCCACAGTCTATTCGACAACGTGCTACCAACTTGAGTGAGGGCGAAATCAGTGTGCTTGACCTTGGTCCTAGTCTACAGACGACCCCGACTCCGTCCTCTCGAATCCGTCGCAATACAGGCTTACTGAGTGAAAATTCTGCGTTACGCGCTGCTCTTGATAGTCTGGCGACGGATGATACCAGAAATGAACGACGACTACACACTGAGGACCTGGAATCGGAGGTTGTCAGCTCGACCAGTGGAGACATACCAAACCCACATCCTTTCAGCCAACGCGAGCGCCGCCAGAATACCACGATTGCTCGCAGTCTTGCCCCCGACCCTCTGATCCGTCGACCTGGTCGACAACTTCGTGATAGCCGAGTTGCTTCCTCCGGTGATATTCAGGGCCTTGGCCATAGTTATGGATATGGGTATGGTTATTCAATACAGGACAACCAGCTTCACTTCTCCGATGAGCCCAACAATCACATCATGGCCCAGTCTGTTCCTCACTCTCCGCGATCACCTCCTGCGCCCCTTCGTCGGGTACTTTACTCGACAAACTACTACTCTGTCCTCGGCCCGGACCACTCAAGCTTGCGTAACGTTGAGCAGGCAAACAATTCAACTCCAGGTGATAGGTGGACAACTTCCCAAGATGGGGATGAGGATTGTCGGCAGTCACGCACTCGGTAAAATTCGTGCAAATCCAGGTTGTTTGTAGCGAAATAACGGAAACTATTGTTAATCACAGTGCTTGCAATGACATTGGGTTATTTGAGCATTGCCTGAGGAATATGCATGGGAAACTTTTGTCATCACTTGGAGAAGAGACGTTTATCTTTGCTAGTTAGCATTACTGAGCAGTTCAACAACCAACATACTAGCATTTCCTTTTCGACTACTCTCGTCTTCAACCCCCTTTTGTCTCAGTCACTGGTACAAATACAGCATCTTTGTGTTGGAAGTTGGCCATTGGTAACTAAATATAGCACAATCCTAGTCAACTGGTTCTTCGGCTCTTCTGTCTATAATTCGCCAAATTAATTGAGACCCTATGGTACTTCATAGTGCCTAAGTAAAGTTCAGCTCCCTTGATTCAGACGACTCATCAGCTTCCTATTTTGTATCTCATCTCAGACAGTGGCCATGAGACGGGGTCTATGCTAAGCATTCTCACTTCCAGGGTTCCTCAGCCACAAATAAGCTTGCCAGGTGCCATAGTCAACAGGTCATGTTTCAAGTGTCAGATTATAGTCTCCCCCAGGTCCCAAAATAGACTTTAATACGAGAATTCCCGGTAGAAGCCGGTAGAAATGGCACTCTATAGCTGTATTGGTCGATTGTCGGCAAATCCCGCATGTCTCAAAACTTGACCCTGAATTTTTGTCTCTCTATATAAACGATCTACTTCTTCACTTGACTCTGTATAAATTTCACATATAATTCACTTGCAACCTATTTTTCAAGACGTCAACATGGCTCTCTCAGCATGCAACGTTGTGACAAATCCCTCTTTTGAAACCGGCGTCCTGAACCCGTGGCATGCATCTGCTGTCGACGTCGCCAAGATCAGCAATGGCACAACTGCCTACAGTGGTGAATATTATCTGTAAGGAACTCCTGATCTATAGCATTTCAATTTGCTCATGATCACTCTGAACATCTGCTAATCGATTACCCAGTAACCTTCAAACTGCAGTGGGAAACCGGGGAAACACAATCTCGCAGTCCCTGCAGCACCTCAAGCCACGATCCAAGTATGACTTCAGTGCACAGGTACAGGTGCCGTCGCCGTCCGGTTCATCGTACTGCTCCGTGTATGTCTACTCGGGCAAGAACGCGACGGTCGGCGCCATTGCTTCGGCACAGTTATTCAACTTTGGAGAATGGACAGGGATTAGCGGAAGCTATATTCCCAGAAGAGATCATGACGTTTTGAACATTGTGGCTGCTTGTGACTCGGAGGATTCATCCGTGACGGGCAATGTGCTGATTGACAACGTTAGCTTGATATCTGAGAAGTGTGGATGGGCTTCGGACTAGGTTCTTGTGTCATTCTTCTGTGTCTTGTGTATGAATTGTTAGGTGACTTGTCAAATTCCAATTAATGTTATATGGCTGGGTTGTCCAAAAATAGAGAAAAGCGTAAATGGCAAGTTGTATATATCTTGCGACGGGCTATTAAACTCAAACCAGGGATGAGCTCAAATGGCTATGAAGCTGCAGTCCAAGTAAGTCTCATTGATCCACATCTATTGGAAGTCAATACTGGAAAGTATCCCATGTAAACGCGACAAAAGTCGACGTTGAACAGTTGAAGTATGCAAAATATAGTTCCCATCTGGGCAGGTTCCAGCCCCCATGACGTAATCGCAACACCGCCTTCACCAGCCACACGATGACCTTCCCCCCGCAGATCCCCCAGGCACAGCTCTTTCTCCAAGTTCCAGCACTCAGCATCATGTGGAACGACGAGGATAACAACCCCTATGGGGCCTTTGATCAGCATCAGTCGCATCTTTCTGACTCTCTCCACTCCGCTGCGTTGTCTCCACGTAAGGCCCTCTAATCAGTCTGCCTGGGGAAAACTGTCTCTCACATCGCTCAGCTCTCTATGCACAGGATTCCACTCCTCCATCAAGCCGCGACTCTAACCAAGATCCACCTGAATATATCACTAATCCGGAAGATCTCAGCGATCCTGAGGATGAGGTTGAATACGGAGCCGCGAGCCAACAATACCCCCGGAAGAGTGTCTACGACAGCCGGATTGAGCAGATTCTCTATGAAAATCCGGAGATGCCAATTCTGATTACCGACGCGGGAAAGAACCATGAGAGCGGTGGGGGGTTTATTGTTTACACTATCCGGACTGCGGTAGGATGATGGTATTCGGAGAGTATTCGTGCTGTACTGAGTGATGACAGGACCTGGAAGTGCGCCGCCGATACTCCGAGTTTGCATCTTTACGACAAACCCTCGTTAATTTGCATCCCACTCTTGTTGTTCCGCCTATCCCTGAGAAGCATAGCATGGCGGACTATGCGGCCAAGCCCACCAAGGCCAAGGAAGACACAGCCATTATCGACCTTCGGAAGCGCATGTTGAGTGTCTTCCTCAACCGATGCAGACGAATGAAAGAAATCCGGGAAGATGGGGTGTGGTGGAGGTTCCTCGACCCGAACGTCAGCTGGGTACGTTGCACTGGGATCCTTGCAGCCAGTCACTAATTCATGTTCATGCAGAGTGAGGTCTTAGGTTCGCACCCCGCATCATCAGTTCCGAAAAATAATCTCAAAGCGCCGCCTCTTGATCCTGCCAACCCGACACCGGCCCATGGATGGTTGCCAGTCCCATCTTCATCCGCAAAGCTCAAGCCCAGCGGCGGGGTTGTGACATCGACCGGAGGTCCAGCATCGCCTTCTTCAGCCGAACCAGAGGGTCCTCCGCCCTCATTCCCAGGGCCCGAAGTTCTTGGGCGTTTCCCTCCCGAGTCGCGGAAGCTTAGCGAACCGGAGTTGGATCCATACTTTATCAATTTCGAAGCATCTACGCGCGAGCTGGAACTTCTGCTGCAGGGAAATATAGAAAAAGTCAATCGTCGCACTCTTTCCCATTTGTCCTCCCTTTCAGCCGACCTTATGGAATTAGGAGCTCGTTACAACGGATTTTCGCTCTCCGAGCAGTCGCCAACGGTGGCTGCTGCCATTGAGAGGATCGGACAAGCTGCTGATACTTCATATATTGAAACCGAAGAATTGTCATCGGCTTTAAGTGCAAACTTCGCGGAACCCATGCGAGAGAGCGCACAGTTCGCAAGTGTAGTTCGCGGTGTTTTGCGATACCGCGTGCTCAAGCGGGTGCAACAAGAGATGACACGAGATGAGTTGGCCAAGAAGAAGACTCTTCTTGATTCACTGGAGCGCAGTGAGCTAGAGGCCAAGCGCATTGAGCAATATCTCAACCGCACTACGCACCAGACCGGTGGTACCAAGCCCCGTTCTCTGTCGACCTCATCCGCAGTCAGCAGCGAGACTGGTCATGAGTCTTCCGCCGACTCTCAATTTCCCCCTACGCATGACGACTCTTATGGCCACCCACCTGCATCTCAGAGCGGAGGAGCCAAGTCGCCGTCAGCATCTCCTGCACACCGCAAGACTTCAAGTGGGAACTTTGTGACCAACAAAATATTCGGTCGCATTAGTCATGCTATTCACGGGTTTGCTGATGTGGACCCGGAACGAACACGTCGAGACCAGATCGGAAAGACGAAAGAAAGTCTTATTCAGGTATGTACTCGGGTGGAGATGTTTCAGATGCTTCCAGAACTAATAGAAGAGCCAGTTGGAGCAAGCATTGGAGGTTTCCGAAAAGGACGTCCAGGACGCCAGCGCCGGCGTTCTCCAAGACCTCAAACGCTTCCAGAAGGATAAAGAAGCTGATCTGCGGCGGTACATGGTATGTACAGCGACGGCCCGGATCTCCACTTGTACTGACATTTCTTAGGTTGCATATGGCCGTTGCCACTTGGACTGGGCGCGGAAGAATCTAGAGACCTGGACTGAGGCCCGAGACGAGGTGGACAAGATTGTGGCTCGGTAAACCGTGTATACTTCAAGTTCTGGCGCTGGAGTTTTAGGGGTGGGAATTATGATCTAGCTTCAATGGAGCATACATAAGTTCAGTATATATGCAGCGCAAGACACGTAGAACACATCTGCCATATCTCCCACCCTTAGGGCTGTCAACTCTGTTCTCGGGGAATGAGGGCACATTCCACTTGGCCCGTGTGGAGCTGCTCCTTCATCTTCCCCTTCGCCCTCCCCTTCACCTTCATCGTTTCACCTCCTTGCTTCAGTTAACCCACTCTGCATAGACTGCAGTAACTCAAAATAATACCAAAGTCAAATTTAAGCCCGCATCTCTATGCATCACAGATAATCTCCAACTTTGACTTGAAATCCTTCCGCATTCGTCAATGCCAAGACATCAACATCAACATCAACGTCAACGTCAATCTTAGGAACTGGCATTCCACACCTTGCAGGCATGCCCCTCGGTGGACATTTTGCTCCGCATCCCTCTGGACCCCTCTGGTGCTTACCCCCACCCTCGAAGGGTGGCGACCGCCGTGCGTCGACTGAAAACGATGTGTGCCTGGATCCATTGCAAGGATGATCGTCAGGGCCAGTCACTTATCACGGCCGGAGATTCCACCTGGGGACCATGAAAATCCTCAACTGTGTTCTCTTCGGTCTCTTTTGGCACAGTTCCCTCGACGTTGGATTAAGATGCTCGCCCTCCTCGGTCTCGTTGGTTTCTTCTCTGTCGGTCTCGGCGTGAGTATCAATGCTAGAGACCAAAACTTTGCGAACGGTCAAAAGCTCGAGGATCTTGACCTGGCCGTGAGCCAATTCCCTCCTTCGCGCCAGACTCAGCAACATACACATGATCCTACTATCCTTCGCGTCGGCGATGAATACTATCTTTACAATGTTGGCGAACATATCTTCATTCATACTGCCCCCAGCATGGCTGGCCCATGGAAGCATGTTGGTAATTTGCTCGATGCCAACAGTGTAATTCCGAAGGGTGACCGGGCTGCACCCTGGGCCCCGACTGTCATCGAGGTGGATGGCACATACTATTGCTATTACAGTGTCAGCAAGGCTGGCTGCCGGGATAGTGCTGTGGGAGTTGCTACTTCCAACTCTCCAGGCCCTGGCAACTGGTTTGACCACGGCATTGTCATTCAAACTGGTACGGGAAATGGCTCGGACATTGAGCCATACACATTTTCCAATGCCATTGATCCTGCGACGTTAATTACCCCCGAGGGTGATGCTTATCTGACATTTGGAAGCTACTGGAACGGTATCTTCCAAATTCCTCTCGGCAAAGATTTGATTTCGCCGGTCAGCACCACGGAACCCGATGCCCGTCAATTGGCATGGGAGCCCAAGTCTCTCGGCATGCCGAGCCGGTTGGCCAATAACATCTGTGGTGACCCGACTGGTCCTCATGCTATCGAAGGTGCCTTCACTTCTTATAATGATGGGTGGTATTATCTGTGGTATAGCCATGGCTTCTGCTGCAACTTGAAGAAAGACAACCTGCCGCCTGCTGGTCAAGAGTATGTTCTCGTCGCCTCTCCTCGTGACTAATACTAACCATGTGGTAGATATTCCATTCGAGTCGGACGGTCCCAGAGCCCCCGTGGCCCATTCTTTGACAGATCTGGTATCGACCTTGTCAACGGCGGCGGTGAAATTGTCTATGGCTCGAATGGAGACACCTACGCTCCAGGTGGCCAAGGGGTTATGCGCGATGGGGGTCAAGATGTCCTCTACTACCATTACTGTGAGTTTCCAATTAGAAACATACTTGATATGAAATCACACTGACTTCTTCACAGTAAACAAGACCGTCGGCATTGCATTCTCGGTAAGCTCCCACTCCGGCAGGCTTGTAGATCGTGATGTTCGCGATCTCTGCACCCCTGACGATCCTCCTTCATTCTCCCTTCCACCTGCTTCCATGTCACAGGGATCTGATCTAACACACATCCCAGGATGCCTTCCTTGGCTTTAACCCTCTCAACTATGTTGACGGATGGCCTGTCGCTCAGGCTTGATCGCCCATATCATGCCCTTGTTTACTCGTTGTCTGCGGCTTTTCGGATTTCAAGACTCGATACATCTATAGACTAATAACCCGCGACCCTCCTTCACCCCTTTCGATCTTCGAGCATGGACCGCTCGGGTTCTGCACATTTCGCGTTTTCGCTGTCGACATATTTGTTTTACGTTATTATAGATCTGGTCTCATTTTGGGGATTGCACATACTGGCTGTTCTGGCTAAAGGCGTTTGTCTGCATTCTGCGTCTAGATCTTGGGACTTGAAATAGTTCCCTTTTTTATATTAGACGGTTGGTCTTATTGGCGTTGTGATTTATCATGCCAAATACATACTGCTTTGCCTTTTGTCGAACCTACTCGAAGCCATGTAAGAACGAACTCGTCTATTGATTTAGGGTAAACCAGTATGAAATCTGTCACAGCCCCCGACGACATAGCCGACGAGATAGGGCTAATAGCATAGAACTTTTGGAAATATCATATGAATCTGTCTTATCCGTATTCCCATACCTCAACACCCACAAGTCATCCCATCGTCGAGGATGGTTGCTTGGTCGTCAAGATTCGGTGAATAACGCTTGCTTCGCTTGAATCCTGATAGCTACCAGGCTGTGTTGTCATCCTTTCGGTTTTGTTCTCGTCCACGGCGATCACTGCGATTCCTGTCTCTGTTTTGTCGATTGTCATCTTCACTCCATGCCCCATTGTGATTGTTGTGAGAGTTCCTTTCCCATTCATCTGCGGTATGTTTGTCGCTCCAGGCCCCATTGTTTTGCTTGGGCTCATTCTCGTGGTTGTCCCAGTCGTTGCCATGACTTGATTGGCCCCATGCTGTCCGTTGAGAGCCTCGGTTCTTGTTCTTGTTCGAGTGATGATTCTGCCAGTTGTCGTTCGATCGATTGATTGCGCTTCGGGGTTGAGATCTGCTCCTGTGATGGCCGTTGCCATTGCCATTGCCCCATCCTTCACTATTTCCACCGTCATTTCCCTGATGGTTTCCATGATCGGCACCGTCATTCGACCACCCAGAATTATGGTGATTTGAGTGGCCAGTATGATGCTCTTGGTTGTTGGGCTCTGGCTGTGCTTGTACCCAGCTTGAGGTCTGCTGTCTGTGAGAGTTGTTCACAGAGCCATTGTGATAGCTCCGATCAGAGTGATGGCCATTGCCATTCTTCTTGTTCCTGTTGCGCTGGCGGTTGCTGCATTTTTTTCCATTGTTTTGATTTGCCCAGCCTTCATCCTGAGAATTGTGATTCTTGTCATGTTCATTGCCCCAAGCACTTCCTTGGTTGTTGTTACTGTTGTTGTTGCCCCAATCTTGAGTCTTTTTGTCTTGATCTCGCTGAGACTCATGTCCGCTGTCCTGGTTCTTTTGGTGTTGTCTATCGTCCCAATTGCTATTTTCTGGCTGCGTATCCCAACCGCCAGGTTGATTCTCTTGGCCATGTTGTGACCCCTTGCCCTTGTGGCTTTTACTGTTCGACTGAGGTTGATTATCTTGCTGCTGCTTCTTCTTCTTCTTCTTCTTCTTCTTCTCCTGGGCTCGCTGCCGTTTTAGTTGTCTCTTTGATAGTGGGTTCGCGGGTTTCTGGGCCGGCTTCTTGGAGGGATTTGGGGAAGAATTAGGTACGATTCGGTTGGGGCCTTCGAGATGTTGGTCAGAATGTGGGCGACCTTTGTGTTGACCCGGATGGTAAACGTACTCTGGGGAGCGCAGTGGAATGGAGTCGGAAGCTTTGGGGCGACACCACCCTGCGTTGACATACTTCGGGACCCATACAGGACCTCTGAGATGACCTCGCTCGGCATCGTTGTGTTCAGCCCGATCCCGATTGATTCTGGCTATCCACTGCCCTTCTGCCAGTCCCTTTCTCACGTGCCTGGCGTACCAAAGCCAGGCCAAACAGGCGAGACCCGGGGCAAGGAGCCCAACAGTAAGCAAAATTGCGATCAAAGCGTTGGTCTGCATTGTCGAAAGAGCCAAGAAAGAGCTGCTATGGAGGGAGAAAGAGAGAAGCAGAGGGAAGTTGTCAACGTGCACAAGAGTTGAGGCGAGAAAAGATGAAAAGGGAAGGAGCAGACTAGACATGAATTGGGATTCTGATATTCGGTTCGATCTATGAAATATTCGGTAGGCTACGCTGGATTCTTGACAGCCAGTCTCCATGCACAGATGCCGCTCGACCCGCAGTGAGAAGCAACACCAGAGAATGAGTGATTTCTTTAGGATCAACCATACCCTGTGGCCCCGAGAAGTCCGGAGATGTCAGAGCTGAAGCAATCGCAATAACTCGATACCCAAGAGTAAAGGCCTCGGGGGTTGAAACCCAACCCATTAGTCCATCTTGACCATCTTTCTCCTTGAGAAGACTGGCCATGTATGTCAAACCCTCGGAAGCCCATATCGAGATCTGTTGCAATGAAGTCCTCTGGAACGCCGACTGCTGCAAGTGAGTCAGACCCTGAGACCAGACCTCAGCTTCGCGTATCTCATCAATAAATAGGTTCTGCTTTTCTTCCACAAAGAGAACAGTACTTTCCTGTCGATACTCGGCAAGCAAGTTGGCCACTGGGGCGAGGCGGGTTTTGTTGTCAGATGCGCTGAGTCGGGGCTGTTGCCCTGTCAGATAAAGAAGAACCTGCTGTCCCAGCAGTGTAGAGTCCGAATAGCTCGCGACGATGAACTGTGCAAGAAGCGCACTCGCGTTCAAAGGTGCCAGAGTAACATCGGCATCAGGGGAGACAAAAGAGTGAGATAACACCCAAGAGGCAGTCGACGCAGACATGTCACGCAGCTCCTCGTCATCGTCATTGAGCATGTCATATAGAACTAGATAGGTGTTCAATAACACTGGGTCAACGCGAGGCTTGGCACCTGAAGGGCGGAGAGCCCGTGCAAAACTGCCAACAGAGGCGACTGCTGCAAAACGAGTGGTAAATTCCTGCAAGCAAGTTGATAATTAGCAGTGGTCAAGAATATTTCGACATTGAACAAAAGCTCAAAGCCGGAACTTACAGTCTCTTCACTTAAGGCAGAACACAGTTTGACAGTCCAATTGTGAATGTCCTTCTCGAAGGAGACGGAGGCACTTTCTCGATCAAAGGCCAATCGAATAGCCAGCAGGCAACCTCGAAGCCGAAGCTCGGCGTCTGTTGCTTCGCGATTCCAGGTCTCAATATCTGTCTCAGGGCGGAACTCGTTCGCGATAGCCTCCCAAGGAAGATCAAGCCGAGAAACATCATCAAACTGGGAAGCCATTGTCTTCTCCAAGATTGAGGCTAAATTAGATGCGGCCATTGTCCGCACATATGGCGGGCTATCGCCAAGAACCACCGAAGTATACAGGTCAGCCAAGGGCTTTTGATACCTTTCATCTGTGACAATCTGTTCATTGAGTCTTTCGGTAATCCAGCGAACAGCATCGGAATCAAACTGCGACACTCCGTTGAAGAATACTAGAAGCTCTTGTGTCTGCCCCGAAACAAGGAGCTTCATCGTTGTGCACCAAGCTAGTGCTCTTCTGAGAAGAGCGGATGATCGAGTAGCACTGGCCAGATTCCACCCTGACTGAGAAGCATCGAAGACAAACGTCAAAATTCCATCGAGATCGTGAGCTTCATACATTTCGTTGATGAAAGGAATAACCATGGCTGTTATCATGTTATTATAGAACTTGCTCAACAGTTTTTAAACTTGACTTACCCTCGCTGTGGCCTTCGATAGCCCGCCCCAAAGTTTCCACTAATATCTCAACGAGCTCTGCTGCCACGGTCGGTGACTTTCCAACATGGAATAGCGCTTTCAGCACAGTGCGCAGAGTAGAGAGAAGTCCATCAAGGTTTGCTGAGAATTATTAGCGCCCTGTCATCGAGAGAATTGGGTTATACATACAAGTCCAGAAGGCATCGGTACTAGCTGCATATCGGCGAAGAGCATACCGCACACACATAGCAACTCCGTGCACATAATTCTCAGTGATGTTGGATGGAAGAGCAACAAGCTCACGCAAAGTTTGGGGGATGTTTGTACGTGAAAGGAGCGAAGCATATACACGAGCTGCGTGCTCTCTGACTCCCCAAACAGGGCTGCTCAGGTGTGCAATGACCAAGTCACGCAGCATCTCATCAGTGCCATCATTGCTGGGAACCTTATCACCAACCAGTTCAAGTGCAGGGAACACCCGTTCGGTGATGATTTCAGTGCCCTCCGCTGCTTCTCCTTGTGTGGTCGTGAGAAGACCAGAGAGCAATTCCAATAGGCCTGGGTACTTAGGGAATGCAATTCTAGATCCAGGTTCCGATCCAGAGCTGCCTCCAAATCCAGGCCCAGCACCGGGGATAGCGCGACACATTTTTGTAAGCAGGGCACGGAAGAGCATCAAACCCGAATTTCGAAGTGCCCAGATTGGTGATCCCAGACGTTCGGCAGACAGCGTCAATGCCTTCATGATAAAAGGCTCTGTGTACGGACCAAGCTTCGCGTTTGTAAAGATATCCTTCAGACAGTTCATTGCATGAACTTGGGGGAGTTCCAAGTACTGTCTTTCCTTGTCGTACTGCACAGGGAGGTATGAAATTCTATGGAGCTCTTCTAAAGCTTCCTTGAAGAATGGGGTTCCGGGATCCGAAGCAACAATTCCCGTCACGAGTGCAGGCAATCCAGCAGACCGGCGAGTAAGTTTCGATGCAGAATCGAAGATGGTCGATTTAGCCTCTTGGTACCAACTCCGAGGAAGCTCTCGAATTGACGGATCTTTCGCGGAGCTGCATCTCTGACAACATGTGGCAAATGTCTGTGACACGTTTGAAAATGCACCTCTGTGGCGGAGCTCAGCCAGTTGTGTGAAGCTCGCACCTCCGATCTTTGCAAAATCTGCGCGCTTGAGTCCGTCATCTCCGCTAGGTCCATAGCTAGTATTGACTAATGTGGCGTGGAGGAGAAGGGTCGATTCACGAAGGGATCTCCAAGAGTAGGAGAGAACATCCTTGGGGCCGACATTGAGTTCTTCAGTTGGCTCATCCGAATGACCCTCGGGAGAATCGATGCACAGTACAGGCTTTGCTTCCAACCAGATTCTATCACAGATTGAAACAATTCGTTCATGAACCGACTTCCAAGCGGCAGATCCTGACTCGTCTGAGATCAGAGTGTGGAAGTTTGGCATAAGAACGATGAGTCTCAGACCAGATGTATAGCCGTGAAGAGGAGCTTCACGAATTCCAGAATTGAAAAGGCCATTTGTGCTCGACAAGCGCTCCTCGAGCTTGGTCAAAAGCGCATCAACCACAGAAGCCTTGGTAGACCACCAGTTTGTAGCCGCCTTGCCAGAGTTTCCCGGAAGTGCCGCAGCAAAGATGATATGGTATAAACGTGCAACAGTATCTGCATGATCGGCTCTGCTAGTATTGCTTGCAAGGCTCTCTGCTCGGGCAACAGCATCTGTCAGCCTCATTGCTACGGTGTAATCTTGAGCGTTGGTGTCCATTCCATTCAATAGAATTTCCCGAGGACAAAGACTGAGGATCGAAAGAGAAGTCTGGCGTACTTCTTCAAACGGATCCATAAGAAGATCAATCAACAGCCGAAGTAAGTGCGTATCAAAGACTTCCACCTGTACCTTCCATACGTTTTCAACTTCAGACTTTTGCGGCTTCGCCTCCGTGCGTGGATCAAGGCCCGAGTCCAGTAAAAGCTTCAGGGCCTTCAAGGCTGTGATATGGCGAGGATATGACGCATTCAAACGCAAATCACTTCCCAAGAACTGAATGTATTCCATTAAGAATTCTTTGGTTTCACTCTCATTCTTCACCTGTCCGGTAGTAGTTTTGTTTGCTGTGCTCTCGGTATTCGAAATAACGTCTTCATCCTTCACGATCCCTCCCTTGAGGCGAAGAATAAATCTTCGTGTCAGGCTGAGAATTTCACCTCGGGTATAGGCGTCTGATTCGGCATGCATTGAGGGCAAGCCTCGCAGTATGGCCTTGGTTGCTCCGACAGTAAATGGCTTGAGTGTGGAGAAGGCTGTGATGAGCAAGGATAGAGCGGCGATGCGGATATTCGCTTCGCGGTGAAGAAGGAAATTACCAATGACTTCGCTCTTCAAAAGTAAAAGATCACTCTGGTTGATCTTTGCTTTACTGGCATTGAGGATGTCTGAGAAGGATTAGCATGCTTTTGACTCTATTTCATTTCCACCGATTCACTCACAATCCTCGTGGACCAAATTAACCTTTTTGCCAACTTGTAGAGCAGCGAACAAGAGCATATACTCTGCTTCAGATTCATCACTCATATCACCTCTGAGGAGACTCTGGACAGGCAAGGTCTCAAGAAAAGTCCTAAAACCGCTGGGGTCTATGGTAAACAATGGCTGCAATAGCCTATTTGATAGGTCTTCCAGGCTTTCCTCGCTTTGCAAGATCATCCTTCTTACAGGGGCCACCCAGATATCAGATAGCTTTTGGGCCGATGTTTCGGGTTTCATCTTCTGTATCAAGACGGAAATTAGATTACCGGCTGACGCTGCCATGGTTCTGTTGTTTGTCTGAGTCAACAGCCCCAGCACGAATATTCTGGCTGCTAATTCATCGGACATTTCTGACGAGCCAGGTTGATCTTGCAGAGCTTCACGATGCTCGGCAAAAACAGTAGTCCACTTTTCTGGGTTCTTCTCTAACCAACTTCGAACGGAAGAGATGAACTCGGACGGCAAGAAAGCGCCCTTGCGAATGAACATCTCGAGAAAGACTAAGCTGCCCTTGAGGCATGATTGGGGCTCCCCAAGCACGATACTAGGAATGATCGCTTCAATGATTGCCAATTGAATGACTTGCCGTGGCTCTCCTTGATGGCGTTTAGCTAAAATAGTCGTGATTGAGCCCAATAACTGCTTGATATGCTTTGGCTTGGCATCTTCATAGCGAGTCAAGCAGATATCGAAGATTGACAACCAGAGCTCCACTGAAAGAGCCAATTGCTTAGTTGCCTCACATTTGGAGTTTGTGGCAGCATCAATGAAGGCAGAGCCCGCATTGTAAGCCTCTGCTGAATGGGGTGGTGACAAAGAAGGACTGGACAATGTCTGAAGCAAGGACTGCCACACCCGATTCACCTGACTAGAAATCAAATTGTCAGATCATGTTTTGCTTGTCCGCTTGCACATCACTTACTCGGTCTCTTGGCATGTCAGTGTGAATTTCACCAATGGACCTTTGGCGATCTCTCGGAGGGTTTTCTCCGACAAAAATTGAGCATTCTGTGCAATGGCGTCCATATCAATGGACGCGCCTTGTAGACGGGATATCTCAGCTGCCATAACCAGGTCGATGCCACATTCCCCGGGTCTTGACTCTGGGATCATGGCTTATGGTCAAGAGATATTAATTTTCTTCGATGCTCCCCGCGATGCCTGAGGCTCTAATCAGTGAACTTCCATATCGGTACTAGCGCTCTCCGGCCAACCGCCATCCACGTGACCTGAGTCACGGGACCGAAGTTTTTGCTGGCTCCGATGGCCAGTGGAGCTGCGAACACAGGGTCATCACCTCTCTTTCTCTTATCCCTTCCGTTCTCTAACCTTTATCCCCCTAATTCATCTATACCTCCCTCACGATGTCCATCTGGGACTCCCTTGGCGGTCGCAAGCAGAAGCAGCCTGAAGCCTACGATGCTTCGCAAGACGCCACATCCTTCCTCTCCGAGGTCGCAATCCCCGATCCTTCTCGCCTTCACCCTCTTGCTGGTTTGAACCAGGACACCCTCGACTATCTCTCCCTCGAAGACTCCGCCCTCGATGAACTCCCCGGCTCCCGATCAGTGTTGCCATCCCGTGGATGGTCAGACGACCTTTGTTATGGTGCCGGCACTACTTATCTCGTTGCACTCACTGCTGGAGGCGCATGGGGATTGGCAGAAGGATTGAATAAGACACCCTCCACGGCACCACCGAAGATTCGTCTGAACGGTGTCCTTAACTCCGTCACCCGCCGCGGTCCGTTCCTGGGGAACTCTGCCGGTGTTGTGGCTATGGTTTACAACGGTCTTAACTCTGGTCTTGGATATGTACGCGGCAAGCACGATGCTTCCAACAGCATTATTGCTGGTGCACTGAGCGGAATGGTCTTTAAGAGCACACGCGGTGTCAAGCCTATGATGATCTCTGGCGGCATCGTGGCTAGCATTGCTGGCGCCTGGACTGTATGTATCACTCTACCGTTTCATGCGACATGCGACATTCTCTAACCAACTTCTAGGTTACGCGACGGGCCTTCTTCTAGATTGCTGGCATGACCAGTTTTATCCTTTCGACTTCTCGATTCTCCGGTCTTCGGTTCAACGAATCTCCATACCCTCTCCGCCATCCATCAACGACATTGGCGGTTGACGATTAGCTACCAAACTCTGTCCTTCCACTGCGATGTATTACAACCATTTTCTTTTCTTTCCCGATCTCTTCACTCCGGCGCTCAAAGCATCCATATTTCGCATTTATGCGTGGGTTGGGAATGGGGTGTGCAACTGGGTTTGTACTTTGTATTTTTTCTGTGTACATAGAAAAGTCTCTTGCATACCTACGATTCATTGGCTATGGCGCTTATGTGTCTGTCAGTAACGTGTTAATGCTGCTCGTGACTTCCAATAGACAATTTCTCACTTCCTAATATGCATTTCGGTCCAAAAAAACGGTTGATGGATTATACTGGCGTTTCGCTATGGAATGAGCTGCAGCGCAAGTGTTGAAAGTAGCTCTGATGAACACTCATTGATATATGATATCCCCAATGAAGCAACCCTGTGCCTAGTATATCTAACAATCCTTCTTTAGACCCCTTCCAGTTCCTCTGGCATCTTTTGGGCAGTGTCATTCTCTGACATGTCTCAAGAGAAGAGACCTGCCACGGATCCAAGCAGAAGAATTCCAACCATCCCAATAGCAGACTTTGACAGTGGCCGAGAAACCACACCAGCAGCCGCATTGGCCGTCGAAGTGGCAGTCGAACCAGTCGAAGTGCTCGAGCTAGTAGAATCTGCGCCAGTAGTCGAGACACCCTGAGTCACTACTCCAGTACCGGTAGCAGTGGCTGTCGCAGTCGCCGTGGCATTCGCATTGGTGTTGCACCACACCTCGCCAGCTTCGGAGGCTTTGATGAGGCATTCGGCTAGGGTTCCAACACTCTGTCCTTGAGCCAGACAGTAGTAGTCGCAGCCGTCATATTCCACGACAGATGCGTTGGAGCAGCAGCTGCTCATGATAGCGGAATTGTTGCTCTGCATGGGCATTGCACAGGCTGCATCGTGGGTTGGGATGTCGTACAGCTTGGCAGTGCAGCTGGAGGTGGCTGATGCAGAAGATGTGGTGGAGGTTGTTACAGACATGGTGATGAAATGAACGAGTGGACTGAAGTATTAGGACTTCTGACAAGCTGAATGAGGTGGCTTGGTTAGTATGATCACGGTGGGAGCTCTAGCGACTTTATATTCCTTTGACCTGAGATTGATAGTTCCCACTTCACACTGCCATACAGAAACTGTGATGGAGTTTGATTTACATGAACAAATCATTATCAAGGCCTATCATTCACGGACCACATCGCTTGCACAGCCTTGAGCTATTGAACTATACTACATGACGACGTGTCTCACGCTGAGACCTCAAAGCTGCTAAGCGAGACGACCGACTCCCTGTGCCTTTGGCCTATCAGTCAGATTACTATTTCGGTCTCTGCATCTCTACGTCGTGAATATCAAAGCTTGGCGAATCTGCTTTCATTCCACTCAAGGGTCAAGGGACGCGTGTTCTCCCAGAAGAGCGATTGATCATCTGCTATTGCTCAAGATCCTTGAGAACATAACCCTGGATTGGTGACTGAGATCCAGAGTGCCTGACTGTGGGTAAAGATATACCATCTTTGTCTATGTGACAGGACGTCTGCTTCTCATCTCCGAATGGGCAATTTCAGTTGGTCGTCAGTCTTGAACTATACCATGTTGGCTTCATGAAATGCATGAGCATTAATTTAACAAATCACTATAACTTCGGTACAGCTCCTTCCTACCCAGGGTCTGGAAGGCTGCTTCATGGTATTAGGGCACATCAGAGAATCGGCCTATGCTCGGACTTTGCTAAGAATAGGATGTGCTTTACGCCCGAAGATTGCCATTTCGGACTATTCTGGTCTATCTTTACCCGGATCAACGAGCAGGGATCTCGGCTTTAGATCCTGCCTGGAATCCAGCCCAGTGGATAGCTCGTTGGTGGGTCATTTGGGACTACAAGGACCGGCATGCCGTTCCCGAATGAAAGATCGAATGATTCCTGTTCGAGAAATATTGAAACAAATGACAACCTGTTGCTTTGTATACTTGGGAATGGTATTCCCTTTCCATCTTGAACTGCGATGTTTGATCTGGCCAGAGAGCAACAGAATTGGGGGCAGGCTTCTGTCTCAACTGTCTATTTCCAGCTGAGTATAGGAGTGGATACTCCGGAATAATATATAACAGGAACAGACATCATATCTCAGGCCCTCAAATTCTACGACAGAAGCAGCGAGGTTTCTATACAGCCCATCGAACCGTATTCTACTGCCAGATCTATGATTTCCTGGTTACCATGGCCATGTTGGGTGCAATATAACGTTACAACGGCCAGGATGTGATATACCCTGCCACTCACCAAGTTATAAACATTAGATAAATCATTCAACCCAAGATCATTCGTAGTTCAACAACTCTACTGGAAGTGAACTGAATAAAATTCCGCATGTGGCGTTTAGACCGGTAATTGCCGACGTGGGGAAAGAATTCTGGTCGGCAGAGCCCAGAGCCTTCACATCTCCCGCAATGCCGAATCTAAAGGCGAAAGCGAAAACTCCCAAGCCACGCACCAAGACCTTCACTGGATGTTGGACTTGTCGGGACCGACGAGTGAAGTGCGGCGATGAACACCCCCATTGTCGGCGCTGTCAGCGTAGCGGGCTCCATTGTGGAGGCTACGGCCTGCGGCTTGGGTGGTCCCCAACCCCTGGCGGTCGCTCCCATCGGCGGCAAGTAAAGCCTTTGACTCATGATGGGGGGAATGGGATGTCACCTGTCGCTGTGACAGCACTTTTAAATGAACTGGAGAGCTGTGCGGGCGTCGGCCGTGGCCAGCAGCGAGGGCCTTTCTCGGTGTTCTCCGTCTCGGATGTATGCGATGCTTCACAACCGCTGTCATCCATACAGAGAGAAACAGACCAGCCAAAACCAGACTTGCGTCTCGCTGCTTCATTGGCTGCCGAGGAGAATAACATGCGTTCTTCGGGCGCGAATTGGAATTCCTCAAGCACAACAATATCTGTGACATCCGAGGGAGAAATACCAGACGCAACCACAGACCCAGTTGCCCAGGGCGGAGATGAACCTCTCACTTCGATTGAGACCTTGGTCAATCATCACAGAGTGAGTAGTCCGGTGTTGGATTCAACTATTCCGAATAAGGCCCCATCAAAGATCAGTGCGAATGATTTCGCCCCCTTGCAGAAATCGTTGAATCCATTGGCCCTACCAAGACCAGAAACAGAACTACTGCACCACTGGGTTGTTTTTCTCAGCGGCAATATGCTTCTCATCGACAAACCAGACAATCCGTGCAGAGCTGTGTTCATGCCAATGGCTTTGAAAGGTCTCGATGCCTCCCCGGCGGAGTCAAATATCCACCTTTCCATCTTCCATGCTATCTGCGCCTCCTCCGCATTTAGTCTGTATCATATTCGCCATGACCAGCGATATCACTCTCTCGCTATGCATCATGACCAGCTGGCTCTGCGTCATTTGCGCAGGAAACTGCAACAGGCACAGCGTATTGATGAGACCACGTTAGCTGCGGTTCTCACTTGTATTACATCTGAAGCCATGTCTGGACGACGCAGTCGGTGGCGAACACATGTTGTCGGATGTCTTGGTCTGTTGGAAAATGAATTTTATGGGGATTGGATACGAACTCCTATTGCTTCAAGGTTGCTTCAAAGCTATCTGTCCCTTTCGTCCTTATGCAGCCTTCCTGTGTCCGAGAGATTGATGTCTCTGCTCAATGGCCCTTCGGAATTCCGACACAATCTCGAGCGCTCACATGGGATCACCACGCCACTGGTCCAATTTATCGCACAGATCACGGCCCTTGCCGAATCCAAGGTTCGACTCTCGCTTGAAGAGCTGGATCAGATTGAGATGCAACTCTACCTGAACTTTCCATCTCTATCTAATCCCAATGCACCCGAATCCAGGATCATCCAGCATGCCTTGAACTCCTTTTATTATGCAACGATTGTTTACTTCCGCCGCACCTTGCGACGTGCACCACTCTGCGAAGTTCAAGACTTGATCGAGAAAGCGATTGAAGACCTTGAAGCTGTTGACACACTCACGCGCGGTAATGGTGGTTGTTCCTACAACTGGGGCAGCTTTGTCGTCGCAGCTGATTGCGAGCGACCTGATTTACAGGATCGTATGTTGGTCTATTTTGATGGCAAAAGTCGGCACGGTATACAGAATATCAATTCGCTATGCGAGATCATTCAAGTATTGTGGGATCGACGGACAGCGGCTGGTCCGCACGTCGATATTCACTGGCAAGAGCTTGCAAAGGAGGCTGATTACGATATTATGCTTGTCTGACATGTAATATATGTTCCGCGATAGTAATCTATACACATATGTTTAAACTGTGAATCCTCCGTCGACTACCAATGCTGCTCCACACATGTAACTGCTCATATTCGAGGCGAGGAATAACATGACGTCGGAAATTTCCTCAACCTGCGCAGGACGACCAATAGGGGTCATTTGAAATTGAGAATCCATTGAACCAGATTCAATTTGCTCCTTGATGATAGGAGTATTGACAAAGCTAGTGATCTTCGTCAACAACGTTCAAGGGCATGTCTTTTCAGATATTCTTACCCAGGACAGATAGCGTTGATGCGAATCCCCCGATGGGAATATGCTTTGGCATCCTATTATAAGAATTAGCATCCCTGTATGCGATTCCTCCAGATCTCTAACCATTTTGGTCAACCCGACTACCGCTGTCATTTGGATTAGCCGCATATCCTGCGCAACATGAATCTCAGAACATACCATGCTTCGCAGCAGTGTAATGCGGAATGGCAAATGGCCCTGGTGGACCACCAACTCCAAACATGGAAGAAACATTGACAATCACTCCACGGCCGTTGCGAATACCACGCGAGCTATACAACACTTGATTTAGAACAGGAACTACATGGTTCCGTGATCACTTACTCCTGAGTGAGCATCTGCCGAATGAGAGCTCTTTGACAGAGCCATAACCCGGTCTGATTAATTGCAATCACCTTATTCCACTCTTCCAGTGTCATCTGGTCGGTGGGTGTTGGGTTTCCACTAATACCGGCACAGTTGACTCCAATGTCAATGCCACCGAATCTTTCTACAGTCTTGTGAACAGCAGAGTCAACAGATGCTTCATTTGCGACATTGACATCGAAGATCTCAACATGGACTCCTGGATATGCATCTTGGAGCTCCTGACGAGTGTTCTCGAGAAGAGACAAGTTCAGGTCGACTAGAGCCAATGCGTTGACGCCGTTCTTTGCAAAGGCCAGGGCGGTGGCTTTGCCAATTCCTGTTGATATATGTTAGTGACTGCCCATTAAATGGAAGGTGTCTCGTACCTGAAGCACCACCTGTGATAAATGCAGTTCCCTCTATTTGGCAAGTCATTTTGAGGCGATGCACGAAATATGGATCAAACCCTACCACGCCAGGAGTATAAGAGATGGCTGGGTCGGAAAGCATCTAACGTTTCATCCGTGATCAGAACCGGACGGATACTACAGTTTCCGAGGTATTGTATCGAAATACATATCATATTGTATCGAAGATCAGAGAGTGAAAGAGTTGACTACATGTGGGGCAGTGGATGTCTTTTAGGGCTCGCGGTCAACTTCCTCATTCTTGTTCTATAACTTCCCATCCATGAGCCCCTTTTTCCTTTTTTAACATCCGACATCCGATATCCCAATCAACAGTGTCACGGAAGTCAAGTGGCCGATGACCAAATGGTCGACGAAATGGGACCCGTCCCTGTCATCTTCGGTCATTTACCTTCCTCCAAAAGAGACCAGTTTCCACCCTGACCCTGACTCGCATTTTGCAACCTCCCTCATCTCTGATAATCAACCCAAAGAGAAAGATGGAACAAGGAACACCAATCGAAACCGACGCCATTGTCATTGGAGGTGGCTTCGGGGGGTGCAATTCCCTCTACAAACTTCGTGAACAAGGCCTATCCGTCAAACTCATCGAGGCTGGATCGGCCTTTGGAGGTGTCTGGCATTGGAACCGCTATCCCGGTGCTCGTGTCGACTCAGAAATGCCCTCCTACCAATTCAACATCCCCGCCGTGTGGAAAGGATGGAATTGGTCACAACGTTTCCCAGGCGATGAGGAGCTGCGCCAATACTTCCAGCATGTTGATTCTGTTCTAGAGTTGAACAAGGATGCATACTTCAATACTATTGTTACTCGTGTGCAGTATGATGTGGACAGTGGTCGATGGACTATTGGTACCAATACGGGTCTGCGGGCTACGTGCAAGTTTCTCATTGCTGCGACCGGATCGTCATACAAAAAGCATTTTCCCCAATTCCAGGGTCTCGATGCGTATGCTGGGCCGTTGATCCATGCTGCAGACTACCCTGAGAATCTCGATGTGACGGGGAAACGGGTTGGGATCGTGGGCAATGGAGCCTCGGGTCTTCAGATTGTTCAGGATCTGGCCAAGAAGGATTGCCAACTCGACGTGTTCATCCGTACGCCCTGCTTTGCGATTCCGATGAGACAGCGTGAGATCTCCCCCGAAGAGGCGGAGATGATGAAAGGATATTACGATGGTCTCTTTGATCGTTGCTACAAGTCCGTTAGTGGGTTCCCTCACAACACTCGTCCTCAGTCAGCTCACCAGGCTACTCCTGAAGAGCGGAAAACGCTGTTTGATGAGTTGTGGGCGCGAGGTGGATACAACTTCCTCGTTTCCAACTACTATGATTTCCTGCTGGACGAGAAAGCCAATTCCATGTTTTACGACTACTGGGTGCAGCAGATTCGGGCTCGTATGACAGATCGGGAGAAAATGGAATTGGTTGCTCCGTTGAAGCAGCATATGTGGATTGGAACGAAGCGGCCGAGTCTTGAACAGGACTACTACGAGATGATTGACCGTCCCAATGTCACGCTGCACAACTTGAAGCAATTTCCTATCGTGGAATTCGATTCGAATGGCTTGGTGACTAGCGATGGCAAAACCACAAGGCACCAGGCCCTGGACATCGTAGTCTGTGCGACGGGGTATGATGCAGTCACTGGGAGTCTCCTTGATCTGGGGATCACCGACAAAAATGGCCAGCCTCTGGAAGAAAAATGGCGCAACGGTGTCTTAACACACCTGGGTCTGATGATTCCTGATGTTCCCAACTTCTTCATGGTTTATGGACCTCAGGCACCCACCTCTCTCGCCAATGGACCCCCTTTTATCGAGATGGAAGTTGACTGGATTTGCAAGGTCATTGCGAAAATGGACAAGGAAAGTCTGGAGTCTGTGGAGCCGACAGAGCAGGCAGCTGAACAGTGGCGCGATCATGTTGCTACTGTATGTGAACATACTTTGTATCCCAAGACGGCTTCTTGGTATATGGGCTCCAATATTCCCGGTAAACGCCGTGAGCCACTCATCTATCTTGGTGGCATGCAGCGTTGGTGGCAGAGTTGCACGGAAGCTTTGGCAACGTGGAATGGATTCAGTACGAAGTGAGCGGGTGTTCTCCAGAGAGCTATGCAAGTCTATTTTATCCAAGCCGGATGAGTTCATGGGGAAAAGATTGAAGAATAGGAATAAGATTCATACACCCCCTGTGCCGAAGTTGAACCAGAGCCGGAAATCTTCTATATCACTTGAGAAAAATACGTTGTCACTGAATACCGAGTCTCCTCGAACAAGCGATGACTATCAACATCATAGAATCCTCAAAAGAATCACAAAATAGCCAACGCATTAGGCGGACTCCCAACAATACCAGGAACGTTCAATGGCGCAGAGGTCAGCAAAAACGAATATTGTCCACTGGCAGCACAAGCGTCACTGAGAGCCTTCAAGTCCCAAAGCTCCCCAAGCGGAATACCCAACAAACTCAAACACCACTGGTGCAAAATCAGCTCATGGCTCGCCTGATCAACCCCGTCAATTTTAGAAGGCATAGCTTCCACCGCCATATTGTCCGATGCTACAGCTGCGAAATGATTATCCCATAACCACCGCGCCATCTCTTTGTTGCCTTCTAGACCGCACATTCGGTGACTGGATAGCGCAGTGGCTTGTTGCTCGCCTGTCATGGAACCCAAGGCTTCTGTCACACCAAAACGAATGAGGAGAATATCCCCTGGGCGGAAGGTCACGTTTTGGTGGGCTGCTATTGCTTCAATCTCTGCAGGCCCGATATGGAAGTTGGAGAAAGTTCCATAGGATATTTGTTTGGCGCAAGCGTAACGTTTAAAGTCGATCAATATGCCGCGACCCGTTACACAGCCACGGTTGTGCCAGTCTGGCTTTGTGTTAGGTTGAGGATTTGATTTGGTGATTGGAATGCCGGGGTTGGGTTTGTCTTACGGTCTAGTGTTGGAAGTAACCGGGCTGGATCAGGATTTTGGAGGGATTCGATTGCTGGTTTGGCTCCGTTGTAGGTAAGATTGGTAGAGAGGTGCATGAAGTGACCTTGGTTAGTTAGATTAGCATGCAATGAGTCGAGATTTTGTTCAACGCACAGAAGCTATCCCACTGGCTGCTGGCTTGGGTATTGAATGCCACCTGGTCTGGTCAACTATGATGAGACACAACATTGCATGATCGGTTACCTCATCGTCGAAGCCGAAATGACAGCCTGATGCTGGATCTTCAAGTTTTATGAAATCATGACATAGACTCTTGCGAAAGAAGCCTGGGACTTTGATGCTCCCAATAGGCCAACTGTCCCGGGTTAGCCATGTCTCGTCTCATTCGTGAGAAGTAACCGACTTCAGCGAAATAGACACTCCTTGGCGGACCTCTGCTGCTGCTGCCTTGATCACTTCGGGGGTAAGAAGATTTAGGGTCCCCAGAAGATCCTTTTTGCCATTCTTGTCAAAAACACCCCAGGCACAGCCTGGAGGCATACCCTTGACGGAAGGCAAATCATCGAAATTGGGAAGCGACGCCATAGTCGAAGTATAAAGGCGAGCGAAGAAGTTGCGACTCGTATAGAAGGGAGCAAAACAAGGGACGCTCGTTGTCAACTGCCCGAAAGATGTTCCCCCACTCGGTGGAGTTGGGCGGAGTCGAGGTATCCGATGCGCCTGTGTGGTGTATTGCAGATGAAATACGGCGTTTCGGTCATATATAAACGCAGTGAATGCGACAGCAAAATATTCGAGTCTCATTGATTATGCATCTACAATACGACCCGGAGTTTCTGAAAGAAGCTGCTCCAATTCTCGAGCAGCTGGGACAGACCGCCAAACCACTCGTGCATGATGTTGCAACGAGACGCGCCATGCTGGGAGCAATGGCGAGCAAGGAATTCTTCCAGCCAGAGGATGTGGAACATCAAGTCTACTACGTCGCTGCGACTGATGGATATGAGGTACCAGTCTACCATTTTCGCAACTCTCTGCCTCGAGAGGGACGAGAAGCGGCCATCATTCATATACACGGCGGAGGATACATCGCGCTCAGTGCAGCGGTCCATTCTAGGTCTCATGTAGACACGGTGTCTCAAACCGGAGTTCAGATCTTCAGTGTTGAGTATCGATTGTCGCCTGAGAACCCATATCCAACACCCTTGCATGATTGCTGGGCCGTCTTGGAGTGGGCTCACAGGAATGCCGAAAAACTGTCGATTGATCCAGCACGCATTGCAGTCATGGGAGAGAGTGCTGGTGGTGGTCTAGCTGCTGCTTTGACTCTCCTGGCCAGGGACAAAGCGCTGTCGCCTCCTATTGCCAAGCAGATTCTCATCTATCCCATGTTAGATGATCGAACTGTGACCAACCATGCGGGGGAGTTGGCTTTCTGGGACTCCAATGACAATGTCACCGGATGGACGGCGTATTTGGGATCAGATGTCGGTGGTGATAAGATCGTCCCTTACGCTGCTCCGGCTCGAGTGGAATCAGTTGATGGTCTGCCTCCGCTTTACCTGGATTGCCCACAACTCGACATGTTTGTGCATGAAGGCATGGAGTATGCACGCCGGTTCGTGGCAGCTAATATTCCCACCGAATGCCACATCTACCCAGGCCTGCCGCATGGGTTTGAGGCATTGGGGTCGACCGCGAGTGTCACGAAACAGGCTCTTGCCAATCGGAAGAAGGCTATAACCAGCTTTTAAAGCGACAACATGGAGACTAGAGATGCTCAGAGTAACCCAATTGATGGGATTATGAGTAAAGAAACCCCGATGAGTAAATGGACTAATACAAGTATTGTGTAGTATTGTATTTCCCGTTCTGTGTATTAAACATGAAAACTGAGCGAGAGCCAAATACCAAAGCGGGTCGTGGTCTATATAAGGGCAGCGCGCCAGTTCTGAGATGTCAGTTTTGACTGTCAGGTTGGTACTTCTTACTGTCTTTTCATCATGACTTCCATTCCGAGACCCAGCATCGATGTTGTTCAAAGTGTTGTGCGGAATCAAGTTGCCATCGTCACTGGTGCCGCGCGAGGCATTGGCTTTGCCACCTCATCCCTCCTGGCAGAACATGGAGCACGAGTCGTTTTGGTAGATCTGCGTGAGGACGACCTGAAGGCGGCTTGTGCCAAAATCGGCGCACAATCGACATATGAGGTTTGCGACGTGAGCAACTGGGATCAACAGGTCAATCTGTTTCACCGCGTGTCGACTACGATCGGGCCGATCAGCTTGCTCTTCTGCAATGCAGCGGTCAATCCCGAGATTACGTTGCTGCAGGTATCCGACCCGGTGAATCATGCGCGATTGAACTCACAAGTCCGGTATAATTACCTGGCGGATGAAACAGATCCCAAGACCGACGCCTTGCAGCGCCCATCAACCAGCGTTTTCGATATCAATTTGAACTCGGTTGTGTTTGGGCTCAAGCTGGGCGTCCATTATATGAAGCCACATGGGGGCCGGATCGTCGTGGTCGCGTCCGCGGGTGCATACTTGCCCATCCCCTCCCAACCCCTTTATTCGGCAAGCAAACACGCTGTGTTGGGGTTAGTTCGCAGTACTGCATTGATGGATGAGGTCACTCGGTCAGGCCTCTCGGTTTCCTGGGTGGCCCCTTGGTTGACCTTGACGTCCATGGTGGAGGGCCTCGAGGCAACCACCAACCCGATTCACCTGAAAAGTTCCCCCGAAGACGTCGCCTGGGGCATTCTGGCAGCCGCGGCGGCCGAGGCACCCAATGGCAAGGGGTATTGGGTTCAAGGTACAGCGATCAGCGAGGTCGAGGGAGCCTACGGCGAGGTGGCGGGGCAGCTGATCGCGCCGGAGAATCGGTTCTAAGCGGGAAAGACCGGGATGCAGTACCGTACGTCACCCCCTCGGAGTTCGGGAATGAGCACCATGGCCCTGATGCATTGCTCGCTCTTGCGCTTTTTAGCGAGCCGCTCGCATTGGATCATTTGTAATTCTTCAGTTCTCGGAATGGGGCGGGCGGAGGGCCTACTGTACGCCCAGGCATTTAAGTTCGGCCAAGCCCACTGGGGAAGCTCCAGCGAAATGAGCTAAAATTAACTGCCTGCAGGGGTCCATGCGGACATTTGAGTGGCAGGTAAACTTTTTCCGGGGATCTCAGGATTTGCCAGGATTTGAAGCAAGGGTTCTGTGAGGGGAGAGATATGTGAAGAGCGAAGACCAGAGGGAGTCGCGGAAGAGAGGAAAAAGAGGAAAAAAGAGGGAAAGGGCGATGGGGAAAAGGAAAGGCCCGAGTCTAGACTGGGAAGGAACGGATGAGCGTTTTTCAACACACTCACTGCAAGTCTTGACAAACACCACAATCAAGCAGGATATATACTGTATAAGTTAGAAATGTATGCACTATCCTCGTCAAATATACTGCTCACCTAAATCTGCTCTCAACCGTCTCCCAACCCTCGCAAGTATACAAAAGTAAACACTGCGGGGAACTCTAACCCCATCCGGTTGTCAGCTGACCCGCCTATACTGGTTTTTCTGCTTCTTCGGCCTCCAAACTCTTCCCCGTTGGCAGCCATCTTCGGGCTGTCTTGCATTTCAAGCCCTGCGAGGCATCCTTACTCTTGTGTGTCACCTCTTTTGTTCGCTATCCAGCCTCCTGCGGTCTGACTCGTCTCTATAGATAGACCCTGGAACGGGTCTCCACGCTAAGCGTTTTAGGTCTGGAGGCTGAGTTGATACATTTGCCTTATCTTTGTGTGCATTCGACGCCTCTCTGCGCCTTTGCGCCTCACCATCAAATTTCCCCCCACATACGCCCCCGGCGTGTTACGACTGCTTTATCAGTGGCCCACTGCCGGTTTCCCCGTGTCCCGTTTGCAGTCGAGTCATCTCTTCATTCTTTATGTCCGAGTCCGGCATGGCCTTTAATCACGCAAACGAGGAAGAGGCGCATCTTTTTGTAGATGACCTCGCTCCCTCTTCATTTAATCCCTTGCCGTCACTCCAGATTTGCACTGACCTCCCCAATATACGACCGACCAGTTCGCGAGACTCGGATTCGCTGTCCCTCTTCTCCAGCAGTATACCACGACGAACCCCGAGCCTTCGCGCCCTCATCGCTCCGCCGCTCTCCAGTGCTGGATCGTTGTCGCCAGCGTCGATTATGTCCTCTCCGCAGTTGACGGCAATGGGCGACATCACACCGTTACCTTCCCCGATCGGAGGTGCCTCGCCGTGGCGAGGCGCGGGCCTGCCCTCGCTGTCCCGGAGCCCATCAGTGGCATCGCGCAGTGGTTCCAGCCTGCGATTGAGTGACTCGACGCAGATGCTAGGGCCTCCCGTGATGTCCCGGTCGCGCGGCAAAACATATACAGGCATCGATAACCACGGGGAGGAGTCACCCACGGCGACCCGTTTGCGTCGCGAATCACCCCACAAGCATGCGCGCAACCGCAGTCTGAGCGACTACGCACCCCCTGGTCGCGTTCTCGTTCCACAACGCCCGATCGCAGTGTCAGGGGCCGGCGGTGCCGGTCTGGGGATTGTATCCTCCTCCAGTACCGATGCCAAGTCCAATGGGCTTCATCGCGAACAGTACCTGGCCGTCCACCGCGGAATCACGTTGCCAACCATCCGTCCACCCAGCCCTCCCCGCAGTAGTGGCAGTCGCGACAGCGACAATGAACCTGTCATCCACCACCTCAAACCCCTCTCCTCCCAAGAGGTATACTCGGTTCGGTCAGTTCGCACCCAACAAGCTCGAATGTATCAGAAGATCCGGACGCTGGGTCAGGGTACATTCAGTCAGGTCAGCCTGGCAGCGCGCCTTGAGCCTCTGGCCGAAGCTCCGTTGTCCCCGCATAGTGATGGAGGAACAGAGATCCAAGGCACGCTTAACACACAGAAGTTGGTCGCAGTCAAGATCATCGAGCATGGGCCCGCAGGCGGTGCGGATGAAGGACGCCTTGAGGTGTCACTTAAACGAGAAGTCGAGATTCTCAAGTCTGTGAACCATCCGTCACTCGTCCAGCTCAAAGCATTTGGAAGCGATGAGAAGCGGGCCCTCCTCGTTCTGGACTACTGTCCTGGCGGGGATCTGTTCGAGTTTGCGACATCTGGAGCTCCCCCCATGTCCCCCAGCCTGATTCGGCGCATCTTCTCCGAGTTGGTGGACGCGGTGCGCTACCTGCATACTAACTACATTGTCCACCGGGATATCAAGTTAGAAAGTGAGACAACTGTTAAGACTCTTCTGTCTCTGTACTGACCACTGTTCTAGACGTCCTCCTCACCATGCCTGCCCATGTCATGGATAATGTAGTAGACTGGCGCACTTATGACCGTGCCGTGATCACGCTCAGTGACCTTGGTCTGTCACGACGGATCCCTGAGCCCCCGGAGAGCCCCCTTCTTCAGACCCGGTGTGGCAGCGAAGACTACGCAGCCCCCGAGATCCTCATGGGTCAGGCCTACGACGGCCGCGCGACAGACGCCTGGGCTCTAGGCGTCTTGCTCTATGCCATCATGGAGAACCGTCTGCCTTTCGACGTGCTCCCCGGCACTCGTGGAGACCCAGCCAAACTTCGTGCTCGCACGCCTCATCGTATTGCCCGCTGTGAGTGGGCATGGTACCGATATGCCAACGAGGACGAAGAGTGGGACCCCGTCAAGGGCAAGGGACTTGACGGTGCCCGTGATTGTGTCGAGGGACTCTTGAAACGCAACACGAAACGCAAGTCCCTGGATGAAATCGCCGCCATGGAATGGGTGCGCGATACGATCTGTGTACCGGATGGTCTGAAACGAGGCGACAAGGAAGTGCCGTAGAGCAGGTCTCCATTCGCACATTGCTGCCTCGTATATTACTTGGCTTTTCTTTTTTTCTTCTCTTTTCACCGCTCTTTCTCTTTTTCTCTTCGCTTTCTTCTCTTTTTCTCTTCGCTTTCTTCTCTTTCCTGCCCTTCCATTTGCATATACATACCTCATCCCTTCTTTCTTTCTTCTTTTTTCACCTTCACGAGGCACAATGACTAACTCGAATGCACCGTGACGGATATCAATGTTTCTTTCTATGGCTAGACCACTTGTTATACCCTTTATTTTATATATTCTACCCTATGAGGTAGTCAATCCAATACAAGAGGCCGCTGTCCCTCTCGTTAACCACATATCGTCCAAATGTAAAGTTTCACTCTACTCCACAGGGAATACAATGCCAGACCCAACGGTCTGTGTGGGGCTTTGTTCTTGGACCTCTCATATCACAGTCTTGAAATGAAAATTGGAACAGATCCTGTGCCTGTTATACCATCTCTAGAATAAGCCTTTCGGTTTCTGTACCGACAAATTGCTGTCCAGGATCTACATCTCATACGTCGAGGTCAAAAAAAAGCAATCAATCTGAGACATGTGCAGCCCTGCGATCGAGAACATCACTACTTGTCAAACCAAACAGCAGTTTCCAAATATTGTGACGTCAAAAAAAAAAACAAGCGAGACTCTTCAGCTGAAACTGCAGTCGGCGAAAGTCAGTTGTGTTGACGCGGGGCTGTGCTGAGGCTTCGGCGCGGGATTTGTTTCGTCCAGCATATCTGCATCGCATCCTTCTCTCACACACTTGCCGATCGAGGAAATTAAGACTTCACGTTATGTGAATTGGATGTGAAGATGGGCTTTGGATTTTCCTCTCGGAGACGCTCCTCCTCCACACCAAAATCCGCCCCTTATCAGCAGCCGGCCATGTCGATGCTGCAACTCCCTCAACCTCAACCTCGACTCCAGCCTATTCCAGGGCCTGTAGCTGTGAGGACACACACATTGCAGCCAGTCCAAACAGTGCAAACAGTACAGTCAGTTCAGCAACATACACTTTCAAAATGGAAGTCATATTCTAGTCTCAACCAGTCCATGTCTAATCTGGTGTCGCATACTGTGGGCAAAACCAATGCCACTATCCAAGAACTTGAGCAGCTTGTTCGCCAAAGCATCGAGGGTGGTGCGAATGTCACTGAAGCCACTTCGAGGTTATTAGATCGGGTGCTCACGTCGATTGATGGCGGGTCCTTTTGCGGACGAGAAAATGAACTCAGTAAGCTAGGAGTACTATTCTTCTCCAGGAGATGTTATTGACAGTCAATTATAGTCGCCGCATGTGCTGTTCCCTCTCAATTAAACAGAAGGGATCACCATCCAGGGCGAAAAGGGAAGAAATCTACCGGGTCGGTCGATTACTTCTCCAAGGTGTACTTATACGCAAACTCACGACTACCGCCGCATGTCCAAACTCTGAGCTTGTAAGGAGCCTTCGACAACTTGCACCACATGCACTAATATCACTATAGTCACCCCACGACATATCCTATTCTGCAACTAGCTGCTAAGTATTCCCGACAAGCCTATGACAAGCCCTCAGGCCGTGAACGACATTCATATGTCAGCTCCGACTGGCGCCAGCTTACAAAAGCCATGGTTGTGAAATCAGTGCCAATTGATGATCTCAACACAATTGTCTTCGCTATTCGAGGAACGCAAAGTTTCGTCGACTGGGCTGTCAATGTTCACACCGCACCAACATCTCCCGCCGGGTTTTTGGACGATCCTTCCAACTGCTGTCATTCTGGCTTCCTTTCTGTGGCCCGGAAAATGGTCGCCACGGTTGCAGCTCGACTGCGTAATCTGCTAGAAGAGGACCCATCTCGTATGTCCTACTCGCTAGTTCTGACGGGCCACTCTGCTGGCGGTGCTGTGGCTACCCTGCTGTACCTGCACATGCTTGCCGAGTCGCCATCTGTTGAGTCTGACCTTACGCACCTTCGGGGGTGCTTTAGGCATATTCACTGTGTCACATTCGGTGCACCCCCTATTTCTATCCGACCATTGCAGCCATCCCCTGCTGCTCTGAGGTCTAAGTCTCTCTTCTTTGCTTTCATCAATGAGGGTGATCCTGTCGCTCGAGCTGATAGAGGGTACTTTCTTTCGCTGTTGGATCTCTATGTATCGCCTGCACCGCGCGCAGCGTTTACTATGTACAAAGGTGCGAAGCATCGTGCACCTATATACTGGAGATTACCTGCGTCTACTCTTGCGCTCGCAGGCCGGTTGATTGTTCTTCGGCCGCGAGAACAATGGATTGGTAGACCTGTTGTTGTGGGACCGCCTGCTCTTGGTGGACCTTCCACTCTACCGCACGAGGACGTGGATGCTTGTGGCGTTACGGATATGGGGTTGCGGGGTATTCTTTTTGGAGATCCTGTCATGCATTTCATGGACTTGTACTCTCGGCGCATTGATGCGATGGCAAGAGGTGCCTTGAAGAAGAGGTGAATCGTTGTGAATCAGATAAGTATAATAATTAACTTTCTACTAGATGGCAGGCCATCTAGTTTGTGAATATATATCCATTTTGCATTGCCTTGCTATTCCAGTGCCTCTGATGCAATCATATCTTGCCTTAAAAATCTGTAGTCTAGCTATCGACGATATCTTGAGCACGATCATGGTATGGTCACAATGACAAGAGGGAACCTACTATAGTATGGCACAATGCCAGAATACAATGGCAATGGAACCTGTTAATATGTGTGCTCTATGCTAATCTTCGAGGCAAATATGGCGCTGATGGCCTTCGATACAGCCTCTTACGCAATTTGCTTAATGTTGATCAAAGTCAGATGCCAAGTGCCAAGTGCCAAGTTGCGATGTCAAGATAAAGCAATCGACCAATTTCTACTTGAGGTTAGAAGGACCCTGCAGCCTAGTAAGTCTAGTTCTGTAGCATGTCATTTAGAGTCGGTTCGTGTATAGCTTGACATAGTCTAGACACAGTCCCGACACAACGCATTGGACCAACAGCTGAACTCGAATTCCGATGCCGTTAGAGACGAATGCAAATCTCATTTAGTTTATCAAACCAAAAAAAGAAAACAACCACAGGAAACCTCAACTCGACATTGAAAGGATAGCAGCGCCCGAGGGAATCCCGAGAGACTCCCGAGTAATCGCCGGTTCCGCATCATCCGGCGCCAACGCGTGTTGGGGCACTCGGGCACTTCCACTGTTTCACCCTTTCACTGCTCTTGTGAGGGGACCTTCTCGATATCCCTTCTCCTCATGAGGAGAAGATGACGAGCAGTCAGATCCACCTTCGTCACTGAAAGCTTGGCTAATAATCTTCCATCAATTACATCAATGGAACAACCCCTACATGCACGCTGGTTCATCAGCCCTACCATGCTCAGGTCCACAGACCTGCTCTCGCCCCGATGTCTTTCATCGGCATACCGGCAAGAGACGTAGAGTACACAGCTAATCAACAAAACATAGATCTGACAGAACGGTCGATTTGGAGATATGGTTGCTTGGAAGATGAGGATATAAAGTCGAGGCGATGCCTTGCCAATTCTTGCTCTATTCACACACAAGCACATTCTCCAACATTCATCATTTATCCAACTACTCAATCACTTCACCCCTAAAGTCTCATACAATGGCTTTCGTTTCCAACGGATCTGAGTACGACTTCATCATTGTCGGCGGTGGCACCGCTGGCAATGCAGTCGCCGGTCGCCTTGCTGAGAACCCTGAAGTTCGCATTCTGGTTGTTGAAGCTGGTATCCCCAACCCGGACCAGATTGAACAGATCACCACCCCATCGAAGGCTTTTACCCTCCGTGGAAGCAAGTACGACTGGTCCTACAAGACCACCATGATCAAGCGCGATGACTATGAGCGCGTTGAAAAGCCCAACACCCGTGGAAAGACCCTTGGTGGCAGCTCGTGTGCCAATTACTTTACCTGGATTCCGGGTTCAAAGCCCACCTTTGACGACTGGGAGGCCTTTGGCGGCCGTGATTGGAACTGGGATTCTTGCGTGGAGTATCTCCGCAAGTGCGCCACTTACCACGACGATGAGAAGCTCTACTCTACCGAATTGAGTAAGATTGGCTCCGGAGGCCCGGTGCAAATTTCCCACGCCGACTTGATCCCCGAGATGAAGGGATTCCGTGACGCACTGACTGAGGCCTGGGTTTCCAAGGGCCAGCCGCTGACCGAGGATATCTTCTCCGGCGAGATGAAGGGTTTGACCCACTGCGTCGACACCATCTACCAGGGTGAGCGCCAGGGCAGCTTCCTCTATTTGAGAAATAAGCCCAACGTGACAATCTTGTACGGAGTTCAATCGAAAAACCTGATCATTGATCCTACCACTCGCATCTGCTCAGGGGTCAATGTCATCAGCTCCGCCACCGGCCAGGAAATGAGCGTCTATGCCAGCCGGGAAGTCATTTTGTCTCAGGGTGTCTTTGAGACTCCTAAGCTTCTCATGCTTAGTGGTGTGGGCCCGACAGACGAACTGAAGAAGCACGGGATCACTCCCATTGTGGAGTCGCCTCACGTGGGTCAGCATCTACTTGATCATCCAATTGTGCCTTTTGTCCTTGAGGTCAAAGAAGGGTACAGTCTAGATGATCATGTCCTCCGCTCCGGACCTCTGAATGATCAGGCACTGTCCACCTACCAAAAGGACAAGACCGGCCCTGTCAGCTCCGGGTTCCTGGAGCTTGTGGGATTCCCCCGGATTGACGAACGCTTAGAGAAGTACCCTGCCTACCGCGAGGCCAAGGCTGCCAACGGTGGACTAGATCCATTCGGTCCAGCGGGCCAACCTCACTTTGAGCTGGACTTTGTCGGCTTGTTCAGCACTGCATTCCAGTGGCATTACCCCATGCCTGAGAAGGGCAGCTACATGACGTGCATTGTTGATCTTCTGCGCCCCCTTTCCGAGGGCCAGGTCACTCTGAATAGCTCGAACGCCCAGGTTCAACCCAACATCAACCTCAACTTCTTTGGCAATGACTTGGACATTCTTGCTATGCGGGAAGGTGTACGCTGGACATACGATGTCCTGACCAAGGGTGCTGGATTCAAGGATATCGTTGTGTCCGAATACCCCTGGAAGATGCCTTTGAACTCGGATGACGATATGAACCGAGCCGTTCTGGATCGCAGCCAGACTGGATTCCGTAAGGAGATCCCTTCGAAAATTCCAATTCAGTGCTAATAGTCTACCTCACAGATCCTTGCGGCACTGCACGTCTCTCCAAGAGCATCCATCAGGGTGTTGTGGACTCGAAGCTGCGAGTTCATGGAGTACGGAACCTGAGAATTGCAGATGCTTCCGTCATTCCTGTCATTCCTGACTGCCGTATCCAGAACTCGGTTTACATGATCGGTGAAAAGGTTAGTAGCACCTTTGTGGGTTTTAGAATGCCACTAACACATCATTTAGGGAGCGGATATTATCAAATCCGAGCACAAGGACCTTTACGAGTCAAAGAACATTCCTTATCTTGTCCCTAGCAGATTGTAATTTGTGACTGGTTGCTTTGAAGTGTGAGAATTTGCTCTTTGTGGAAATACTTAGATTGTTTCGCTCGATCGCATGGATTGTTATTTTGCTAATTTCTACGTCAATAAATACGCTACTATTATCTCTTTATATCTTTCATTTATCAATGCTAGAAAACTGCCTTTCGGCGCAACCCTTTCTTTTCCCCGAAGTCTACCAGAAGTAATTGATTGGCTTTTCACGGTGTGATGAATCAATATATAAATTATCTCGGATTTTAACGCTACAGCTCAACATTGTCTACCGCTTCCCATTGGTCTAGGATATGGTGATATGGCTTTCGCATCGGCCACGAGTGCAACTCCATGGTTTGGTGTATGATTCCAAGCAGCGCGTCCCTATCCTCAGATTGAGTGAAATAGCCGCCATAAAGTGTGATGGATATTACGGCATTTACCATCGCAGGCTGACACCGCGGGTGATTTAACGCGATTCCACAAATGCTTAGCACGATGGATCGGACTTGTGCCTCGGCTTTGCGATGAACAGCACCTCTAGCGTTTCTAAATAGATGAGGAAAATCAGAGCTTTTCTTGGCATATTCAAATCGGTATACTCACTCAAGATGAGGACTTTCTGCAATGAGAATCATCTCTCCAAGCTTCAAGTGCTGAATTGCCGTCACCTGGGAATCGTAGCAGTACCAAATCGTAGGAAATATTTCACCTCTTGCTCGATCTGGTTTACGTTCCAGGATCGGTTGCAGTTCTGATCGGAACTCCTCACTTAGGTGTTGGTGTTGCCTCTTCAATGGCTCTGATTTGATGAAATATCGAGTTAGTTCATGTGTCTGGCCTTTTCTGTATGATAACATAACATACCCCATTCTTCCGTCGTTTTCATTCCCCAACGCCACCGGGCTACCTGGCTGGCAAACACTACCATAGTATTGGCAACTGAGAAATTTCGCCAGTGGTCAGTGTCGAGCCGAAATTGTGGACATCGCTGCCTGGTAAACGCAAAGTAGACTTCCTGTCGAATTGCAATCCAGTGTGCAGCAGCAGCAAGAGAATGATACAGCGGCGTTAAAATCATTCTATCAATGATTGCTTGAGTGATGGCCAAAAAGTTGACTCTTTCATTCGCATGAGACTTCTCGTCTCCATCCTCAATCTCCTCTTCCATCTCCTCGTACTGACGTAAAATGACTGTCGCGGCCATGATATTCTCTTGATGCCGCGAATCTTGAATTTCTGGGAATTGAACCAATTCCGGAATGCATTTGAGCATGTACTCAAGCGAAGTGGCATGTGTCAAATGTGACAGAGTTTGTCCATGGTAAACAATGCCATGGGGAGTCTTATATTGCGGTAACCGGAATAGATGACGCGAGGATACCGCAAAGATGGCATTCCTCAGAGCTAGGCATTGCACAGCCCGACCAGGAACGACTAATTGGAACTGCCTACGATCATCGCAGTGGTCAAACTAATAAATATCAGCTTTGCTCGCGTCCAGAAGGTCACAGAAGAAGGTTCAACATACCCAAGGAGACAGTTCCTCGATAAAGTATCGGAGCAAACAGGACTCTTGGACATCGGCTGTTAGATCACCAATATTTCCATGACAAGAGGGGGATCGATGGTTGGTGCTTGAAAGATCCTCTTGAGTTGTGAAATGACTGTCAGCGCAAGTGCTCCGATTGTCTTGGCAGAATCCTGGGTTTGTTGAACGGTGCGTATTAGAAGATGCCTCGCAGCTCTGCAATGCCGGTGGAGATATTGGAAGAGCGGTCGGTGAGTAGGAAGAGACAGCTGTCGCCACGTTATCTTCTTGTCTGGATTGGAACTCGTCGAAAGCTCCATTTTGACCATAACCTCGAGGACTGATGCTAGGTCCCATATCACTGGAAACCTGATCCGGCGACGGCAGCGACACCTCGGGCTGTGGTGATGACAACGACATCGCTATGCGGGACTCCGATCTCACGGCTGCCGAAGAACGAGTCGATGCCTTCCAGTTTCTCGGTCTACTGTTCACCCATGTCTGATCTTGGTGGAAACTGGCATCCAGGTTTGCCGTAGAGCCATGTCGAAAGACAGGTTTCCGCCGTGGCAATCTGCACTCAAGACCCTTCGACTCACATCTTTTGCAAATAGGCTGTCTTCTGTCGCCTATAGAGACGCAGCAGGTTCAGCATGTTACCGGATGCTAACATGGGGCACATCGGTGTCAACGACTTACACTTTTGGTGTCTTTCTAAAAGCCGATTAGTTCCGATCTGGAGCCTTCCACCCGCGTGACTTACCACGGCAGTTCGAGCAAGGTAAAGTTGACATGGTTCGTGGAGTTCAGGGAGCTTAGGGTATTGATGAGAATTGCAACACGCGGCGCCTCTTGCCGGAAATGGGGTTCCCCCGCTTCCCCGCGAATTGCCATTTCGGGACACGCCAAGGCTCGATTGGGATGGGCAAATGCTGCATTGGGTTGGTTCTGTCGGGGTTCTTCGCAGAAAAGTCTCGGGATATCTGTTCAACAGAGAAAAGGAGAATCCAATGCTGATTTCGAGGATGATTTGAAGTTTCGAAGGTAGGAAGCTGTGGTTTGAAGGATTCATTAAACAAAAGTTGGAAAGTAGTAGAAAGAAACTCTGAAACAGAAGAGATCTATTGAAAGGAATCCGCAACTATGTACGGGTAAAGAAACAAAAGAGTATTTACACAGTCTATTGCCAGGCCTTGATGTTTCCATCACCGTCTCTTGCCTAATCGGGTAATATCTCAACGCGATCCTCCAAGCGATCCACGTGTCACACCTCCCACTGCGCATGAAGGCTCAAAAGAAGAAGTTGATCTATGGAGCGACAAAGGTGAGGAAATCCAGCGATAGGTCACTGAAAAAGCTAGCTCCCAGAACGGGCGTCGGATGACTGCTTTCGGTCACATTGCAGTAACTTTGGAAATCTCCTGCCTGATCCTGCTTTTTGCGAATGATGGAAGCATACTCAGAGAGGGCGCAGCTCTTTCCAGGTCCATTGTGGCAACCTGCGATTGGGTAAACGGCATCGTTGAAGAGGATTCGGATGTAGGCCTCAGTCGAGGAGCTCTTGGATTTTGTCGTACAATCCATGACTTCAAAGGCCACAGTTCCACGCATAGTAATGAAATTCGCCACATTATAGAGATGACCGGATGGAATATGATCATCGGGAAGAAGTCCCTCACTGTCAAAGATTCCCATCGCAGCGGTCATCTCGGCAATTTGATTATCATTCAAGAAGCCCATAATGAGAGCGGGAATGTCAAAGGTGCCTCCATCTTGACCAACACCTTTCTGTCCGGGGCCCTTTTCGAGCAGAGAGATCAGGCTCTCAAGGAAGGGAAGGAAGAGCACTTTGGCTGGTCCAACGGAACCGGGCCCGACACTATAGAAGTAGCTCAAGTCCTGAGAGTATGCATACTTGCGAAGCTCACTATCTGTGAATACACCACACCAGGAGCTGAGAGTTCCCATAATTTGACTCTCATAGGCGCACATATAAGGGAAGAAGAGCACTTCCGTTTCGGTAAAAGTGAGATTTCCACTGAGGAGTGAATTGATCCGTCGGACGGTCTTTGGAACCCAGGTCGCATCCCCTGTCAAATTGTTAGCTGCTGCTTTGGAAACGCAGTGGTGACCATGGTAGATCAAGCTTGGAACTCACAGTTGGTTACGTTGTTTCCTCCGCTGCTCGTGGAAGCAAATTCAGGGCATGCATCTGAGGGGCCCAGCGAGTTGCCAATGGCACTGTTCGAGCCCGTAGAATTCACACTGACAACGGTTCCATATGTGTCGGCATACTCGTAGAGGTATCCCCGGATGAAGGCTCTTGCGGTTTGGACAACCCGCGAGCTGTTGATAGGAGACTTGTATTGGTTCGCCCACACATAGAATGGATTGCCGTCCTCATAGAAGCTCGGATCTATTAAAAGTCAGCAACCCATGAATCCCGACTAGATCGATACCGATGAATGCTTACACCTGGCCCGCAGTTGATAGCCGAGATCGCTTGCCTGGTGATTGATTTTAACAATGTCATTCAGAATCAACCGGACTTGCCTCATCGTACCTCTTTCCAACCCGTCATCGACTCCTGTGCGAGCTGTAGGGTCGGATTGGTGAGAACTGGCTTCCATTTGGATATGAAGTTCATTGAGCCACGCGCTTTGAAGCCGGTCTGGTTCATCGCAAGTTGAATCTAGTTTTATGATCAGACCAAGCGGTATGATTCTTCGCCATATAAAGAGAGGCTCACTTTGTCATGGATTGCAACCCAAGAGTTATATGAGCCAGTGTCAGGGAATCTAAGTATCACTTTTGTTAGGCTCAATGTGCACTTGCGACCTGTACAGCTACTCACCGACTGCCGTGGCGGACAATATAAGCAGCTTGTCGGACCGAGCACTGATCAGGGACCTCATTCTTGATGCCATTTACGTTAGGCCCTAGATCTGATCAGCGACTGAACACACATTGAAATTGAGGCTTCCTTACCTGCAAAATAGGGACTATTTCCTCCGGCATATTTCAAGGGGTTGTCAGATGTCTCACTCGATGGGAACAAGATGTCGTTCGCCGGAGCCAGCAGGTCGGATTGGACTGTGGCTGTCAGACCAGCCAGCAGCAGAAAGAATGCAGTCTTCATGATGGCTTAACTTTCTAGATCTCCATACAAATTGGAGGTGATATAACAACATTTATAGTTCCCATTGCTCTATCAGGGGGTTCAAACCTCACACTCCTTGACTGAGACACGTTCTCATGGCATCGCTCAATACTAACTGGCGTCCGGCTCTCACTGCTTGGCCAACCAAGTGCAAGCCTATCGACGCTCCACGTGTCGGGCATGAAGCCACCTGTGTGCATAAGCGAAATGATCATGACGGATTGGTCCAACGCTAAGTCGTTTTCGATTTAAAGTCCGAGTCTTATGAAGAGCCACGGGCGCCACAGACTTGAAATGACTCCTGGCGATATGTATACGCCAATCAGCAGCTCTACTTGCAACCTGGGACGACAGCATTGAGCTTACTAAGCTCCACAGAATTGCTCTAGAAGGCTTCATAACTTAAGTTAATTGTCCGGGAATCAGTTACATAATGCATGCTTTATTCATCATTGGCTTGGCTACAGTACAGACATCCCCATCGGAAGCTCATGGGTGTTCTCATAAGCGAGAGTAATACCCGAGGTGGCCAGTAGGATTCGCGACAGCAGCCATCCAGGGAGATTTCTCTCATAAGCGACCGACAAAAAAATGGATTAGAGTATGAGCCTCATGTAGATCTGTTACAAGCGTTGGATCGGTGACTTGGGCACTGGATCCACTGGGAGCGAGCATCTATTTCGACTACGCGCCTATGTTCAAGTGGGACAGGAAGAATAAGATGGCTTGATGAATTATTTCTTCTCGGACGTGATGAGTATGCCTAATCAAAGAAAACAGGGTATCTAGTTCCCGATCAAAGTATAGATTGTGATGGAAGGTCAGATCAAACCAAAGGCGTATTCGCGTCCCTGGTCTGCGGTCGCGAGGATGGCTCCCCGGTAGATGCTTGTTCCGCAGTCAGCTGCGACGCGGTGGAATGGGTGTGACTGTGATGGTTGGACGCCGAACGGACACTCTGTGTCGAAGGGAAGTACCCTGCCTGTGGCTGGTTGGTGAACATCATCGAGGATCGAACACTGTCAGCCTCCGGAGTCGATCTTCCTTTCATGGTTGTCGGCAAAAGGGCCGCGGTGGAGGCACTGGATTCCAACAGCTCTCGTGCGGCAATGCGTCGTGACTTGGCCCTGTTGCGTGCACAGTGGAGAATGCTGAGGCCCGAGAAGAGCGAGATGAGACAGCAGCCAAACACGATGGCAGCAATATTTCCCCGATGATTCCACTCTTTTAATGCGGCACTTTCGGTACTAGTTGCAGTTGCAGTGCTTGTTGTGGTGGAGGAGGTGCTGCTCGTTGAGGATGTGCTGGTCGTTGAGCTGCTCGTTGTCGAGGTGCTGGAAGTAGTGGAACTGGTAGAAGTGGTGGACGAACTGGTAGTCGAGGATGTGGTTGTTGTCGAGGTGGAGGATGTCGACGAGGTTGTAGTAGAGGTTGATGCGCTTGTGGTCGTGGTGTCGGATGTGCTTGTCGTCGATGTTGTGCTCTCCGTTGTGGATGTCGATGAGTCGGTGGTGTCGGTGGTGGCTCTGGCCAACAGGATTTCACCATATCCACGTTTCTCCCGGGTTCTAACAATCTCGCCTGCCTCAACTGGCACCGGGCTCAGAGTGACTGTAGCCTTTGCCGGAATAGATGTGTTTGCGGCATGAGGATGGCCGAGGACCTGGGCGCACTGAATGGCCACGAGGGCGACTAGTAAGCCACGCATGTTGCTTGACCCGGATGGTGAATGTTCGACGGTATGGAAAATCCTGATGCTCTTTGGGGCTTCGCATCCTTTAAAAGTACTCGCGGACTAGATAGCCTAGTTCGGGTCTCGGGATACGTGGACTGGCTGTGAATCGACCGAACCCATTTTTCTGCTCGAGGATTGCGTTTGATGGCCAAGCCGCGCCACATCGACTCGTGGTTTAGCGGCGTCTTCATGGTCCAGCACCGTGCAATGAGCCACTGGAGAGCTGGTGGAGTTCATCCTTCAACGGGCACACGCAGATGCCGCGCGGCTCCCCCACAAGGCTGATCAGAATCTTAATTTTCACTTCAAGCCAGAGTTGTATAGTAATGGCGAGGGTAGATTCGTTTCTTTGATGACTCTGTACGTCAGTCTCCCTCTTGGGCAAGCAACAGTAGCGTGCTTGTCCATGCAATTGCGGCCAAAGAACCACTCGCGATTAAGCACCGCCAAGCACACTAGTCTCGGTGCAGAACCTGCTAAAGTCTTAACCGCGTGTCCTGCTGCTATTTTTATGCAACTGGGCTTTTAGCGCCATTCAACAGAAGATTCGGGGCTGGAGATGATCGTCTGGTGGAAGTCAAGTTCGTGGTGACTCGGTCTCAACCCGCCAGTGCAGTGTTGACCTCGGCTCCCACAACGCCACGGCAATGGGACCAGATGTGGCCTGGTGATATTCTCGTCTCTCGCAGTATTTTACTGACGAAGCAGTGTCCTCGATGCTTCTTACTTCTCGGGGTAGTCGGTTGACGTGTGTTCAGAATGTACCAGTCACACACAGCCTCAGGTGAGGAAAGATGATCGATAACACAGGGAATTATTTCTGGTCTGGTGATCTCCGTGCTGTTTGCCAGGAAAAGACCCATGATCACCAGTCCTATGCCTTGTGCTTTGGACATGTCCACAACCGCGGATGGTGCGCAACAAGTACATCGACAGGTCGCACCAAGCCTTCTAGAGTCAATGGGCACATGGCAATTGATCGAACCCGGTAGTCTCACTCTTGTGCCGCAAAGCGAGTGTTGTCTGGTCGTCAGCATAATGGCACCGTGATACTTTTTGGAAATCGCCCTCCGTAGCATGGCGCATTTGGGCAGTTCTCACTCCCATTGCTGGGCAAGACTAGCACATTCGGATCCGTTCTTGTCTGTTCAAATGCTCGGGATTGAGGAGAGAATCTCCCCCACATCTCACCATTATGGACCCCTTTCGAGGTTGACTCCGACTCATCTTCCACCACAATCGGCATCTGAAATCTAAAATGCGTTCTCTGTGACGTCGATGAAGAACGAGACCTGGATGCCAAAGCCAATGGCTTCTGGCAAGTGACCAGAAAAGAAGTCTGACATGCTGGCTCGAGATTTCATTCGGTCTCCGGTCATACATGGTTCCCTTCTCGCTCGTGTTATTGCATTCGTGGTGACAGGGATAGTATATCCAAACCTGTCTCCAGCAAGATATGTTAGCCGCGAAAATGATGATCATATACAGATGGGTTTCCCAGCTGTTCACTAACTCTACCCGGTACTAGAGAATCTACTGGGCCTGTTTGATCTTGTCTCAAAACCCAACCAGGTGCTTCAGCAATTGAGTTCAATTTTGAGCTCTTCGTTTGAATATTCCCAGAATCAGGAATTCACATCCGTGGGTTGCATTCGGCAGGTTAGCTTGATTTCTGGTGATCAGGCGAAATTGGGGCTTTGCCGGCATTGATCCTGTGACGGTGGTACAATAACCCTCAAATCCCCTTTGGAGATGAGGCACGCATGACCTGAGAGAGAAAAATGAGAATGCGGAGATCTCTCACTTGATCAAAGAATCGGATGCATCGAGATTAACTTCCGCGGCAGTGTATGTCCCTGGATTTGGCGGATGAATGACCGAGAATGAAACTGTATAGATGACACGGTCTGCAAGGGGGAGTTTTTGTTGCTCCTGGATCTTCGGCAGATAAGTTCAATTTGCACTAAATTTTCCATTTATAAGAAACCCCCGAGAATTTTCAGTATGATAGTTTGTGAGATCGGATCGCCCCAACATTAGAAACCAGAGTCGAATTGTGTCCAGCTTTTCTGCGGCAACTACACACTTGATCGGGACATTCAAGGCGAAGAAGACTGGGATGTGAGCATACCAGTTGATATTATGCTCTTGGTTCATCTGCTAAACATGGAAAGAGACTGCAATTTGTACGTCGGTCAACTATGAAGACCAGATTTAGCATTCTACTAGGCCTGGGGGGGTTATCCTGCTGCATGCTTGCAGATGCTCTATCCCCTTTCTATAATGACACCCGTGTCGACAAACGACAATCGACAGACCGCTTGGTGTTTGCCCACTTCATGGTGAGAAATCCAGCATACCCGGGGCGCAATATGCTTCATTTGACCAACCTCTCAACTCTCCAATAGATCGGTATCACCAGTGACAGGCACAGTGCCTCTGACTATGACGATGATATGAGACGTGCCAAATCGCTTGGAATTGATGCCTTCGCGCTCAATATCGGGGTCGACCCATATACTGATCAACAACTCCAACTGGCATACGACTCCGCGGCCAATAATGACATGAAAGTCTTCCTGTCGTTCGACTTCAACTGGTGGCATATAAGCCAAGCTACTGCCATCGGCCAGAAAATTGCACAGTATGGCAGCAGACCTGCCCAGCTCATTGTCGACAACAAGATTTTTGTCTCCTCCTTTGCGGGCGACGGACTAGATGTAGCGGCATTGCGAGCGGCAGTCGGTCGATCGATTTTCTTTGCCCCAAATTTCCATCCATCGTACGGAACTGACATTTCTCCCGTGGATGGTCTTTTGAACTGGATGGCATGGCCGAATGACGGCAACAACAAAGCCCCAAAGGCTGGAAAAAGTGTTTCTGTTGCTGATGGAGATCGAGTGTATGTCAATGCTCTGGCTGGGAAGGCCTATGTTGCCCGTTCGTATATCAATGCTCACCTGACTCTGGTTCATCGTCTTACTGACCATGTTATAGCTGTTTCTCCGTGGTTCTTTACTCATTTTGGACCGGAGGTCTCTTATAGCAAGAATTGGAACTTCCCCTCCGACCTGTTGTGGTTCAATCGCTGGAATGAGATTCTTGCCCTAAAACCGCGGTTCATTGAGATCGTCACATGGAATGACTATGGGGAATGCCATTATATTGGGCCTTTAAAGTCCCCCCATACTGATGACGGCGCATCAAAATGGGTCAACGATATGTGAGATCCAGATGATATTCAATTGCTTCCAATTCAGATTCCTTACTATTTTAGGCCCCACGATGGATGGCTCGACATCTCAAAACCTTTCATTGCTGCATTCAAAGCAGGCGAATCTTCTCCCGATAGCCATATCTCTTCAGATGAGCTGGTTTACTGGTATCGGCCGGCACCTCGAGGTGTGGATTGCGACGTCACAGATACCTGCATGGTTCCAGCAAACAATGGCAGTGGAAACTACTTTATGGGACGACCTGATGGGTGGCAATCCATGCAGGACTCTGTCTTCGTGGTCTCATTGCTCACAGCTCCCGCTACAGTCCAGGTGAACAGTGGCGGAAGCTTCTATAGCTATGATGTACCAGCTGGCGCAAGTGCTAAATCAATTCCAATGGGACTTGGTTCACAAAGCTTCACGGTAGTTCGTGACGGGCAGACAATTCTCTCTGGCACAAGTCTGAAACAGATCATCAATGGTTGCGTCTGTGGTCTGTATAACTTCAACGCCTATGGTAAGCGATATCAATTTCCTTCTGGGGGTTCTACTGCTAATAGTCAACTTGTAGTCGGAACAATCCCACCGGGCTTCAGTGATCCTCTCCAACCAGACGGACTTGCCGCATTTGAACAGGGCCTGCATGTTCACACTTGCCAGCCAACTCCATCTCTCGGCACTGTTCCTCCTGGGCCTCCCACCTCTACCACGAGTAGTAGTATACCTACAACCTCACCCACTCCACCACCGACTGTGCCTCCCACTATTCCGCCTACTAGCTCTCCCACTCCTCCTGGGGGTGGTGGTGGAGGAGGAGGAGGAGGAGGAGGAGGAGGAGGAGGAGTATGTATATCTGGATCCGGCTCTGACAACTATATCGGACTCTGTTCATTTTGCTGCAATTATGGCTACTGTCCACCGGGGCCATGCGATTGTAATGCGTGGGGGGATCCAGTCCCTACGCCACCGACAACCGGAGCAAATGGAGTACCCCTTGTTGGCGAGGATGATTCTTATTTGGGTCTTTGTAGTTTTGCGTGCAATCATGGATATTGTCCACCTACTGCATGTAGGGAGTTGTGAGTGGAAATGAAGCTGCTGCTCTTTGTGATATACTATCACCACCACCTTCCAATGGAAGTCCGAGATTCGGTGGAATTTTATGAAATTCATGGACAAAATCAATATTTTAGATCATATCACTATTTGTCAGCCTCGAAAATGACCTTCTGACTTCGCATTTCATTGAAATCCTGATATCTGCTGTCATTTTAGTAATCGAATCCGACGTAAAGAGGATAGAACACTTACGCCTGAACAGCCTGCGAGAGCGGTCGAATATCATGAGTCATGAAACTAGAGCGTGTAAGCATTCAAACCGTTTCTATAGTCGATCATTAACCATACTTGAGGAGATCCTGCTTCTTCACCAACAATTCCATGGCCGGTGCGAAAATACCTATTCCTTGTCAGTACTAGTAGAGATGAAACGTTTGGCCAACCTACTCCGAACCGGGCATCGACCCATTTGCAACCGCAGATTCTTGCCATATGCTTCATTTCCTGTCCATGGTATCTCTTGGTTGTGAACGCCGACACTCGAAAGATGGCCCCAGGGCCGCAGCATCTCAAATCCCATCCGCAACGCGCTACTGTGCCCAACCACTTCAATGACCACATCTGCGCCTCTCCCATCAGTGAGTTCTTTGACGCGTTGTCTGAGACCGGCTTCATCCGCTTGGAAATTCCAGGGTTCGGCCCCGAGACCCCTAGCGACTTCTAGCCGGGCCGGCACGCTATCAATAGCGAGTAGATGCTTTGGCTGATAATCCAAGGCACTTGCGATGGCACACAGCCCTACGGGACCGCATCCAAAGACTAGGACTGTACTTTGCTGAATATCCTCAGGATCTAGGGCTTTGAACGCGTTCGACGCCGCAAAATAGCCCGTGGGGAAGATATCGGCCATTAGGACCAACTTTTTCTCGTCAATCTCTGGCGGGGCGTGGAATAAAGTCGAATCGGCCAAGGGCACGCGAATATATTCCGCCTGTCCCCCGTCCAGTGCCGCTGAGCCATATAGTTGACTCTGTGCACATCGAGAGGAGAAGCCCCGTTTGCAGTAGAAACAGCTCCCGCAGCTCACGGTGAAGGGCGAAACCACTCGGTCGCCGCGCTTGAAGGACTTCACGTCCAATCCTACGGAGCTAACCTACACCACGGTATGTTAGCTGGGATGCTTTTGTTGGAACAGACGGCACCATCACTTCTCCTGTGAACTCATGGCCCATAATAAAGCCATCGGCCGAGGGCTGGTGTCCGCGAAACACATGCAGCTCACTATAACTTGCCGTCAGCCATGTTCTTCTCCAATCAGTCACCGTTCCTCACCTGCCGCAAAGGGCTGTGTATCTGACTTTGAGGATCACATCGGTCGGGGCTTGAATTTCGGGTATGGGTCTCTGCTCCAGTGCGACCTTGAGGGGACCTTTGAAAACGACGGACTGCATGATGAACTTGAGAAGTGCAGCTGTTGTACTTGGAATGTTCGTAAGGGAGAAGAAGAAGAAGAGGTGTGAGGGGACTCTGCCCTGAGCCTCGGCAACACTCGGATATCCAACGGGTTACGAGGTCGGAATTGGACAAACTGTCAGATATTCCAGGGAGGGCAAAGACTACGGCCAAGTTGAGATCTTGTCGAATGTTGCTCAGTGGACGGTCTAAGTGTCAATGAGGGTGACATCACGCGACTAGGAGGCTATTCGAACTGCTCGACTTGATATTCTGTTCTCTACTTCTATCGTCCCATCCAACCTCCGTCCACAGTTAAGATCTCTCCGCTCATATAGGCGCTCGCCCGACTGGCCAAATACACTACTGAGCCCTTGAAGTCATCTGGATTGCCCCATCGTCCAGCAGGGATGCGGGCTAGGATACTGGCGGCACGCTCTTCGTCCTGAATCAAGGCCCTGTTCATGTCGGTCGCCACATAGCCCGGTGCAATGGCATTGACATTAATGCCTTTCGCTGCCCACTCGTTGGACAGCGCCTTGGTGAGTTGTGCAACACCACCTTTGGCAGCGGCGTATGCGGGAACTGTGAGACCTCCCTGGAACGAGACAAGCGACGCAACATTGATGATGTGCCCGCGTTGACCTGTCTGATCGGGAGCACGGGTCAGCATATATGCGCCGACGTCGCGGCAGAGCGTAAACACCGTCGTGAGATTGACTTGGAGGACCTATGCAACTCGATCAGAGGCAGTTCAACTACTAATCGCGGGCAACTAACTTCATTCCAGTCCTCGGAGGGGAAGAGGTGACTCGGGTGTCGGCGCTGGATTCCCGCGCAATTCAGAAGAATGCTGATGTCGTGTCCATTGTTCAATACGCTCGAAACGAGTTGCGAGACCTCTGCCTGGGATGAGAGATCGGCCGTTGAGATGGTCGCTTTGCGGCCCAGAGCTTCGATCTGAGCTTTCGTTTCCTGGTTACTGCAGTCTCGCTGAAAACAATTAGTCACGTCTAACCAAGATCCTGAGATTCTTTCACCTGGACAAGGACAATATCGGCCCCAGCCTCGGCCATTGCAATTGCCATGGCCTGGCCAATACCACGGGTGCCACCCGTGACGAGAGCTGTTTGTCCGACGAGTGAAAAGCTGTCCATGGCCGAATCACACAATAATTCTCACTCTCTGTCAATGATCATACCTTGCGAGACACGCTCTTCTTATACCAGCATGAATTACCCCCACGTTTTCCCCCGCATGTGGCGGATATACATCCCAAGCGCGTCCGGCTACGGATAACTTCTTGTGAGGCATGCCAGGCTCACTGAACCTCAAATGATATGCCTCCCAATATTGTGTACGATTTGAAGAAGATGAGAAATGCAAGAATTATGTATTGAATATATGATCACCACTCCCGAATGGAGCCATCTGGTCCATAAAACTCCTTAGGCTGCCACGGCTCTGTCTCCTGGCTGATCTTCCGGACAAGCTCCTCGTCAATTTCAATCCCCAGGCCGGGCTTGCAAGGTGCATCTACATAGCCCTCTTTGATATCGAACACTGTCTTATCCACCAAATAGCTATTCAGGTCAATGTCCCCGGCTTCAACGTTATAGTGCATGCCTAATGACATCTCTTGGATGACAAAGTTGGGGATTGAGACGGCGACTTGAAGTGAGGCAGCCAGAGCAATGGGACCGAGAGGACAGTGTGGAGCAATGGCCACATCGTAGGCTTCAGCCATGTGTGCGATTCGCATGGTTTCGGAAATCCCTCCAGCATGGGCAATATCAGGTTGCAAAACGTCTACCGATGAGTCCTCCAAGAACCGCTTCACATCCCAGCGGGTGTATAGGCGCTCACCAAAGGCAATGGGTATGGTGGTGTGTTGGGAGAGCTGTTTGAGTGCCTCGGGATGCTCGCATAGTAGGGGCTCCTCAATGAAAAGCGGCTGGTAAGGCTCCAATGCCTTGGCTAGCTGCTTTGCCATCGGCCGGTGCAAGCGACCATGGAAATCCAGGCCTGCATCGAGTCCCAAGGCCTTGACCTGCTTCAATCGGTCCACGCATGACTGCAACACGGCAGGGGAGTCAAGCCAGTTGACGTCTTCTGTGGCGTTCATCTTGATACATTTAAGGCCTTGAGCGATACGTGCTTTGCTATGAGCCCAAACTTGTCAGTCATATGTTTCACAGATCTCGCTGTAAGTGACTCACGCTGCGGCTTCCACCTCGCTCGGTCGGTCACCTCCAATCCAGGCATATACCTGAGCCTTCTGGCGCACCTTGCCCCCCAGCAGCTGATGCACCGGGACACCCAATTTCTTGCCCTTGAGATCCCAGAGCGCAATGTCAATCCCAGCCAACGCAGACATGAAAACGGGTCCACCGCGGTAGAATCCTAATCGCCATACAGTCTGCCAGATGTGCTCGATGTCACTGTCCAGAATGATTAGCTTGAATGTGATAACACTCGGGTCACACCTACTCAGCTTCATATCCTACAATGCGCGGGATAATCTCGTTCAAAGCACCCTCAACAGCCAGTGAATGACCCTCTAGAGTGCCCTCTCCCCAACCAAAGTGGCCTTCTTCGTCGGTGATTTTGACGAACAACCAGCGAGGTTTCACCCGGAAGTACTCGATTGACCTGATTTGAACCATTTTGAACGTGAATATGGGGATGAGAAGACGGATGCCTTCTGATTAAATGCCACCAGCTCCCCGCATCAGCTCTCTCTTCTTCTCCCTTCCCCCACGCGGGGGAAGCTTCGGATGAAGTCCGGGGTCAACACCCCACGCCAAGGGGATCGTCTACATGTTTTATATGTGATTGGCGGAAAAGGCCTCACTCAGAGCACTACAGTACACATGTGAAGCTGTGGATGGTCGTCATGATCTTCGCAGTCAACTCATTTCGCCCGATTAATCCCTAGTACAGATAGCGGAAGTTGATGTTCTCCTTGTCCGTCAGGTCACTAAACGCCGTCCGATCCAACTCCAGCTGTCGAACAAAGTCGTTGTCTTCTCCGACCGCTAAATTCTGTGCCTTGTCACGACGTCGGTTTTCCCAAGCGAGCGCAATGGCGAGGAAGATGATCAAGGCGATCTCAATGAGATTGGCAACAATCATCGACCAAATACCCAGCGCGTAGCCTGGAGCCTGTTCGGCTTTGTAAAAGAATGGCCCTGCAATGTTTCCGGTGCAGACCCCAAGGAATATCATTGCGTTAGTAACGACCTTTTTGGTGTGACCGGCAATGTTTCCCGTGAGGATGGAAAGAATGATCACAAAGGAAGCATTGTATGAGCCGGTCAGATAGTAGCAGATCAATCGCGCAACACTGTGAGACTGGGGAACAAAGTTGAGCCCAAATGAGCCTGCAAGAGTCGGGAGAACAAAGACAACAGCAACCATACATCGGTTGTTGCGCGGCAGGCGGTCGTTGATGAAGACGCTGAGTAGAATCATCACTGCGATGAAGGCACCATAGGGGATTTGCATCAGCGCCGTGACCACTGAAAATGGAAAGTTGGTCAGTAAGACTGAATCACTCGGCATCAAAGGCGGCACTCACGCGTTGAATAACCAAATCCCTTGATAATCAAAGTTCCAAAGTTCGAGATACCTCCATTCGGAATGTTTCCAGTGAGACCGAGGAGGAAGAATGTCCAGACTTTCCAGTCCGTGAAAGCCTCAAAGATCTGGTGAGGCTTCATGTTTCGGTTCTCGATGCCAGTCTGATTATCCCTTAATCGTTCAACGGCCAGTCTCTTCTCACGCTCGGACAGTTGTTTTGCTGTGACTGGGGAGTCGGGGAGGAAGATCACCATCACAGTGCCCCAGACACAGCAGAGCGCCCCGATGATCAAGAACTCATATTTCCACGAAGGAAGAGATCCCTTGATTTGACCAATGCCGTATCCCAGCAGACCACCGACCGCAATTCCGAAGCCATTGGCCGTATACCACAGTCCGATCCGAATAGGCTGTTGACGACGAGTATACCACATGCTGGTGATCAGCATGAAGGCAGGATCACTATCACAGATCACAGATCTCGTTGGCTTATGCTCCAGCCACCTTCACAGTATTCACAGGATTCACACACCTGCACGCCTCCGCCGCACCTGATATCACTCGTAGCACAGCGAGTTGGGTGAAGTTTTTAGCAGTCGCTTTCATAATTAGCCATCACCGGGGACACGAATAGATATCAATCTACCTTGTAGCATGAGGAAGAACCCCCAGAGAAAGATGTTGGCTCCAAGGTATTTGCCGACAGGGAATCGCTGCATCAACAGGTTGGTTGGAAAAGACCAGACCAGGAAGCCAAAATAGAAAACACTGGACAGCCACGAATATTCGGTGCCCGAGAGATTCAAGTCCTCTTCGATGCCAAAGATTGCCGCATAGGAGAGTGTGGTTTTGTCAATCTAAGCCATCAGCGATCGTATTTGGGACGGTTCGATCGAACATACATAGTAGAACGCATAGCAAACCGACAAAAAGGGCAGAATCATCAGGTCGATCTTGCGAACCAGTCTCTTCTCCTCGCCAGGCTCAAAGTCCTGGATGTCGTCCAGAGTATCAAACAAAGCCAGAGCGGCATCTCCATCATGGATTTTGTCGGTCTCAGTGGCTGTGCCCGAGCCCTCGACATGCAGAGCTGCTGGTTTGGGGGTGTTGGTATCAGCCATAGTCGAATATCCTGAAAGATGAGTCTACGAGGTAAATTCGCCTCACAGATATAACTCGACAAGATCAACTTCCCCAGAATCCCCGCAAGCAGTGGACCCAAACGGAGGAAATCCCTCCGCAGCGAATGCGCACCCCCACGCCAGGGATGACGCTTATTACAGGCCGATGCCCCGTGAGATCGGAGGTACACAATGACTCTCACGCGTCAGGCTCTCAGTCAGCATAATAGTCGGCAGTCCTGCTGGGTGGCGATTCATGGGGTGGTTTACGACGTTACAGGTGATGGGATTCCACCTCGAGCCTAGAAGACTCCTACTGACCTCGATAGACTTTCTTGACTCTCACCCAGGAGGACCCCAAGTGATTCTGCGGTGTGCAGGCAAAGATGCTACGAAGAGCTTTGATTCAGTTCATACACCTGAAATTCTAACCGAGGCTCTCCCCGAAAGTGCAGTCCGAGGTCATCTTGATGCCGTAGAGCTACAGGCGTTGGACCCGACGCCAAACGAGAAAAGGCAAACAAAGCCAGATGGGAATTCCTCACCGGCATTGCATAGTCTGATCAATTTGCATGATTTTGAGAAGGTGGCGCAAAAGCATCTGCCTGCTAATGCCTGGGCCTATTACTCGTCAGGAGCAGACGACGAAATCAGCAAACGGAATAATGCCCGCGCATATCAAAAGATCGCACTTCGCCCCCGTATTCTGCGCAAGATCCCCATTGTTAATACGACGACTGACATCTTAGGACACTCGGTTTCTCTTCCCGTGTATATCTCCCCGGTGGGGATTGCCAAATTTGCCCACCAAGACGGCGAATGCGCCCTCGCGGCCGCAGCGGGCAAACAGGGCCTTGTTCAGGTCCTGGCCAATGGCTCGAGCATGCCAATCGAGCGGGTGATGCAGAGTCGTGCCTCGCCCGATCAACCTATCTTTCAGCAAATCTATGTGAATAGAGATGTACAAAAGTCGATTCAGACAGTCCGTCGAGCTGTAAAGGCTGGAGCTACTGCTATTTGGATTACAGTTGACTCACCAGTGGTTGGGAAACGCGAGATGGATGAGCGGTTGAATCTCAGTATCACAGTATGTCCTGGGAACTTCGCACATTGAGCATTGGAACTGACAAGTCCTATGCCACCGAACATGATGCACACGGCCAAGGGATGGCCAAGACTATGGCTAGTTCAATATCACCGTTTATTGACTGGGAGATCCTTGCCTGGCTTCGGCAACACACAAGTCTACCCGTCGTAATCAAGGGCATACAGTGTGTTGAAGATGCCCGAGAGGCATATGAGCATGGTGTCCAGGGCATTGTTCTCTCCAACCACGGAGGACGTTCACAAGACACGTATATTCTCCCTTGATGATCAACATAGTCTTTTCTTTTCATTCTAACCTTTCCCAGGGCTCAATCTCCGCTATTAACTCTTCTGGAAATCCGGAAGTTTGCACCACATTTGATTGGAAGCAAAATGCAAATCTTCATTGATGGTGGCATTCGGCGAGGAACAGATGTTCTCAAGGCTATCGCACTTGGCGCAACTGCGGTAGGACTAGGTCGTCCATTCTTGTATAGCATGTCTGCTGGGTATGGAGAGAACGGGGTGCTGAAGATGATTGACATTTTACGACAGGAGATAGAGGCAAATATGGTCTTTCTGGGCGTGACTAGTCTGAAGGAACTGAGACCAGAGATGTTAAACGCCAGTCGCCTAGAAAGGGATGTCATTGGAAGTGTGAAGCTCTAAATCTTTGATGCTGTTGCTATTTTATACTTCCGCTATTTCGTCGTGTCTGTGCCTATTAGTAGACCTGATTTGAATTCAATCCACCATCATCACCTGGGGCAAAGATCTGCCCGAGAACAACTTCATTGGTGCACAAACTGCTCCTCGAATGCTCCAATGCCAGGTGGTTGCTGATCGCAGCCTCTGAAGCCGACCCCCACGCCCTCGGCCTCCCTCCGATGCGGGGATGGGATTCGTTCATATGAGTCTGTCTTCATGTGGATGGGTTCGATTGCAGTTCACACCATGTCCGAGCAAATTGATGTTCTTCTCTACGGACTGGGAGCGTGAGTAGCTCCCTTCATTCACGAGGTATATGCTGATCTTGTAGAATTGGCTCCTTCTATGCCTTTATCCTCAATCGGTCCGACCGCGTTCGTCTCACGGTTGTGGCACGCTCCAACTATGATGCTGTGAAGGCCAATGTAAGTGATGTCGAGGCTATAAGTCCGATTTCTAACGGTCGTCAATAGGGCATCGCTATCAATAGTGAAAACCATGGCCAACACACTTTCCATCCCCATCGAGGTGAGTTCTATCCATAACCGGCAGCCCATTGACTTGGCTGACACTGGAAAGTGGTGAAATCTGCCTCGGAAGTTTCCCCAGTGGATTACATCGTGTGTGCGCATAAAGCTATCGACCAAGATAAGGTGGCTACTCAGTTGCAGTCGGCCGTGGATCCCAATCGAACTACGATCGTGGTGATTCAAAACGGCGTGGGGAATGAGGAACCATTCCGAACGAGATTTCCACATAACAGCATTCTCAGCTGTGTGGTAAGAGCTCCATGGTCGATTTTAATGATGGCTGGTGGTCTAACTGTTGAATTCCTCTTAGACTTGGGTAGGAGCCACGCAAACAAGTCCGGGCATCGTCAAGCACACGAAATCTGAGGATATGCAAATTGGCCTATTCCCCAATCCCACAGTTGACAGTGAGAATGAAAAGAAACGACTCGATACATTTGCTGGTCTTCTCCGGAATGGAAAGACTCGATTCCAAGTTGTCGAAGATATACAGATCCAGCGATGGGAAAAGGTTGTCTGGAATATCGCATGGAACTCATTGACGACGCTCACCATGGTGGACACTCAAACCTGGCTGCACTCCTCAGACGATGCGACACCATTTACACGACAAGTAATGCAGCAGGCGATCAATATTGCGCGGGCTTGTGGTGTACCCCTACAGGACGAGCTAATTGACCAACAAATGGACAAGATCAACGCCATGCCTGGTATCGGAAGTAGCATGCAAACGGATTGCAAATACGGACGACCAATGGAGATCGATGTTATCTTGGGCTTTCCAGTGCGCAAGGCTCGAGAGTTGGGAGTTCAAGCTCCATATGTGGAGGCTCTTTATGTTCTCCTTCGGGCGATTGATGGCCGACTCAGAGCTGCGCTGTAAGAAGAATAGGATCAGTTTCAGCCGAGGTAAAGATCACTTCGGGTTTGAGTTCCATGTAGCAAGTCTTAACTCATAACATGCTGATAAATACCACCAATGACAGTCAAAATGATTCATGATCGTCCGTTTCTGATAGTAGTATACCAAATCCAGCTTCGTAGAGAATACCTGGAACTTCGAATATGAAAAGAAGAAAGGGAAGGTATGCAAACAGAGCCGTGATAAATCACAACTCCAGTCCAAGATTACTTATATACTATGTGAAAGCGCCGTTGCCCCCAAAGGGCGAAAATATCAAATGCAACCCGACAAAGTAAGGGCCAGCTTACTTGTCGATCCATCTTTACCTAAACGCTCAAGACTTCCAACGCGAAAACGCCCTATCCAATATCCAAAATACATCCAGGAGGGATAAAATGCAAATATCAAAAGAAAATAACAAGTCGTAGAACATGTATCAGTATATCAAAGGTGTGTCGGGTTCTGCGGGCTTCGAATCTCCTGCAATTGAATCGATGTATCTTTGTCGCCATCTGGATTTAAGTCGCCAGTTGGGACATCTGGAGGCTTGATCTCCGGCTCTTGGTCCACCGCAAACCTCAAACGGTTATCGGCTCCCATGAACATTCGAAAGCCGTAACGTTTATTCAAAGATGTAAGGTGTGCATGCCGTTTGGCACTGCTCCATGTCTGAGTGTCGGCAAAATCATTGAGCATCTGGCTATGAGAGATCCAGGGAATGACAGCTCCAATGGATCGTGGCATTCGCGGTCCTCGAAATCGACCACGTCGGGTCCAGAATACTAATAGAACCACAATTGTATCAAATGCGATTATCGTCAGGGCAATGGCAAGCGATGGAGCGGATGGGACCATGCGCCAGGTGCTGCTAGTAATGGTGGCATTTGTGGCCTGGATTTGTTCGACAAGAGGGGCGAGGTAGATGTTGCGCCATATTGAGAAATAGGTGCTATACACCCATTGAAAAACAGTCTGAGTCATATCCATGAGAACTTCAGGGTTCAACGAGTCAAAGTCGGGATCCACACGCTGGTAAAGACGGGCAACGAGAAAACCAGCCCAATCGTAGGATGAGATGTTGTATGTTCCGTTTTGCATGGTTGTGTTGCCGACAAAACTGTTTGGAATGGCGGCAAAGACTTTGTTGAACTGACCGAGGCTCACGGTCGCGTTATCAAACATGGCTCCATCCGTAATTGATGTTTCGGCCACCGGTTCATGCCATGCGATCTGACCCTTCTGGTCGAAACTGATGGAGTAATCCTGCAATTTGACTTGAGGCTCACACTGCAAAGCAATGGTATTGTTATCAGTGATTGGCGTGTCTGCTAAGTAGTGCCAGCGGCCAACAACCAAGACAGTCGCAGTTTGACAGATGTCAGAATCTTCAGTACCATCCGGAGATAGAAAATGAATAGAGAGTGCGATTCCCTCATTCTTGTTCTTCAACATTGGCATGGCTGCAGTACATTCAATAGAAGAATTTGTGAACAACTCGTATCGCCAATATTGATGACCAGTGGTCGTATTGTACACAAGCGCATCAACTGAGAGTGTCTTGCAATCCAACGTGGTACCAACCCCGAGCGTTGTTGCGCCATAAGTCACGTCTGGGTCACGGTTCTTCACATGCACGGGGACAAAAGATTGGTTAGGACTGGTCCATGGTAGCATGGGAACTCCACTGGTGATGCTGGTCTGTATTAGATCATATTCTGTGAATTCAGCAGCAAAATCAGTCCGCCAAAAGGTAGACTGGCTGTAGTTCATGGTCAAATCCGTGGTTGACAGAGTAGACGTTGTCATCTGTTGGGTGAAAAGACCACCTGCCACGACAGTAAGGGCCATGTTGACAACACAAGCAATGGAAACCAATCCAAGTAACGCATGTCTATCGCGAACAGCCTTGAAGAAAATAGCAAACGGACTTTGAGAAGAGTAGTTCAAAGACAACGAAGCCCGGGCGGACGCATTTCCACGTTGAAGATGTACCCAAGGCTCCAGAACGCTAAGGTTGCGGTGGATAGAGGTACATAGAGATCCCACAGAGGAGGCCACAACCGAGGGGAGGAATGAAAGAACAACCTGGAACGAGCTCGAGTCACCTTGGTTCAGGTGGCGGAAGCGGCCATCCTTAAGCAGAGAAGAGATGACCAGTCCCATGCAAATGATGACACCAGCCAAGGCCAGAAATTCAACCAGAAAGAAAGGAATGACGAGGAAGTGAGGCATCGGATCAACATGGGTTTGGAGATTGGCATCAAGTTGAACGGGAGAGCCATCTTCTGCAAGAATTTCTAACCGATTGCCATTAGGGCCTGGTCTCCAGTGACACCGAGCTTTCTTGAAGATACGGCGAAGCTGACGGGTGGAAAACTGGTGGAACTCAGCCACTGGCTCGGCCAGAATGTTGGATGGGTGAAAGACGTCAGCAGTGATACTGCACATAGCACCAATTGAGCCTGGATCGCTTTGGAGAAAGATCGGGCGTGAACGAGACATGTAGATCAGGTACAAAGTGGCCAAGATTGCCGAAACCAATATGAGCTCAGACCAGAGAGCGGCAAAGTTGACAACAGCAATGGCGACCTTTCTGGTGAAGCGCGATGCCGCGACAATAGTAGGCTTAGTGTCTGGATCAAACAAGCGACCCATTGTCATTACAAAGGTCTGCTTCACGTCACGTTCAATCTTCGATTCAAATTCGGCTTCCGTCATGACCGTCGATGTGTCAAGCACCAGAAGAGGCTGAAGCTCCCCAAGTTCCTGGCTGATTACAGGTAACTCAGTCACGGTGCGTCCCCCCGTGGTAGCATTTTCGCGAATGAACAACATATCGCTGGTATACGGGGCTCGCTGGGACAACAGGGCTTGAAAGTGCTCGATATTGAACTCGGTGTCAGTAAGCGTACTAGTTGTGGATCGGTCGATATTGATAGACATGATGGAGCTGTTGGAGTGCATGTTCACCTGAGCCTCCGCTTTATGATAGGCGATATCGCAAGCGAAAGCGATCCCAGACGCGGCATACTGGCTCGAACTCGATGTAGATGTTGGATTGGTCGCGTTCACGCCAATGATCATGCCATAAATATCATATGGGTCACAGCCGGATGCTGTAAAAGCCTGAGTTCGGTTCGGGAAAGCCTCCTTGGCAGCATTACCGATGACAGGTTCCCAATACCGCACTTGGAGATAGTCGGTGGTAGGAAAAAAAACACTATCGTAATGAAAATTAAGCGTGCATGCAGTGGATCCCACGGTATCGTCCAAGTCGATCCCGCTTGCGTTCCATGAAATGATTGGAAACTCGGCGTCCGGGTCATCGATAGTGACCGTCAGGCTGTCACCAACCAAGACATCCTCACACGTCACTTGCGCCCAATATATAGTTTGATCTAGCGTCCATGTTGTACTTTCCTCCAGGTCGTTGTCTGGAATTTCGACGGGGGCCACTGCGTATTGATCCGACCGGGACCGGCGAAGTTGTTCATCTGTCGAAAGTACCGAGTCGACCGTGTTGTTTGCTTGTGTTGACATCCAGCTCGCCTGTGTGGTCAAATCAACTAGATTGGGCCAACTTTTCATGGTCTCCGGGCTGACCACGGTCACTTCGCGCAACTCCATCACTGTACTCTGTAGGGCGGGAAGAATCATCCGTATCGAGAGGGTCACGAACGAGACCCAGAGGACTATCCAGTGGCGACGGCGTAAGGCGTTGATCGGGGTTAAAATTGTTTGCCCAAAGTTATAGTTGATGAAAAGGACGCTCGCCGGCGCCCCTTCTGGGCGTGACAACTGGAAGTACGGCTCCAGGCGAAGCACATCGAAATCGGTGACGGTCCAAATCAACACCAGTATAAGCGAGAGGATGATCGGGACATAGTTATAAGCGAACGACTGAATCGCAGAAACATCCTGAGTATGATCAAAGAAGACCAGACCCCCTTCGCGATCGCTGTACTGCCGCAACCCTTCCAGGGACAGCAGCATCGCGAGCATCAGACATACGAGGGCGGAGAGGTAGGGCAGGCGTAGCGCAACTGGGCGCCATCCTTTACTGGGGGCCGGGGGTCGAGGCAAACGAAACGAGGCGAGACCTAGCGTGCGAAGGTTAGCCATGCCCAGGATACGGAGACAAGAAACAACGTACCCCAGGCCCAGAACCCCCGGGAAGCCTCATCGTTCATACTGGATGGGTGTAGGATAGAATGGCATTGCCATCGTATATCGCCCTGGACGCAAAACCGGAGTCAAAACTTGATCGTTGCAGCCAAGAAAGATTAGCATGACGTGGGAGAGAAGAGTTGGGGAGGGAACGCGTGGACGTGGGGCAACCGGTCTTGGCTTTTTCTTTACGAGTGCGAGTGGATTGGGGCTGTATACTTCCCTGGTCTCTGTTTTGTTCTGTCATACTTCATTGATCGGTGATATTGATTTGGGGGGAGTCCAATTGGAACCGGGTACCTGAAGTGGCGGAGATGATCGTGTCATAGGCGCTGAGTGGCCCTGTGCCTGGGAGATACAGTCTCCGAACCCATGGATCTGGCCGGTGGGGAGACAAAAAAGAAGCATTTGCAAACAATGGTCAATTTCGGTCTAGAATATCGCTTGACTTGGCACTGGATCCCAAGGGTCTCGTATACTGTAGACCGCATGTTGATGTTTTGGAGGCACAAGAAACAAATCAGGTACTGTACAGGAAGTTCTAGTCGACATTCACGGTGATATGGATGGTCAATCAAGAGCTTTTGATCTTTCTTTCCACTGATGATCCCTGGGGTTGAAATCAGATCAAACCAAGAACTGAATCTGATTGATTCTCGAGTTGAACTCGGTTGATTGCCAGAGGCTCAAATTCTGCCTTGGTGCCTTGGTGCCTTATTGCCTTAATTACCCGGCAACCAGTAACTTAACGTTAATTGAGCAAGCGACTGATGAATAGTAAAAGTCTCGTGAGGGGATCCAGATCTTGAGCAAGTATACAAAGTCACTTTGGCCCTGGAGGTGACACGAGAATAGTAGAAAGACATCGCTGTGGTCGATGGAGCACAAATATACATATGATTGGTAGTTTCTGTTAAAGGCTACGATGCAAGTAGGAATGATGACCGGTACGACCGTACAATATAGATAATCTAACAATAGATTACCGAGGTGTTTAAGTCTGGAGATTCTCATTTGTGTGAGAATCTCCTTATATACCAGAAAACTCTGCCTTAAGCTAGTCCTGATTAGATTTCCCAGGTGATGAATCACTGCGGTTGCCGTCATGGCTCATTCATGGCATAAACCATGGCCGGCCACCATAAATCTCAACAGTTTCAAGTTCAATTCATTTCATACAGTTAATTGGCAATCTAATCAGTCAAGTACAAACAACAAGGACATTTGTCACAAAGCGAGCGGCTATTCCAAAAATCCGGAAAGATGGCACAAAGACAAGTTTTCAAAAAGCTCAAGAGAGAAACTAGGCACCAGGCCTGGTGTGGAAAGGTCCAAGGACCATTTCTATGGGGCCGCTGCTTAGACCAGGGGCTGGCTGATGGCACTGGTAGGGGTGGGGACGGGACGACCAGACGAGGAAGCAGAACCAGCAGCCGAAGAAGACACACCAGGAGTAACAGACGCAGACGAGGCGCGGCGAGTAGACAGAGTGCTAGAAGGGGTAGCGGTGGCAGTTCCAAGTGGAGTGGAAGGAGTACCGGTTGGGATCAGAGAACGCTTCTGAGCACCAGCAGAGGCGATAGCAGATCCAACCGACTGGGCATCGGACAGCAGGGATGGCAGATCAGTAGGGATGGACAGCGCACCATCACGCTTTTGGGCGCCAGCAGAAGCGATGGCAGATCCCACAGACTGGGCATCGGACAGCAGAGATGGAAGATCAGTAGGGATGGACAGCGCACCATCACGCTTTTGGGCGCCAGCAGAAGCGATGGCAGATCCCACAGACTGGGCATCGGACAGCAGAGACGGCAAGTCGGTAGGGATTGACAATGCGTCACCACGCTTCTGGGCGCCAGCGCCAGAAGAAGCAAGAGCCGCAGCCACGGACTGAGCGTCAGATGCCAGAGAGGGGAGATCGGTTGGGATAGAGAGAGCTTCTCCACGCTTTGCGACGCTGCCGCTAGGCAAGGTCACACTGGAGGGAGTCCCAGAAGGCAACCCAGTGCTGGAGGCAAATGGGTTGGGGAGAGGTGGGTCGGTCGACGACACATGGGCAGAACTCGAACGAGGAGTGGAAGTGAATGAAGGACGAGTTCCATTAGAGAATGGAGCAGCCATGGCAGAGCCCGAGAGGGCAAGGGCAACAACGGTGAAGGAAGTCTTCATTGTGAAAATATAGTTGAAAGAAGGAGTTGTTCAAAGATTGAAGAAAGAATTGAAAGTTGTTGGTCAACGAAAGAGTCTTTGTGCAAAGAAGAATTGGAATGGCAAACTGATCTCTGATCTGCTTGATGAGAAGAATGATTTGAGAGGGATGGAGTGAGGCTTTATACCTTTTCAAACGATCTATCTTGGTGCACGAAGATCGGCAGCACATCATCGACCGTTGCGATAGTCGCCGACTCTCGCTCAACGGCCGAGAGCCAAATCGTGCAATAATGCTTATCTCCAGGTAAGGTGGACCACATCCCCAAAGTCCCATGCCACGGTAGAAAGCCCTGGCTGGATGAGAGCAAGGCGACTGGAAAAGCTCGTCATTCCATGAGTTGATTCTGGAAGCTTTGAGGTAACCGGACCCTGAGCGAACAACTTAATGGGTCGTTTCAGGTTGATCATATGCTGAAAGTGGAAAGGAGGCCCTGGACGAGACCAGCGGTACTGTAGATCCGGTCCAGTATTTGCAGGAACAGTGGGCAAGCATGAGCGACCATCTTGCTCCACGCATCTAAGTTTGAGTCGAGAGTTCCCACGGACAAGACATGGAGAAGCACATGGGGTCGACGGATTCGGAATGAGCCCCGAGTTGGAGGTCTCAGCCCTCGAATCAGCGGCTCCAGAGGCAACAGATGCAAGGGACTGCAAGTAGATGGTGCCGACTGTCGATCCCGCCGATCGCCGTTTCTGGCCAGATATGCGCGGTTCCGAGATATGGTAGACGAATGAAAGGAGTTCATTTCCATATGAACCGTGGTTTGCTCCACCCTTATGCGGGTCGTCGGGAGAATCTTGTTCTCGGCTTTGATATGAACTTCGGCTTCAAGATGTTGAAGATGCCGTTGGTCTCAAGTCCCATTTTGCCACGTTGAGTTCCGGGGAATGATACATCCCATGACTCTTTGTGGAGCAACATGTGGGAGTATCAAGAGGTCAACAATATTCAGAAAATCCGGATACCGGCTCTTCCAGCAGAAAGAAGATATCTGACGTCGAAGCACGATGACCAACGAACGGTATATGTCGGCAAGACTAATCCCGAGTCAAGGACTTTGATATCTGCATGGTCAAGTAATCCCATAATTGAAATCTTCCAGGACCGGATGAACCTCGTTGTCCCTTCACTTAGTTACCATGTCAACTATCAAATGAACCTTGATTGACTCTTTTCGCGGCAAAAAACAACCTGGATGTCTGTAGCTACGCCTTGGGTACAATGCCCAGTGGACCTGCTATGGCACTCCGAAGTTTTGCTACAAAGAAATAAATCACTCGGATAAACATTCGCAGCTCTGTCCAATATACTAATCATCTGATATGCATATGAGCGTGTACAGCCAAGAACTCCGAACACATCAATTAGATTGTAATTCCTGGAAACGCTTCATGGGGCCATATCGGGAAGTGAAGGCTCGGATAGCATTGCCCCAAATGAAAAGAGGAATCGCGCAGGAGATGCTCACGACTTGGATCGCAGTCATTTCACCAAAGACGGCCGCAGGCCCTTGACGTTCAATCCAGTCTGCGGCATATAACGATACAAGCATCCCGATAGTGTTCCGAATCACAAATATTATGACCAAAGCCTCACCAGTGACCTACAATATCGTCAATTGAATTCTAAAAGGAAAGTCGCCACAGTACATACCGGTTTGTATGAGTCTAGCGAGTATGTCACGGCAACGTTGCTGATAGCGGCGACACCAAAAGCCTGCATCGCATTACCCACTGCGGGGCCGATCCAATGAGTTTCATTTGCAACGCAAAGGCCAAAAATGAGAATCCCCGCGGGTCCAATCAAGCCAGGAATCACGATAGCAGGCAATCGGTATTCCGGCAAACGAACACCGCCATGTCGAACAGTGCTTCGCGTAGAAATAGTGTCGATCAGGCGACCACCAACATAAAATGCAAGGATTGAGCCAATGAATCCTGCGATTGAGAGTAGACCGAGGTCACCTAGTTCCCAATTGTAAGGGGGCTTCGTGAACGTCCGAGATGACATGAGCTGCACAACAATATTCCTGGAATTCGATTAGTCATTGTAATTTGGGAATAGCCCTGGTGACGAACCAGCCAACGGATATGCCAATGGTAAGTGAGCACCAGATTAATGGTGGGTATGCGGCATTTGCAAGGATATCCATGAGAGCCTGCATAAAAGAAGCCTCACGGTTGAAGCCCACAGTCAAGGACATCCATTGTAGTTGTGATCGCTTGGTCGGAGATGAGCTGCTATGCGGCTTGTGGTAAGAAGTTTCCCTGATTGTGCAAATAGAGACAGCAAAGATGACGCCAACAGCAATGGCAAGGAAATAACACATCCAGCGCCAATTCTCGTCTTGAACCAGATAAGCATTGATTAAAGGACCGAGGAACAGCCCTGCTGTCATTGCCAAATGGAAGAACATCATATAATGTCCACGATCCTGGGGAGCGACCATGTCCCCCACCACGGCGGGAACAGTGGCATCAGCTGCAGCTGCGGCAAATCCAGACAGGATCCGCGAAGCAAGTAGTTCTCCATAACTCACGGCCTTGCTGGACCATACATTCATCATACACAGGCTGAGCATCGCAATCAGGTAGACTGGACGCTTTCCAATGACCCGCATCAATGGCACCCAGAAAATGTTACCCACTCCGAACATGAATACATTAAAGCATACTAGCTCACCGGCTTGGGTCTGGGTAACATGAAACTCCTTGATGATGGGCTGGGTTGCCACCGTGAAATTGCTACTGTTGACATTGGCGAGGAAGGTGAACGAACAAATGGTCAGGTATGTGGATAGTTTTGCAGCTAACGACCAATTCTTGCTCATCTGTTAGCATGTGGCAACCATGGAAGAACTGCGCTCTTCACCTGTGGGTTGTTGGGATCCGCATAATCCGAAGACTTGGGATTCCCAGATGGGTTGCCCCTTTGATCGGAATCGGGCATGATTTCCAGATGACTGGAGGTAGTATATGGCGGGTCTTGCTTGTCTGCCATCCTAGGTATTGGTGATTTAAGGATCGAAAGGTGTGTAGAACAAAAAGGAGCTCCGGTGATCCATGGGGGGGGCCCTTATAGGAATAGAGCTTGATCTTCCCGCGGACTGGGGAATGTGGGATTGCGAAGCACGTCGGCAATTCCGAGTGGAGATGTTGGGGGTTGACAGTTAGCGCGTTGAAGCCACCAATATCAGGCCCAGGATAACATCGTGCTTAATCTTGAGTTGGTATAGATGTACAGATTATATCCTTAGGAGACAAGCCCCAGGACGTTGACGAGTTCAGATCGCATCTTTCTTCAACCATCGCGTTGATCAAATCGGGATACCCGACATGATGGTGTCCTATTTCGACGTTCAGGTAACATGCAGAGGCATCTCACTGGAGAAATTGTCGATCAAGACCCCGTTCGAGCCAATGAAGGCCAATGGACGGTGCCAGGGTAGGGGAGCTTTGTGGGGAAGGCGGCCACTCTGACACCAGTACCGGATATCTGAGATATCTGAGATATCTGCGAAATCCGAGAAATCCGAGATCTCTATGATAGCAATTAGATCTATGCTGTGTTCAATGTCCAAGACTGGCCAGCGTCAAGTGGAGGGCTGTGAAGCGTAGAAAGAAAGTCAACGGAAGTCAGTTTCCGCCAAGACTCGGCGAGCTCCCCCCGAGCTCTCCGAGCTCCTGCTTCCTCTCTTTGCCCCTCCCCCTCTTTGCCTTCTTCCTCTTCATCACATCATGGGTCTCTTCAGTCGTCTATTGAAGGTTGGTGCCGCAGGTACTGTCGCCTCCGTCGGTGTCTTCTGGGGCGCCACGCGCAATGACGTGTTTGAGCTCATGGACGCCTCTGATCCCATCTTCCAATCGCCCTTTTTCAACAAATTCAATCCCAACCGCAACCCGACCTTGCACGATGTCTGTGTTCGTCGCATTCCTCTCGATAAGATCAAGCCAGATCTGGTAGAGGACAAGAGCAAGCTGGTAGAGGCCTTCTGTGCTGGTGTCTGGGGTGGCATGGGTAAGTTCCGATTTAAGCTCGAGAGCTTCTCTTGAATCAATTTTGACTCGATCCTTTCTAGGATATATCCCCCAGCGTGCCTACTTTGATCAGAAGTACCGTGGCCCCGAGACCGCCTCCCACCTCTGGAAGCGATCGGATCTGCTCGCCAGCAAGTACGAGGTCGGTACCATCGTCACCGATCACTTTGAAGTCCTGGAGAAGACCGAAGACAAGATCACCGTCCGCTGCGGTGCTTCCCCTCGTATCCGCGACGTTCGTCCCTCTGATGGACTCTTCGAGATTGGAGCTGTTGTCAAGCCGGAGCAGGGCGTCGCAGAGTTCACTCTCAAGAGCTGTTTCTACCAGGGTCTTGGCAAGGCCGAGGCTGCACCAATGGACGAGAAGATGGCTTGGGCGCACCGTCAATACACCAAGCTTCTGCTGGAGACTGCAGTGCTGAAGAAGTGTGTGAAGTAAATTAATCAATTCCGCAACAGGCTGAAGTTTGCAAAGCAATCCGAGCCTTCAGTTTATCGGCAGATTCTGCCATGTACATATACCTAGTCATGTTCGACCAGCGAATTTACTCGGCTTGCTCAGAGCAGCTATTATTGCTTGTTGCATATTTCCAATTGGATAGACGAAAGGTTTGAGTCCTCCCTGGGGTTTACTACCAAATCTAGCATCAGGATTTCACATCAGCTTGGGGCTTTTCCGCGTCCACTGAATCCATGCCATGAACTGAAACATGATCACTGGTTAAAGTGACTGCCAACACAGTGGGGATAGCGATACACAAAGAGCCCATGCAAAGACCCCAGTCCATAGCAAGTTGAGTCATCGCTGGCGTTGCGAGAGCGTTCACACGCCACGCCATTGCACCCCCAGTGCTTTGGAAGGTTTTATATGCGCCCACCAGAACAGCAGTTCTTGCCGGAGAGTTGGACTGGGCACCCATGAGCCAGTAGCAGAACGACTGCCAGAATGCATCGTACGCGCCATAAAATATATACAGAAACATCGGTCCCACGGAGATGTCAGAATCCGTGTAGTCAATATCCTGTTTCAGACCCTGTGCCAGTCGACGATCCGACCATCTCTGAAATACATAGCCACCTCCCCAAATAGCCATGCCAGTTACAAACAGAAATACCCAGGCGACACGGGCTCGCATAGGCCGGCTGAGACCAGGCATATCAAGGATCAGTCCAATGATGAGTCCACCCAGCATCTGGGCAATCCAGTATAGGGCACCGTTCAGCGACCGTGTCCGGATGTTGAAGTTCATGCCATTTACAGCATTCTGCTGATACGAGTAGAAGACATTCGCGGAGAAGAATAGCGGCAGCATGCAGAGCACGCGCCAGTCAACAACAGTATTGACTGACTGACGCAGAATTTGTCGCCAGTTCTTCTCACTGTCGGGTGTTGACTTTAACTGAGCTGAGCGAACGGAAGTGGGTGGGCAAATAAGCACGCCCAGTAGCCATCCAATTGCCATGATGATCAACAAAGCGATATATGTTCCATCCGAGACAGTCCCGCTTTTGGAATTATAGTTGAGACCGAAGCTGGCGAGAGATCCAACGCCACCGCCGAGGTTAAAGATGATCCAAAAGACGGCGATTGCACGTCCTTTCTGCGACTCGGGCACATAAGTCGTCATGATAGCACCTTGCGCAACCCATAGGAATGATGCGCCAACACCAAGAATGGCACCAGAAGCAATCACAAAAGCGCCGTTGTTTGTCGCTATTGAGAAACACGTTAGTCTCTCTTGGGGGAGGGGAAGCTATAGACTCATACCATTGAAACACAAAAGACTCCCAGAGTACAGGGGATATGTCCAACCACCAAGCAACAAACACACTCTAGGGCCAACACGCTCGAAGATCGGTCCAACTACGAACAATGCAGTCGCGGCGGTCGCGGCAAGAAGAGCTACCGTCGCATTGGCAGCTACAGCTTGATTGACCTGACCAGATCCCCCGAGGCCGGTGAGGGCATTGTACATCTATCGAAGGTTAATATCAATCTCGTGTGTTGATACATAGACCATACTCCTGGACAGCAAAAGCATATGAAACTCATCAAGATGATCTGGAACCAACAGTGCGTCCAAATCCTATGAAAGATTGAGCGGCTTGCATTTTGACCAGAGGCCAATTGACCCGACTCTTCTTCGACGCTCGCCATTTCGTGAGGCTAACAGAAAATCCGGGGGCAATGCATTAGTTTAATAGAAGCCCAACCCCACATTTCGGGGGTTGCATGCGACAGCCGACGTTTATCTCTGGAAACATTATTGTAGCATCAGAAGGGTGGAGAAACCTCTTAGCCAACCTGGTCCAATGTGTTTATCAAGAACGCTCAGCCGTGTTGCCGTGATAGTATCAAGCGGAGACAGCCGCAAAACTCCAGATGAGGCAAATTCCGGGGAGTAGACTCTCCACAACTTTTCCAAAGGGAACCATTGCCACGCAGCCGATATCCTCGCTGTAACTCTGCCTCGTAACCCCCCACAATATGGAGGCCTTTCATATCTTCCTCTATCCGGGGCTCGAGCCACAAAACTCTCTCGAACGTACACATTCGCAGTGTCGTTCTTTTCGCATATCTGTCGAGAGAAGATCGCGAGTCACTCCCAGTTATGGATCTAGCAAGTTTGTCCAAACTTCAAACCGAGGAGGTCAATCCTCGGACAGTGCATATTGACCAGATGTCAACGCTGGAAATGTGCACTGTGATCAATGCGGAGGACCATTATGTTCCAGCCAGCGTCGTGCCTTGCTTGCCTGCTATTGCTGGCGCTATCGATGTATTGGCCCCCCGTGTGCGCCGAGGTGGCCGAGTTATATATGTTGGTGCAGGAACAAGTGGAAGGTCAGTGGATTGGAGAAGAAAATTACACAGTTACTGATATCCTCAACGATAGACTGGGCATTTTGGATGCTTCGGAGATCCCACCGACATTTGCCGCTCCTCGCTCGCAGTTTATTGGCCTTATTGCAGGAGGAGATGATGCGATTCGGCAAGCGCAAGAAGGCGCAGAGGACAATGAAGAGGCTGGTGAGGCAACTATGAAGCAGCTCAGCCTGGATCCTGAAATTGACAGCATCATCGGCATCGCAAGTTCAGGTCGCACACCTTATGTCATGGGGTGTCTTTCCTTTGCTCAGAAGCTTGGCTGTATAACTATCGGGGTTGTCTGTGCAGCGCCATCGGCCATCGGCACCACAGGGATTGCAGACTTTCTGATCACACCTCTACCAGGGCCTGAAGTGGTGACTGGTAGCACGCGACTCAAGGCCGGCACTGTGACCAAGCTTGTTTTGAATATGCTGAGCACAGGTACCATGATCCGCACTGGAAAGACTTATGGAAACATGGTAAGATGTCCATCACAACGCCTGTTGCTTGACTGACCTGTTCAGATGGTTGATCTTGTAGCCTCCAACTTAAAATTGAAGCAAAGATCTCTGAATATTCTGCGGAGATTGAGCTCCAAGTGCCATACTCTGTCAGATGAGGACCTGTATACTCTTCTCTCGAGGTGTAACCATAGCGTCAAGCTGGCTATATTGGTCGCTGAAACTGGCGACTCAGTGGAGACGTGCGAGATATACCTCAGAGCTGCTGGTGGGGTTTTGGCTAACGCAATGACTGCTGTCTCCAAGCCCATTATTCCTGAGGGCGTGTCTGGTAGGCCATTTACTTTGTGCATCGATGGTGGAGGAACAAAATGCGCTGCTGTGGTCACAGACGGTGCTGATATCGTCTTTCGAGGCTGTGCTGGTCCCTGTAATTTGTATAAACCCCCCAATACTATGAGGAACCCGAAGGAAAACTGACCTTGCCAAGGACTGATAGTATCGGGGATCTAGACATGGTTGTCGCAACACTGCTGGAAGCAACAAGATCTGCCTTAAAAGAGCATATCCCAAGTGACCCAGAACAAGTATACTCTCCTGGGGAGTATCTGCGATCATGCTTCAGCTCTGTGTGGGTTGGGCTGGCTGGTCTGGATAGAGCTGGCATTAAGGAATCGTTGGCGCCCAGGTTGGGTGAGGCTTTCGGGCTCAATCACACAACTGGCATCCGTTTAACCAATGATGTCGATCTCTTGACTGCCGCGATCCCCCAGCACCTGGCGCCATCCTCCGTATTGGTTCTCATTGCCGGGACTGGAAGTGTTGCCATGCGATACAGCCCGTCGCGTGAAAATGGTTATACCTGTGTTGCAAGGTCCGGTGGCTGGGGCCACATGCTTGGAGATGAAGGCGGCGGTTATGCTATCGGTCTAAAGGCCATTCAGCATACCTTAGGTGTCTTTGAAGAGATAACTCTGGGAATTGAAACATGCGAGGTAGGCAGACTTGAGCTAGCCGTTGCGGCAACGCTTGGCTGTTCCGGCTCTCCAAGCGCTAGTATCGACATGTTGAACCAGATCCTCTTAGATAAGTGCACCCAGAATGCCAAGTCACGCATCGCTAGTATTGCCCGGGTTGTTGTTGGACTTATTGGAGAAAACGAGACTGCAGACGCCATTTTGAATTCTCAGATTGCCCTACTGGTAGGCAAGACACTTGGCCGACTGGTCAACCCCAAGGGGACTCATTATCGGTTATCAGAGTCATCCGTGCTCATTCTGGCCGGAGGGTTGATGAAGAATGAGTTGTATCGAGCTGCACTAGAACAACATTTATACCACCATCAGTTGTATTTCTATCGCACAGTGGTTGTGGAAGATGCGGCGCTCACAGGCGCAAGATATCAACGGTCATGAGGGTATACACAGTGACCCGGACTGTTCGAGAGCTGCTATATAAAGTCCTTCTTGTATATTGAATGATTTTGCTTCTCTTGATCGTGGACAGATACATGGTTGTGGAAGGACGAATGTCATCTGTGGAGGTTGAATGGTTTACTGTGTAAAATTCCCTTCCTAAAGTTTTCCCTCCAACCTCCAACTTGCCTTGTCTTCCATTCCTCGCCCTACCCTTTACTGTTTTGCCGTAATTGGAACTGCTTCGATCACCGATTCCATCCCTGGATTTTGGTTCCAAATCCCGGCTATTTCTAGCCCAGCGCTGTGCAATAGATCTTTCCACTGCTGCTCGGATCTTTCAACGCCAGCTCCTATACTCATCATTTGGATGTCCATCGAAGCTTGTATCAGCGCAGTTTGAGTATTGGGCAAAATGAAGTCCACGATCAGAATGTGTGAATAGTCCCGACTCATAGCTGACAAGGTGTTACGCAGAATCTTCTGGCATATATGATCAGGCCAGTCGTGGAAGATGGCTCTGAAGTAGTACACTCGCGCTCCTTGGATGGGCTGGGGATCCAGGAAGCTGTATCCCATCACCTCAATCCCAGCATCTAGACCGGAGACCCCTTCGACCACTTTGGGTAAGTCTTGCAAAATCAATCGTCCTGGTAAATGAACAAATTCGCTGCGAAACTTGCTCAAATCGTGACCCTGATTGCCTCCAATATCGACCAGAAATACGGTATCCTCAAATGGCACAGCATCACCAAGGAGTCGCTGAACAGGGTACGTGTTGAACCACATGGGTCTGCCCTCGCGGCGGCTGGCCATGTAAGAGTTGAACAACGTTTGTTGGTGTTTATTACTTGCCAGCCATTCAAATTGACTTTGGCCCACTGCCCACTGCATGGGCGAGTGAGTATAGTCTCGCGGGTTCGCATAGTTATGAGATCGGAGGTACTCGGGCAATTTACTCAGCGTTGGCACCGTGAGGTCATATCTGGTCCTGCAGTCAGTGATTCGTACATGAAAAACAAGCAGAGAATTGCCAGATCTTACATGCATGGGATTCCGTCTCTACCGATCGGTTGGGTGAGCGCCACGGTCTTCTCATTGGCAACATAGACCTCCAAGGTCGAGGCACAAAGCCCGAGCGATGTCATGACACGCATCAAACGGACTATTCACAGTATTAGCCGGTTCACGCCACCAATTCAGCGACCATACCAATCAATTCAGGCTCGGCGCCCGTATATTCGGCCAGTTGAGTGGCAGACACTCCCGTCTCTCTGTGCCGCTTCTCCACCAGCACGGCGAAGATACCCAACTCTATTACAATGCGCAACGCTGCATTTTGCGGGGGCTATTTTCGATCAGACGGTTTCTTTGGGCTCAGTGGACGACCTTTACCTGGTATATGAGGCGCAGAACGGTCTCTGTTGGGGTTTCCACTGCTGCTCTAAGCTGGTCGATCATTTGCAACAGTTCAAAGTGGGCTTGTGGGGACGGCTCTGAAGCTTCTTTCATGGCCATCGTGCTGATGCGATTGACTAAAGCGCAAGCGGGCGTGACGATCGTCATGTTGGATATTTGGCACAATTACTTCTTCGTGTAGGATAGTCTGGGGTGATGGACCCCTCTGGCCGGATGCCTATTCCCTTTTATACGTCCATTTGGTCGTGTCACAGTGACACTGAAATACCAAGGCCTTTCAATGGTATTTTTTATCTTGTCCTTACATCGGTGTTTCCCGAAAACAGCCACAATCTGGGCGATATCAAACGTCAGCTCAACACCGCATCGAGGACAAAGGCGATCGCTGAGATCATCCAGAGAGTGTACAGGCTTGGCCTACGGTGTGTCATTTGAGTCCGGGCGATCCATTGCTTATTACTTCATATGGGTTATCCACTTTGGCCTATAGACCCCTGACAGGATCGAGTACATCTGCACGGAAACAGAGGCGACTGGGTGATGTGAGATGCTAATTTGTTCTATAAAAGGCACCACTACTGTAGAAGTGACAAGTCTCCATTACTTAGATTGCTAACCAGTTTAGTGATGTATTCCCTTCCCAGTCCCCCTGTTTCTGAGAGTGGGCTTCCTTGGAAGTCAGCGATTGCTACTGTGAGCCTGGGTGCTGCAAATCTACACCCAATCACAGCCAAACTCGACGCTGCTGCCCGCAATGGCCAACAAGGACTCGAACTGTTCCACGATGATCTCACACAGCTTGCCAAGACACTCCAGCTGAATGACAGCTCGCTCCGCTCTTCCCGAAGCTATGAGATTGACGCAGCTCGCACCATCCGCCATCTATGTGCGGAGCGCCACTTGCGCATTTTGGCCCTGCAGCCCTTCCGACACTACGAAGGCCTGATTGACCCCGTTCGCCATGTTGAACGGATTGACGAACTCAGGCACTGGGTCGAATTGACCAAAATCCTGGGGGACTCCGTTTTCATTCTGATCCCTTCGTCATTCCTGGATTCTTCTGAAATTACTGGGAACAGGGACCGCCTTGCCTCAGACTTGGCCGAGGCTGCAGATGTAGCATTCCCCGTGCGTATCGCATATGAAGCACTCGCTTGGGGTACATACATCAACACCTGGGAAGATTCTTGGGACGTGATCAACCGGGCCGATCGACCCAATCTGGGAATTTGCATGGATACTTTCAACATTGCAGCCCGGATATGGGCTGACCCCACCAACCCCGCCGGACGACTGCCTGTAAGCGCCGACCAGACTTTGCAGGACTCGATGGATCGACTTGTCCGCGAAATCGACGTGAGTCGGATCCTGATGGTTCAACTGGCTGATGGCGAGAGGGTCGACCCGCAGACGCCATTTCTCCACGTCGGCTTGCCCACGCTGCTCGCCTGGTCCCGGAATGCCCGTTTGTTCCCCTTCGAAGAGGAGCGCGGTGGATATCTTCCGATCCGTGAGGTCACCAATGCGTGCATCACACGTCTGGGCTATACTGGGTGGATCAGCATGGAGATCTTCTCACGGACAACTGGAGAGGATAACCCCTTGGTCCCAGATGCGCACGCCAGGCGAGCCAGTCAATCATGGCAGCGCCTCGTGCAATATTTGAAAAATCAGAAAGAAAAGACACCCGTGTCAGTCTCATTGGACTGAAGCCCCATTTATCCTGCAGTGCAGCATATGTAATTGACGTCAATTTGCCGATTTAAGAAAACCAAGAAACCACTCGCATTCCTGCCAACCCTAATATATTCCAGTTCCAATGATGAATACAAGCATCCAGTGTTTGTGTGCTCCTTTACTGTATCCCGAGAGTCACTCCCCTGGTCGAGGGTTCTCGACTGCATACAGTCACGGAAGCCTTCCCCGAAGGGGTGGAGATGTCTCAGATCGGTGGAATACAGTAGTTGACTAGTAGAATCTGCGCCGAAAGTACAGTATCATACGGGCCAACCATGCCGAACCAATTTACCTTTTGGCCATCCTGGCACGCTATCCAAGCTTTTTTCTCTACCCGTTGCAGGGGCTCCGAATAAATCAGAGTTAGGATACATCGGCATACCAGGGCCCGATCGAACGGTTAGCATTCCAGAGATAGCCAGAAATTCTGCAGGTCCGGTTGCCGAGAACAGTTGTCATTCGAAGGTATACATCGACTTCGGAGGGCCACATTCCAATGCGGGTGTTCCCATTCTCCCTGACGATTTCTAAAATGGACTGCCGATTTCCTGCCGAATGCTCGGATGATCTTCCGCCATATGCTGGCTTGGGGTGGTATTCTTTGCGCTCGGTCTTGGTCTCTTACGACTGTACCGGTCTCTATTGGCGCGCAACCGCCCGGCCTGAGGCCTCTGTAGCGTTGTGTCCTGGAATCTGCCTGTCACACCGACACTGGTCTACGATGAAGGGTTGGAATACACGAAACCCATCTTCGGCGTTGGTATCTGCACGTCACAACCAATCGCCAGCAGTCGCTCGGGGTTTATGAGGACCCCTGCACAAGTCGTCCAGCTGACGCCCAAAGGTCCGTGGTCCACCCACACCGGGGTATTAGATACGGTGACGCCGATGATATCAACAGAAGGCAAGGCACGAGTACAGTACAGCTTCCTTTGCATGACGAGCTGAGCGTATGATCTGAGGGCCGAACGTATTTCAGCTCAGTTGTGTAACCGGTGCTCCATACTGTAGACGACAATCTTGCCACTGGAATGCAGTTTAGTGTGGATAGATCATGCATCGCTTTGCATCGGTCTGAAATTAGCGTGAGGATGACGATAAGACGGTTTGTTATTATTCTTTATTCGAGACGCAAAAGGGCCACAACGCCACCGGTCAGCCCTAAAGCAAGTGCTTGCATGAAGTTATCTCCGATCTTGTCTCGATGGTGCAGAAGCTCCAAAGCAAAGCCCTCTGGTGGATTACAACTACTCCGTGCAAATTGCCCTATACCAAAATCCGTGAGATCTGTCTCTCTTTCTCCTTATGCGGAAAAACTGGATTCCGCCTCCTCCGAATGCAGTAGAGAGAGCTGAGTCCACGGCTGGACCCTAGATGCTGGAATCATACAGGCCCTTATATTGCTCGTGCCTCTCTGGATTGACTCGCTTCCCACATCGAGGAAATCCATCCCCGAAACTCCGCGATGGGTGTTCAACGTGGTGGTCAGGCCAAGGCTGGCTCCTCCAGTCCTATCAACCCTCTCGTGCAGGAGTTTGGACCACTTCATGTTCTCGACGACTTGATCCGGTTACGAGCCTCTGATGCAGTTCAACATCCGATTCTGGCCTATCCTCGTGTGGAGTGTGATGCGGGCTCGTTTGACTATTATACGGGGCAGGACTTGGATGATATGATCAACCAGGCGGCGACCACTCTGATGGATGATGGCTTCCAGCCGGTATGTGCTTCCACCGTGTCCATGATTCCATGATTCCAGCCAATCTCTAAGATACTACAAGGTGTTGAAAGAGGGATCTATCGTTGCTCTCCTCACCACATCCGACATCAACATGGTCGTCGCATTCTTTGCCCTAAGTCGACTGGGATATACTGTCATGATGCTTTCCCCGAGACTGTCGGGCGAGGCTTGTGTGGAATTACTGGACGCAGTAGGGTGTCATTCCGTCATTTACGGCAAATCGTCCAGTATTCGCAACACGCTGGGTGAGATCCTGCAACGAAGACTTGTGAGTTGTCGTCCCATGCTCGTGTGCTCGGGGGAGAGTATATCAGAGTCATCGTTTCTAGTCTTGAAGCGCAACCGTAATCCGGACAAGATTGCGATCATTCTTCATTCTTCGGGGTCCACGGGCACTCCAAAACCACTCTTCCTCACGCATCGAGCGTTGATGACCCATCCACTACGCGGCCCGGGACTCACTTCGTTTAATCCTCTTCCCTGGTATCATCTTCACGGGTTATCCACTGCATTGCAGACAATGTGGATGCGCAAGATTGCCTACATGTGGAACGCCGCCCTTCCATTGACAGCTGATCTTTTGGTGATTGCTCTGGAGGAAGCAGAACCAGAGTCCATCGCCGCAGTTCCGTATATGCTTCAACTGTTGGTCGACGACACTCGAGGAATCGTGGCCCTCCAGCGTTGCAAGCTCGTCACTTATGGAGGTGCTCCGTGTCCAGATGAATTGGGAGATCGGCTGGTCAGGGAGGGTGTCCATTTCGGAGGATCCTTTGGCTTGTGAGTGATGATACACAGTGGAAGAACATTCGACTAACAACAATCGCAGGACAGAAGCCGGACTTGTTGCCGAATCAATCTCACGGCCGAATGGAGATCCTCACTGGAACTATCTACGGTTTTTTGACAACATTGCTTCTTATATCTGGATGAAACCTATATCGCAAACAGAGTCCCTTTATGAGTGTGTCTATCTGACTGGTCATCCAGCCTTAACGGCCTCGAACTCCGATGAACCACCAGGGTCATTCCATTCCAAGGACGTATTCACTCCTCATCCAACGATTGCAAATCGCTGGAAGTATATCTCGAGGTTAGATGATCGCATCAACCTCATCAATGGTGAAAAGGTCCTGCCGCTTCCTATCGAAGGCCGCATCAAACAGCATCCACTCGTTCATGATGCTGTTGTGGTCGGACTGGGAAAGTCGGCTCCTGGTCTTTTGATCTTGCGAACCTCTGGGCCTGAAACGGACCGTCTTTCGGACGAGAAATATCTCCGTAAAATCTGGCCAACTATTCAAGAGGCCAACTCGCATGCTGAAGCTTTCTCTCGAATATCCCGTGATTTAGTTGCTGTCTTGCCTTCTGATGCGAAGTTTCCGCGAACCGACAAAGGATCCATGATCCGGGCCAAAGTTTATCAGCAGTACCAAGATCTCATTGAAAGCCTTTACGTCAGGGAGAAACAGATGGAGGGAGACCTCGAGTTAGATGTCGCCGGAACAGAGTCTCTTCTCCTCGAAATGGCTCGGGAAGAGCTTGGAATCTCAATGTCAAGACCAACCGCCAACTTTTTCTCTGAAGGAGTTGATAGTCTAAAAGCAATTCACTTTCGACGGCTTATTCTTCAGCGCTTCAAATTTCAAGACAGTCACAGTCTCACTCAGAATGTCATTTTTGATGCAGGGAATATGTCACGGTTGGCTCAACATATTTGCGCTTTGCAAGCAGGAGACATGGTTACGAGCAACAATAATGCGATACAGACAATGACAGACCTGGTTCAGAAATACTCCGTATTCCAACGACATCAGCCTCGAGAACGGGGGTATCCGGATACCACGAGTGTGGTAAGTACATCACCTGTACGTTGGTTTGAACAATGATCTAACGGCATGAAAGCTTTTAACAGGAGCAACCGGTTCAATCGGTGCGCATATATTGTTTGAGCTCCTCCATGATGATTCTGTGTCCACAATCTATTGCCTTACAAGGCGCTCATCGTCGCTCGAGGCAATCATCAACACGCTGGTGGAAAAGGATCTAGATGTCAGCCCGGAGCAGATGACAAAGATCATCGCACTGAACAGCTCTCTTGATGAGTCCAATTTCGGTCTTGGCTTGAAAGCAGACATGTTCGAACATATGCTTGACTCGGTCTCTCTGATAATTCACACTGCATGGCCCGTCAACTTCAATCTCCCTCTGTCGCAATTCGAACCGCATATTCGGGGACTCTATAACCTGATTCAGTTCTCACTCTCCGTTCATAGATGGGAGCCTGCCGTAGTAATGTTCTGCTCCTCTGTCTCAACTGCACTTGGCTCACCATCCGATGAGATACCAGAGGAGCCAATTGCATTGGATCATGCGTTCATGGGCTACGGACAGTCCAAGCTTGTTGGAGAGCATATCGTGAGCAATGCACGCCTGAGTGGTGCAAGAGCATATTCACTTCGGATCGGACAGGTCTCGGGTCACACCAAGAAAGGCCTTTGGAATGACTCCGAGGCTCTCCCGCTAATGGTTCGCTCGGCCCTCACCATCAAAGTGCTACCAGTACTAGATCAGGAATGTTCCTGGCTCCCGGTGGACAGGCTTGCCTGCAGCATTCTTGAGTTAGCAAAGACCTGCTCTTCGCAAACCAAAATTGAAGACACCCAGGAATCGGGTTCATCTCTCGCAAAGAGCGATGACTCTATTTACAATGTGTGCAATTCGCGCGCATTCCCTTGGAAATCCTTACTAGACACTCTTAAGATGAATGGGTTTGAGTTTGAGGCACTGCCTTTCGAGGAGTGGTTGCATAAGCTTCGTGAGAGTGAGGCCAGGGGTGAAGAGCACGCCAATCCAGCGGTCAAGCTGATTCACCACTATGAGCAAATGCATCGAATGAGATCATCTGCTGATGCAAGTACATGCAAGAGGTACAACACGGACAAGGCTGAGAGAGATAGCTTGACGCTGCGAAATGGGCGATTGAGAATTGTTGATGATGGAATTCTCAACTGCTATGCCCAGGACTGGTTGACAAGGTGGAAATAGATTTAGATTTGATCAATCTCCCTCGAAGAATGGGTTCGGTCTGCGAGCTGTGAGAATGGAGCCAAGTGCAAAGATTGAGATCAAGGAAATACGGCGTCAGAAAGATATGGAGAATCGGACTTTTCATTAACTAGCTAAAATTGCCGCTGCGGGCTGAGTGAACAAGTAAGAAAATGCGCCTGAAGAAATAAATAAACAGACTTAATCAAGGGCCAAAGGCCATCTAGGGCTAAATCTAAGCCCTAATATACATTCAAAAGAAGGAAGTCTCGCCAATAACAAACAAATCAAAGTAAGAAATCTAGAGCGCAAAGGCAATTAGAGCACATAGAACGGCGGATGCGCTTAGTGATAGCTTCTGGGCGGCACCGGTGAAGACAGGCACGGCTCCAGTCGTAGACTCGCTGGAAACGAAGCTTTCAGAGGAAGTCGCGGCAGTCTCAGGGGAGACACCAGTTGGTGCAGAGACGAGTGCCGTAGATGACTGATATGCGATGTCGGATGACACTGCGGAGCGTGCTCCATCTGCATGCAACCACGAAGTACCGAATGGAGCCACGCTATAACTTGCAGTAGCGACATGACCTGATGGAGCAGCACTGGGAACAGAGTAAATAGGCGCTGGAGAAGGTGCATCGTTGTGAGCTGCAGCAACCGGGCTAGTTTGGGCAGAGACGCCAGTTTCAACGGAAGCTTGACTTTGACCGACTGGGACGGCGGGCAATGCCGGAGTTGATTGAGCATTAATGGCGGCGGTGGAGGTAGGTGCTTGTACATGATGGCTATTGCCGGGAATTTCAGCAGTTGGCACAGCAGGTGTAGACACCACGGGGGTTGCGGCAGAAAGACCAGCAAGAGAAGCAGATTTCTCGGCTTCAGGACAGATGGTCTTTGTCGAGGTAACAAGGGCAGTGACAGTTCGGGTCTTCTTGGTAGCAGGAGACTGCTGAATCTCTGCCGTGGCGGTGTTCTCGGGGACCGCAGCAGAGGCAGCAGAAGTCGGACTCAGTTCCTGGATGCTTCCGACAGCAGCTTCTCCTTCATTCGAAGCCGACGAGTGGACTGCAGTAGCATAGATTTCGGCGGTAGACTGAGACACAGCAGTATTGGCAGCAGTAGTGGTAGCGACCGCGTGGGTCTGGACAGCATGATTCTCAGAAGTAGAAGACGTGACCGGGGCAGCAGACTCGGAGGATTGAGACGAAACAACTGCAGTTCCCTCTACACCAGTCTGATAAATCTTGACCGAATTAATCTCCCAGTAAGACTGCTCATACTGGGCAGGGTGGTTGGCAACAAAGTTGTGGCAGCTTTTGAAGGAATCGGAATCGCTCATAGGGCAACCGGAGTCACCAAACACACCACCAGCCCAGTCACCACAGAAAGTCACATCGAATATGAAGGATTGAGACTTGAAGGAATTTGCGACATCGCATGATTCCTCCACCAGTGCCATGGGAGTGCCAAATGCGGTCACGTCAGGCTTGCCGCTGGTGATCGAGGCTGGGATTGCGCTTCGAGGGAAATACCAAATCTTGAGGAAATCGTCGGTCCACTGCATAGCGTACACACCACCTCCCTGGCCGTTGAAGGATGTGCCATAGCTGCCCTTGTGGCCTTCAATCACACATCCCACGGTTCCCAGGTCCTCACCACATCCAGTGGCATTAACGACACCCGTCATATCCGTGTCGGTCAAGCTGCATGTACCAGCGGTGTGCATGACAATCTCGTTATGATCCTGAAGGTTGACTCCCTCAATGATATCGATCTCTCCATCTCCGGGCCAATTTTTGCCAACGGACCAGAAAGCAGGCCATGTTCCACAAACACTGCCCGGCATATGGGCAATATCCGCAATGACTAGCGACTGATCATAGTATTTCTTACTTCCAATACGGACCGAATCCCGTCCTTTGCCGTTTGGGTCCAGTGTGGTCTTATGGTCGACTCCGAGGTATACACTGCCGCTGTCCATCACCTTGACGAGGCCTGCACTCTCGGCACTCTCCTTGTCGAGATAGTTGACATAGCCGTTTGTTGGGTCGGATCCGACATGGAAGTTGAAATAGTCCAGGAAATTCTTCCCCTGCCAAGTCTCAACCAGGGAGTAACTTGTGGCGGCTACAGGTGAAGACAGAAAAGCGAGCATTAGCGAACCAGCGCTCAATGAACGTAAGAGAACCATCTTGATAGGCTTGCAATGAACAACCACCTCAATGGATTTTGGATCAAGAAGGTAAATAAGATGAAAAAGAGAAAAGAAGGACGGTAATTGAACAAAAATAGAGACTAAAAGAAAGGCAGACAATCCAGATTGTCTAGGAGAAAGGAATGTGAGCGTGTCGAACGTGTTTCGCACAGCAGGAATTTGGGCCAAATATCTATTAAAGCCGGCAACTTTTCGTTCCCCCATTAAAAGAGCGAAAATCCAAAAAGGCCCATTGAGGATCCATTCTTCCGTCCAGTCACAAAGACTGAAAGTCTGGGCACTTCAGTGTATTGCGCTGAGACTCGGGATAGGTTGCCATAAGCACCAAGGACCCAGGATGGCGCTCTAGTCATCAGCCGAAATCCACCAGGGACGAGCGATGATCCATTCTTCAGGGGTATCAAGCGACCAACGCGCAATGTGGACTGGTCACTATCTCGGCGGTTAAGGACGTGAGTGTCAACCTGAAACGTGTTTCCCGCGCTATGGCGCACTTCCAAACAACTGGTGAAACAGGGGAACATGGGCCTCAAATAGGGGAGCTTGAGAGTGAATTGTATTCCAAGGCTCACATTGGATTCCCCTGGTGTGTACAGAATACAACGTCGACGAAGTATGTGACATTCTTCCAATGTTGTGGAGACGCGACCGCATTGTCGATCTCGCGATGTTTGCCGCCTCTCCACCGCGCTAACTGCTCGACGGTTTTTCGGTATCTCTTTATTCTGGAGTCTAGGCTGTGAAAGTCCCACTTGGATCCTGTCCCAAGACCCCAAGAATAGGACACAGGCACGGAGACCCTAGTCATGACTTCGCAAACAATGCGTGCGACAACACAATACTCACGAGAGATGGGCTCCCGGCCCTTTTCCAGAAATTTCTCAGTAGTTGTAAGCGGAGATGCAGCCCAGCATATGGTCCATCAGTGTCTCTTCCTCTGGAGCTGAAGTTGAAAGTGTCCAGCGAGCACAGGTTGAGATCTATACCACAGTCCCTATTCGGACACTAGCGCTCGCTCATGGGAAGCACATGACTCGCTGACTCATCCCCAGTCCATCCATGGGATCTTTGGATGACTTCAAATGTTATCAAGACAGGTTTACCGTCTGGGATTGAAAGTTGATACGCATTGCCGGAGTCATCTGCAAATGGGGTTCAGACGCTCTCACACAAAGTCTCGCCATGGTTGTGCCAATTGCAAGCGGAGGAGGGTGAAGGTATCGCGCAAACACGCCCCTCGTTTCCATATTCTGACTCTCAATTACGGTGTGATGAGCAACGCCCGAGTTGCACTAGTTGCAGCCAGAGACAGGATCAATGTGTGTATAGCGCGGAGGGGCCTTTTTCTTTCACAGAAAAGCAACCCCGTAGACCCCGACGCACGAGGCAGTTCTCAAAGAATGTGACATCTCCCTCCACCGGAGATACCATGGGCCTTTTGGATCAGCTCCCGGCAGTAGAGACATCTGAAATCACCGCGGGACTGAATATGGAGCAGCTCGAACTTGAGCTCCAGTGGATCATGCATACGCATAAACTACTTGCTCGCAGTGAAGAAACTCGCAAGGTCTGGGAACTAGTGGTGTTGCAAGAGGCTTTAAAGGCACCTTTCTTGATGCATGGGATCTTAGGGTTGTCCGCACTGCATCTATCAAGGCTTCACGAGCCTCAAAGGCATTCCAAATGGCTGACCGTGGCAGTTTCACACAAAAACATTGCTTTGTCCATGTTCTCTGAGCAGCTTTCCAACATCGACCATTCTAACATCAAAGCAATGATGAGCTTTGCTGGTTTGGTGGTAGCATTTGGACTAGGGAGTGCCCTCACCCCTGGAGCTACGGATGGCCCAACTCTCAACTCTCTAATTGAAATTTTTACTCTCGCGCGTGGAGTCCAGGCAGTCGCCAACAAAGAGCTTCAATTCCTACTCCAGAGCAATTTTGCGCCTCTTTTCAACATAATTCAACCGGAAGTCTCTTTCCCGTATCATATTATTGCTGTTTTTGATCGTCTCCATGAAACCAATGCTCAATGTGGCCAACAATCCGTTCATCACAATGTTGTGGTCTATGAGCAAGTGATCAAATTTCTACTGGAACTTGCGGCTTTCACCTTAATGGAGCCGACCTCAATGACTCTTGCCGCTGGGTGGGCCATTCGCGTCCCAGCGGAGTATCTCAGTGATCTGGACAACAGAGTACCCTTTTCCCTCGTAATACTAGCGCATTACTGTGGGCTCTTGCACATGGCCCGCGACAACTGGTGCGTGGGTTCTTGGGGCTCTATTGTTTTAGAAGAGATCAAACAGTCTTTAGCCCCTGACTGGCAGTCCCATATCGAGTGGCCAAAAGAGCTCGTCGCAAAGCTACCAACCGAGTCTACTGACGGGCCTTGAGAGCAGCATTTCTAAGCAACTGAATCACGGATGCACAGATCTGCCCGGCCAATAGGAAAGTTGGTTTTACCTGGATGGGCGTATTGAAGAACCAGGATTGCTACCAGCATCAGCCAGCCATCGAAGCTATACATATCTTGACCGACGGAATATTCAAGAACCCAAGAAAATGATCTGCACGAAACTCCCTCTGATGTGTTCACCAGTGAAAGAATCCGTCGTTTCTTTCACCACAAATATTTGGAGTCAGTTCTCAATGCCACACGGTTTTGGAATGCATGCTCGGTTGAGATATCTAGTTCATTTCGATGGTTTGCCTTGCGTGATGAGGATGTGACGCGGCCCGGTGCTTGCTCCCGCCCTAGTCCGAAGATGTTGGCCTCCCAGAAGAATAGAAATTGATTGATTCTTCATTTCGAGGTCTATCAAACACCTGAATCCACCATGTCCAGCCTTGGTGAACGCAATGAGCTTGAGGTCTCCGTTGAAGATGACTTGAACGCAATACATGGTTATAAAGGGTAAGTCTGTTGGACAGTATCCGTTGATTCGACACAATTAACAACAGTTTAGGGCTTTGAACAATCCAAAAGTCACAGATAAAGCCAAGCATCATGCGGCAGATATCATTGGAAACGAAACTGGGTGGAGTCCGCCTCTTCATCGCTTTTCTGGTGCCTTTGGTGATCACTGCAGAGACTGATGATCTGACCGGCTTCGTAAAGTGAGCTCCTTTGAAATGCCCGGAGATTCTCCATACTGACCTGCATTAGAATTCCAAATGATGCCTGCAATGATTACCAAGATATAGAGGAATCTGTGGAGCAGCTCAAGCATTATACTGGCCAGTAGTTCGATCGCAGCAAAGCCTGTATGTATATACATATGGAACTCTTGACTCTTTCAAGATTTATTCATCATCGGTCATTCTGCCCGCTTTGGTTCTGGCTCATCTTCCGACCATGTAGGGAGCAAGCCCTGAAGGTTTTCGAGAGGAGCCGTTATCATCTCGGCGGCAGTTTCATAGAGAGGCTTGTTTGGGACTCTTGGACGTAAGTCGGAGGGCACAAATACCTTGGCTCGTTGTAGAGAACTTGCCAGCTGCTCACTTTCGTCGAAAGTAATGTGATTTTCCAACTTGGGCAAATCAATTGTCTCTACATCATGGAAGCTTTTGCTCAGATCATCCATCAAGCCTGTGATTGTGGGAAGAAAGCGTGGATCGGAGCTGTTCAGATCTTGAAAAGTATCAAGTTGCTTTTTTATCTGTTTATGTTGTCAGGGTATTCATTCCCACAACTAGGCGAACTCACTTCAGAATGTTCTTCTCGGTCTTTGTCTGCGATCACCATGCCATCAGGTAGAAATTGCTCCATTGCAGGATATACTACCAGCTCTTCGCTAATAGCATGGCGGGTGAGCTCCCAGATAAACTCTTTCTGGATACGAGATTGCTCATCTGGGTCCTCTGAACTCACCATGGCGTAGTAATAAGACTGCATCTTCTCATGGTCGCTCTTGATTGCCTCGCTGATATGGACCATGGCTAGCGATGGTCACGTCGAACTAGTTTCTTAGGCCAAATCGCACCCTTGTCGCTGGCATACTTGAGGCTCATAAACTCCTCCCTTTGCCCACAGTGGCCAACATGACGTCTCAGACTCCGTCGACCCCAAGGTCCAAGAGTCTGTGCCTATGGCCACACATACGGAGCAACATTCCGACACGTGGGGGGCTTCCTGACGTTGGATGCATATCATAGCACTTTGCTAACTCACCATTTGTATGGAAATACAGTACGTATGGTAATTGAAATGGCGCTGTGGGCAAAAGTTGTGGAATAGCAGTTGCTCCGCCGATCTAACACAACAAAGTATCCTTTGATCGACTTAGCCATGTATTTCACGTCAATTATAATCTATCAACTGCTTCATTTTTTTGAAAGTCATTTGCCGCCAGACATGGTCTTAATAAGCGTGATAATAGACAAGTTGGTGAGATACGAGCAATTCCAAGCCCTAAATCTCTTTCCCGTCTCATTGCTATTTCACGTCCTACCTATGCAACCCTCATACTTCAGATTCTAGAATACGCTTGCCACTTGTCACTTGCCACAATGATCACATACATATCACCGATGCAAGACCTTCAAAGTAGCACTTATATATGCGAAGTCGACTGATATCAAGTGTGACGTCAGAGGCAACCGGCCGTCAAATAGGACATCATCACTTCTTCCACCGCAACATGAGGGATCTCCCAACTGACAATCACAGTATCATCGGGTCCAGCGAATCTAGATTGATCCTATGATTATGTGATTTCGTGCAACGCCCCTGTTATTTCTCTGCCATGTCTCTCCAATCTGAGCTCCAAAAGAGACGGGTGGTATCCGTGTTTCTGTTCTCACACTGCCGTGTTGCTTTATTTCAACGCAGCGAGCAAGTCAGAACATATGCGTAAGCCCATGGGGACGCTGTTGAATTTCTGCCTCAATTTTCTGACTTCAGCAGAAACCACCTCGCTCCTATATCTGGCAGCCTTGACCCGGGCGAATCGCCCATGGCAGCAGCATGGCGTGAGTTGGAAGAAGAAACAACATTGACTTCTCTGGATGTGGAGATATCTCGACAAGGAGTGTCATTTGTGTTCACGGATGAATCAGTCAATCGGGAATGGATAGTTTATCCATTCGCGTTCCTTTTGAAGTCCCGAAACGAAGGTGGCCACGGAGAGGATGCCATTCATCTGGACTGGGAACACCGGGCCTGGGGTTGGTACAATCCAGAAGAAATTGAAGATACTGACCGGTTTGGTGGTGTGCCCCGACTGAAGGACAGCTTACGGCGAGTCTGGTTTGAAGGCGACATGAATCAAGAAGCTAGCAAAGCCCTGACAGCAGGCCTAGAGCAATTGAAGTCAGATCACAAGAGCGGGTCACACGAACTAACCACCATCGCTGTCAAGGCATACCGAGATGTTATATCTCACATGCCAGGAGACATTGACGTAGAATGGTGGAAGACTGCTCGAATCGCAGCATGGCATCTTTCGAAAAGTGGACGAGAAAGCATGGGAACAGCCACATTAAACGCATTTCTCGCTTTGATGCCCGACATGGAAGACATAGTCTATCAAAACTTGGCCCGCGAGGTCAAATGGGAGCGCTTGCTGAGTATACTCGGCCACCATCTGAACAAGCGTAAAGATATGCCGGCGCGGATCAGGAGCACTTTCGCAGAGTATCTTCAGTATTCTCTGTCTAGTAGAATTGACTCTGGCGCAAAGAAAGATTCTCTAGTCATCCTTACATTGTCAGCCAGCTCGACCATTCGCGACAGTATTCTTGACACCTTTGCCTCTCTTCCCATTCCTCGGCTGGACGTGCGAATTTTGGAGTCTCGTCCACTTTGCGAAGGAGTTAGCATGGCTTCGTCCATTTTCTCCGACTTTCGAATCAAGTTTCCCCCATCTTCCGGCCGGGATCTGAAATTGGCGGTTTATACTGATGCATCAGTTGCTATGGCCAGCCAGGGGGTGGACTTTCTTTTGCTGGGCGCTGACCGGATTTCAGCGGAAGGCTCTGTCTGCAACAAAATCGGATCCTATCCTGCCATTTTGACCGTCAAACAGGTCTCCTCTGCCTCGGTGTTGGTTCTCAGTGAGCTGGAAAAGGTGGACGCGCCAGAGACTGGAGGATTGCATGACCACGAGGATAACGGGCCCAGGGAGGTGATGGGCTGTTGGAAAGACGGCGGTCTGAGGGAAGCCCAAACGATCGATGACGCCCTTCAGACTAGTCACCATGACAATGTCAATTATGCGGTTGAAGTGAAGAATATCTACTTCGAATGGCTTCCGCCTTGCTGCACCGATGCTTTTATCTGTGAACGGGGGACGCTAGATATTGCAGAGATTAAGGAGAAGGCACTTCAGGTGAAACTGGGAACAGACAAGTATTTTCACTCGCTGTTTTAACGTTGCCAAATGGGTTAAGACTTTGTCGTTGAGGACGTTCGATAAAATCCTATTGAGTAAACAGAACTGTTGAAAAGTAGCCACTGTGCATTGAAAATCCAAATAATTGTAGTCCATACAATAAATCACACGCTAAGACAGTACCAAGTATCTCCAAAGGCTGCCAAAAACGAAAAACCCAACCAAGGCGCCAGGGTAGAGGACAGGATCATGAAAGACCCCTACCCAGAATCATAGGGACGGAATATATGCAAAGGGGTTGGAGAAAGATATCATTATGCTTAAACGTCACGGACGCGGGCCTGTCGTTTGGCTGTGCCAATGTGGGTGTTGTGTACTTTGGTGGCAAACTTCAAGCTGGTCAAAGTCTCCGACATGTGCGCCTGGAGTGGACTGACCATGACGAACATAAGGGTCTTGGAGTTTCCACCTAGAGAGAATTGAAGCAAATAGGTAAGCTGGAGGGGAGTTAGCATTTGCCGCAGTACCAAGTTCGGGGAATTTACCTTGCTGTTTCGGTATGGGATGTGGCCTCCCTCTTTGCCTTGGCCGAGGGCCGAGATCACATCGCCCAAGGAGCTAAGGCTGCGGTTGATGTTTTGCGTCTCTTTCAGGCGCTCGCCTGTAGCTCCACTATGGCTCAAGCGTTCACTTCCTGCCAGGTCAACCAAGTTGAGTGTACCCTCGCTTCGCTCGCCGGTGATGTGGTTGACACCGGTGAGCTTGAGAATGAAGACCGAGTGCGACCGCGATGAGCGCTCGTTGGCTTTGGTAGCTGCCACTGAGCGATTGGCATCAGCGTTCTTGAGGATGGACTCCACCATCTCAGGCGAGTCAAGATCAACTGTGGTGATATCAGTGATAGTAGTCTTTCCCCGCTGCATGTCGTGACGGATCTCATGTTTCTTCTTGTCTAGCTCATCGGGATTACCCAGGAGATCGTTAAGATTCTCATTGTAAACTTCGACGAAATTGCCTGCCATGGAGTACCGCCAACCCTTCTCTTCCAGGCCCTGCGCGGTCTCGTAGATCTGGTGAACAGCACGAGGAATCATGCCATCAACCGATGACATTGTGTGGGTCTTGCCACTGCCAGTCTGGCCATAGCAGAAAATGCAAACGTTGTAACCATCAAGGGCACTCTGGACAAGCTGACTGATTTCATCGAAGACCTCGGCATTTTGCGTAGTCGGATTAAAGACGCGATCAAACGAGAAAGTATTGTTCTTGCGACTGACTGTTCCAAGGCTAGTCTTTTCCTCGGGTCCCAAAATATTGATTTCTTTGGCATCTTCGGCTTCATCGGGGTATTGCATGAGAGTGAGCTGGGAAGCAGGCTCACTCTTGAGCGAAGGACGAACACGGCAGAACACACGGATATTGCCTTTCAGTTCCTGCACTTGATTGTGAAGCTTGCGACGAAGAGTCTCCTCTCTGCGCAACTTCTCCCGAATGGCGTCCGTCTCAGCAAGGGCGTCCGTCATCTGCTGGTTGGATCGCTCGAAGGCTTTAGACTGCTCTTCTCTTCCACCTTCAAGGAACTCGATGTGGGCCTTGAGAGCACGGATGGACGACTCTAGTGTGACACTGTTGCTGCTTGCGATGTCTAGGTTGTGTTTCAGGTCTTGGACGGACTTCCGCTCACGAGACAGGGCTTCCTTCAGCCCTTGTAGCTCAATATTCAAAGAGTTAAGCTCCCGATCTTTGCGCTCCAGCTCAATTTGCGACTTTTGGGTATCTAGCGCAGATTGAGATGTAAGCTGGCCAAGGGCTCGTACTCGGGCCGCTTTTTCATCCTCAATCTCCTGGTTCAATTGCCTTTTTAATTCACAAACCTCGTCATGATGTCGAGAACTGATTGCCTCCATCTCTTTTCTGTTGACTTGCTGGACTGATTCCATCTCAATGCGCTGGCGCCGGTCGAGGTCGTCCATGGCGATTTCTTGGTCACGCTTGGCCTCTTTCAGAATGTTCTCTGCCTTTTGTAGTTGATTTCGCAAGGACTCTGACTCCAGGCGCTGGGTGAGGTTTAGTTCTTTGAGAGTATCGCGAGATATTTCGAGCTCATTGACTGGAAGTAACAATTAGTATCAGACGGGTCGACCGTTTCACAACATTGACCTACTCCTTGACTTGTAAATCTCCACGGTCTCCTTGAGGCCGGAACTTGCCTGGCCTTGCTGGTTCATGTGGGTCATGAATGTCTGCATCAAGTCTTCCATGTTGCGTTCGCGGGAGTCTTGATCCCATTCAGGGCCTGCGACATGGTCAAAAGTTTTAGTCGGAGCTTCTTTTGACAAAATAGAAAGCCGGGGGGCTTGGAGGGTGAGCGCATTGAAGAAGCAGAGGGGGTTCTGAAAGTTCTGGCAGGCACAAAGAAGGATTGTGTAGGGGGTATAGCCTGTACTGTTCTAGGTGGGATTCGGATATCACTCAATCCATTACGGGACGGGGTAAAGGGCACTACCGGGATGGCAGTTGCGTGTTCTATGGTTGGAGAAAAGGCCTCGTCCTGAAGAGACTTTTGCGCCGATTCGCCAAACTCATCACGGGTACCTTCCATTCCGGGCATGAGGGGTCCAAGGGAGTAACGGGGAATTCGACTGGGAGAATAAGAAAAGTTTCGCATACCCTTTCGTTTGCCTAGCACACTTGGGGAGGTGTCCTCCATATGGGTATCCAATGCGCTCGCTGCGCGCGGAATCGATGCGCCGACAGGTCTGCGACTGTTTAAGGATGTTTGGGGTCGCGAGATGGTAGAAGGGGGGCGAGATCCAGGACCGACGGTTGATGAGAAAGGGCCGTGTGCAGCACGCGATGCAGGGGTTGTTGATCGGGACATGGTGGACGAGGCGTACGAATTGCCTCGAGTATGCGCCTTGGCGGTTGGCTGGCGAGTGATGGAGCCAGGTTTTTTCGTTTCGGCATTCGCTGCCTTGGGACGAGTTGCTTTATAGATTGTCAGCTCTTATCGCCACATGGGATTCAGTGCCTTGCATACGCGACATGCTCATCGCTTTGCTCGCGATCGATCCTGGTGGCATGATGCCGGAGCGAGAGTTTGTAGTCGCTAAGCTGGCTTCTCGGAGTCCCTGCGGAATGCGCGTCCGAGTAGACGCTCTGGTCTGGGGCTGCGCATGCGTTAGCTATGTCCATGAGACATTTTGGGATCAGACAAGATCAGACAAAGTGGGGGAGGGGTGTGTACCATGTTTTCACTGTCCATGTTGGTGTTCGACCGCCAGGTAACCGGCGCGTAGAGTATCCGGGCGAGAAGAATCAGCTCACGTCCAGCCACTGTCTATGCTGAATGGAAATAGTTCAGGAAATAATCAACAGGCAGCATGCCAAAAGATGGTCTAAGCGGAGAAGTAAAGTAGAGTCTCGAATCGCAAACTGGTTTCTGGAGGGACGAGATGCGGTTCGGAGGTAAACAAACGGTGACTAAGCGCGTTTATGTGCTAGACCCGATCGGGCTAGAGCGGTATTGGCAATACAGACGGGACACGTGACCCCATCCGAACGAGAGCGCGCAATTGGAGAATTCCTGCAAAAGGTGGAATTGGTAGAAAGGGAATTGGCTCTTTGTTTCAGTGGACTCGCTGCCTAAGTTGTGGTCATTCGTGGGGCGTATGTTGCCTCCACTCGGATTCCCGACCCCATAGCTTGGTTCTCAACGTCCCTTTCACCTCCTTTTCCCTCTATACCTCTCCTCTGTTTGAGCTCTTGATCATGTCCGGACGTTTTGTTCGTTCCTCTAAGTACCGTGAGTATTCTTCGCTCTCAGACTGCGCAATCTCCGACTAACAGGTACAGGCCACGTCTTCGGACGTTCGACGAGAAAGGTAAACTGGATTACCTCCGATGTCGTCGTCCTATTCTAACCCGCACTGTAGGACCAATGTTACGATAATCTTCGAGTCTCGCGAAATGCCTGGGATACCAATCTTCTCAAGGTGTGTTGAGCCTTCTGACGCTTCGCCACTGCGATCCTCTGACACCGAGCGCATTTAGGTCAACCCGAAGCATATCGCCGTGAACTGGGAAGCAGGTGGCGGTGGAGCCTTTGCAATTATTCCTCTGGAGGAACGTGGCAAGCTCCCGGAGCGCATTCCTTTATGCCGAGGTCACACTGCGGTTGTTCTGGACACCGACTGGTAAGGAGTGGGAATCGCGCGTGTTCATGTCCACGACTCATTGAAGCTCTGCAGGAATCCGTTCAATGACGATCTGATTGCCTCAGGCTCTGACGACGGAAAGGTATACTTGCACAATCACCCGGGTTTCTGCGCGATTGATCAACTGACCACGTGAAGGTTTTCCTCTGGCGGGTTCCGGAGAACTTTACCGTCCGCCCCGATGCAGAAGCCGACGATATCAAGGACCTTGCGCCTATCGGCAAGCTGAGCGGCCATCCTAAGTGAGAATTCTCACACATCCCACCACGTCCTTGTATTGACCCCTCTATGCAGGAAGATCGGCCACGTGCTCTTTAACCCCGCGGCCGAGAACGTGCTGGCAACGGCCTCTGGCGACTACACCGTAAAGATCTGGGATATCGAGGCTGGCGCACCTAAGCTTACCCTCAACATCGGCGACATCGTGCAATCCCAGTCATGGAGTGCCAATGGCTCCTTGTTGGTCACGACCTCTCGTGACAAGAAGCTGCGCATTTGGGATGTGCGCCAGGAGCGTCCGGCCCACGAAACCAATGGTCACACTGGCGCCAAGAACAGCCGCGCAGTCTGGTTGGGAGAACGCGACCGCATTGCGACAACCGGTTTCTCTAAGATGAGTGACCGTCAGCTGGCGCTCTGGGATATTCGCGCCGTGCGTGAGCCTATCAACGGTTTCAAGACTTTGGACTCCATCTCCGGTGTATGCATGCCCTTCTGGGATGATGGTACCAACTGCCTCTATCTGGCGGGACGAGGTGATGGCAACATCCGTTACTTCGAGCTCGAGAATGACAAGTTCGAGTTCCTTTCCGAGCACAAGTCTGCCGACCCTCAGCGTGGTGTTGCTTTCATGCCCAAGCGTGGTGTAAACATGCATGAGAATGAAGTGGCTTGCGCTTATAAGACCGTGAACGACTCCTACATTGAGCCGGTTTCGTTTATCGTTCCCCGTCGCTCTGAGAACTTCCAGGACGATATCTATCTCCCTACCACCGGCCTGGCCCCCGCTATGTCGTCGTCCGAATGGCTAGGTGGCAAGGAGGCAATTCCCCCCAAGATCTCCATGGCCAGTCTGTTCGAGGGCGAGGGTCTTAAGGAAGTATCTGGAGTGGAGGAGAAGCCTACTGGCGCCATCGATACCCCCGCTACCAAGGCCGCCGAGTCCCCCAAGGCCACTGAGGCGCCCAAGAAGTCTCCGGAGCCAGTTGCCCCCAAGGCCGCTCCTGAGTCTGCCCCCGAGCTGAGCTCTATTGGACGTCCAGCTCCTTCCATGAAGGAACAGGGAGCCTCGATGGCCGCCATGGTGAACAAGTTCGCCGATGGCGAAGATGACGGCAACGTCTCAGATGATGATAACTCCAGTTTCGAGGAAGTTCCTAAGCCAGTTGAGCGTGCCACACGTTCTCCCGTGGCTGAGACCTCCTCACCACGGGTCAGCAGCCCGTTGAGACCCAAGGAGGTTGAGACCAAGACTCAACCCACCACTGTTGTATGTTCCCTCAATTTGTGCATCAGTCCCCTGACAGCGTCGCATACTAACTCTCTTAGATCTCTATCCCATCTTCTCCGGTCCCCGAAACATCCACTCCCCCAGCTGCCCTTCCTCGGAACGATATCGAAGAGATCAAGAATCTCATTGCTGAACAAACCAAGACCATTGCTGAACAAGCTTTGCAGATGCAAACACTGACTGCCGAGATCGAGGCTTTGAAGAGCAAGATGAACTAACTTTGACCACGGAATTTCCTATCTTCCTGACTTGTGCTTCGGTGTGCAATTTGGTGTTCGACGTACATGAGGTGAAGTGTGGATAAGATTTTTGTTTCTTTTCTTTTAGCGGAATTGTCAATACATCGGCCGATTGCAAACAAAATTTGGTTATGATGTTAGTCCAATAGCCACGAATATGAGATATTCAGCTCGAGCTCGATTTATAACCCTTCTAGTAGGTTTTAATTCAAGTTGCAGTCTGTGATAAGTTATATCCCGCGTATGTCTATAGATGGTACCCCAGGTCCAACCAACTATTGGCTAGGCTGTGGCATGTGATATGCATCAACTAGATGCATCTTTTGAATTAAACACCAAGACATCACGAAAATTCACAGTCACCTACAACTTTCTATTGGATTTTCATTGTGTTTCGGACCATCAAGGTAGATTTCTCATCGAAATAACATACAAATATCACCATATCTACATCAGCGCAAGCTGGTCAAGCAAAGTGTCATGAGATGCAAGATAGTACGAAGCAATCATTCCTGACGCCATTCCCAACCCTTGATGGGCTTTTGTGGATGCGAAATGTAAGAGATCAGACACGCATGAAGAGTCTAAAGCTCATCCTCATATCTGTAATTGATGCGGCGGCCTGCCACCACACGGTCCTGACGATCCTGTCGGCTATCTCGGCGACGATCAGACTTGGCCTTGCTGCGATGCTGCTGTTCGCGCTCGAGGCGCTCCTTGTTTCGCTTTTCACGTTCTAGCGTGTAAGGGTCCTTCTCCGCCTCTCTTTCAACCGGTCTGTTCGTGTGGTTCCGGTTCCGGTCTTCGTCTTCAAGCTTCACACGTCGGACTTGGTGGTCATTTCCATGTGTAGACGGAGATCGCTCACGGCGAGAGCGCTTGCGATCCCGGCCCCAGTCTCGGTCCCTGGGATGGTCTCGGTTACGTTCACGCTCTGAAGTCCGATCTTTATCGCGAGTGCCCTCTGTGCGACTATCCCGCTGGGTATCACGCTCCCTAGGACGGCGGTCTCTTTCACGATCACGATCCCGATCACGATCCCGTCGGCGAGTGTCTCGATCGGGCCGGGTGCGATCGTTTTCACGTCGGCTTCCTCTGTCCTTGTCAGGGCGGTAGGTGTTATTGATTCGGCTAGCAAGATCAAGTTGCTCTGGGGCTTCAGACGGGGCTTTCGTGCGGTCGGTGGTTTCTATCTGTACTGCAGTCCGATGTAAACGGGTTGAGCGGGCTTCTCCATTGCGGCTTGAGGCGCGACTGCGACTCCGACTGCAACTGCGACTATGACGGCTACGGTGTCGGCGTGAGCGGTGAGAACGATGGCTACCATTCCGCTCCTTCTCACGCTCAACTCCACGCTGACGGTGGCGTGAGGACCGACGGGAAGATGCACGAGAAGGAGAGCGAGTGCGTCGGGCATTGGATTGCAATTCGTCAACCCGGTCTATGCGCTTCAACTCTGTCTCCTGTTGAGTCTCTCGATCATCATGCGTAGATGGCGAAGGGGCACGCGAAACTTGACCCCCCGGCGACCGAGATTGCGTCTCACTGGAGGCATGCAAAGGTGTTTGGTGCGTGTCATCACTGTAAGAGTCAGAATACCGGAATGAACAGAGCAATCAGAACTTACGAAACTCGGCCAGAGAGGCGCAAGACACTCGTGTTGGGTAGTCCCTGTCGCATAGCACGCGGCGCAGCTGGTGCGCCCTCCACGCCTGGTCCTTCGGTTCGTCCATGTCGATATCCCACGTTTCCCATGCTGCTATTTGGCACTCCGTCGGGACCCTGGGCGTTGGATCCCTCAACTTGTCCTGTGTTTTTAGTGATACTTTGGTTTTGGTTACCCTGTACATTGATTGGGCTTTGTGAGTATCCTGAATCAACATAATGACCTTGCATCGGCCCAAAACCACGACCATGGTCACGGCCACGGCCTCGGAATGCACCGCGGCCATAACCTGACCCATAGTAACCAGACTGATCCGGATAGATATTAGAGCCATATGCTCCTCCATAGGAAGGGCCCGTGCCATTAGCGAATGCGTTTGGATTGATATTATCTTGGCCTTGCCACATGTTGTTCTGGGCGTCCCATCCTAAGGATCCACACATGCCCCCGTTGAAGTTCCCCGTGTTCATGCCCATGCCATTCATGTTCATTCCGTAGTCACCAAATATCCCCTGATTTGCCATCGGGTCCATCCCTATGGACATTCCTAGGTATGTATTAGCAAGTGTGGCACTAAAGGAAAATTTTCCGAAATGTGACTAACCCATGGTGTTAGGGAAATTGAACATGCTAGCCATGTAAGGATTCATGCCATTCCCATTCCAGCCCATTTGGAAGCCTCCCATATTCGTGGTCATCGCAGCGGAATTGATTCCAGCAGCATCCTGAGGGGCAGCCGGATCCTGTGGAACTGGGTCTTCGTTGGCAGTCTCTTCGTTAAGTTCAACGCCTTGATCAATGCCATTGTTTGTCGGTTCATCGGCTACCTCGGGCTACATTAAGAGTCAGTGACAGGAAACGCCCGAGAACGATATATGAATCTTACCTGGGCCGACTGCTCAACAGCTTCCTCAAGATTTGTGCCTGGAGCGTTCTCTCCACTTGGCTCTGCGGAAGCCTCTGCTTCGGGTTGCTCGGATTGAAGTTCCGTAGCAACAGGCGCATCAACATTTTCGACTTCTGCGGTATCATCGCCATTTTGGCTTGGTCCTGCTTCTTGGGCGGATATGGTATCTGCAGGGGTGGCTGGATTCGATGTTGCCGTAGCTTGGCGGTCCTTCTCGCGTTTCTTCTCCTCGGTCCTTAGAAAAGCCTTCAGAGTTGTGCGCAGAGCTTTATTTGGTTTGCAGAGATCCGGAGAGACTGGGGTATGCGCGCAGACGGGACACGTATCGGAGAGAGAGGTTTGGCCTGGATCAGAGGTCAGTAATAGCCAAGTCGGAAATCGGAGAGCACATACATGATTCACAGATTGACTGGTCGCAGCATGGCAGGCGAAAAGCATTGACAGCAAGCTTGTTGCAGATCGCACAGCGCAACTTGAAGGGAATTTCATCCTGGGCCAGGGTACTGTCGGATCATTAGTTTGGAATTCGAGATCGACATTCCAATTCACATACCTGGCAATGTCCATCAAGCCGGGCGCATCAGCCGCCATGGCTGGAGATGTTGGAGAGAACCTCAGATAGCAGCGGGCATCTCAACAAAAGCTCAGGTTGCACTGCGAAATGGATCTGCCGGACATGTCAGCGAACAGCCACACAGCCACCAAGGATCACGAATTCCCTCAGATTAGATCAAGTTATTGGAGGTTCATCAAGGCACAGCGATACCATCGCGTGGTCTCATCTGTCCCTTTCCAGCTAGGATATCTTCATTGGGACCCGTATATATATATATATATATCAGGAGGGAGGACATACAGTAGTACAAGGTGCAAGTGAATATAGAAGAGACCAATAATTGAAGAAGGGAGAGAGAAGAGAAAGCCCGAACAGAGTATAAGCTGTGAAGTCCCGATAAATTCAACCGCAAATACCAATACCAAATACAGCCCAAATACCATGCTATTACAGTACAAATTACCTCCTCCGGACTTTAAATAGCCCGTGACGCCCTCGCCCCCGTAGTGAAAGCTTGGGCCAACTTTTTATTTTTCTATATCATGACAGAGGACTATCGGCCTCGTTCTCCTGATTTTTCTTCTCCCTCTCATCCTCCTCCCTCTTCTTCCTCTTTTCGCAATCCGAGCGTGTCCCAGCTGTACGTTCCACCATTTGAGGACATGGCCCGTCGCTCAACCCGTCTTGCCCAGCCTGAAATCGCAATGCCCGAATATATGCCTGAACAAATCACCGAACCCGCGCCTGAGCCCGTCTCCGAATACGTTCCGGAGCTTCCGCTACCTGCGCCGGTGAAGGAAGAAGAAATGGCTCCAGCTCCAGCTGTGGCCCCACTCGGGGCAGGGATCGAAGTAAAGACCAAGTTCCCTGTGGCGCGCATTAAGCGCATCATGCAAGCCGATGAGGACGTCGGAAAGGTCGCTCAGGTGACGCCAATTGCTGTGTGTAAGTTTCACTCTGAACCCGTGCCGACGCGTCGCAAACACGTATTGATCTTCCTACAGCTAAGGCTCTCGAACTCTTCATGATCTCACTCGTCACCAAAGCCGCACAAGAAGCCAAGGATCGCAATTCCAAGCGCGTTACTGCCTCGCATCTGAAGCACGCTGTTGCCAAGGACGAGGTTCTCGATTTTTTAGCCGACATCATCGCCAAGGTGCCGGATCAACCAGCGGGCCGCAAACACGAGGATGACGGCAGCGATCAGAACGAGGGACGCCGCAAGCGGGGAGGTCGGCGACCCAAGGAGGAGAGCGATTGATATTCTGCTCCGTATATGATTTGACGTGTTAGACGAGGGATTCCTGGCGCATAGATTTCCGACTTTTTTTTTTTAACCACGGGCGTTACGGTGGGAGGCAGATCTGGGAGTATATACTTGTGAATTTATGCGGTTTTCGGGTGATACGATAACTACGAGAGCTGGTTGTTGCTGTTGAGCCCGACTGCTAATATCAAATGCACGCATCAAGTGCCATTTTCCTGAAGTTCCGCTGAGCAGATTGGCAATTGTCGCCCCTTCCCCCCTCCCCGGTATTCACTCGTAAATGGGTTGTCCATTGGGAGACAGGGTCGAGTCAACCCAACCCCAACGCAAGGTCGTGAGATACACATCTGAGTCGCATCCTCTCTTGGCAATTTGGATGTACCATAATACATAAGGCTACAGCTCGGAATTGAGCTCAACCCCTGTTTTCTTAGTACAGCAGGCGAATATCGAAAATGACAGATACAAGCTTTGAAGAAACTCACCTAATACTATCGCGCAGAAGACATTCAATGGACACTTCGGTTTAAGCTGTAACCTGTTGTCCAAAACTGTAGTCGCCTACCCCTGGGTACAGTTGACTCTTCATGTCTACGCTCAATGAGCTTTTCCTCTGTTGCTTTCCTCTCTGTGTGTTTTTTGTCCTCTCTCAAGCTCTCTGACACCTGGAATATAGCTTATTGTTTGAAAAGGAAGATACCTTGAGCCTAGAACCCTTTGCACTCACATTTTACCAGGTCGCCATCAACCCAAGAAACCGACCAGCATGAATGGTTTCATTCTGGGGGGTGAGAATCTCAATTTTCAACCCTTTGAACTATTTTTCTTAATTCCCTGGAATATAACTCAACTTCTGATCTTGCAGGGTCAACTGAATAAACGCTAGAATAAGTAGTCACGACAAGTGGACTATAAGTCACTCTGCAGACGAGCATCGCCGTCTTGCTTTCTTCTGAGAATCGTGCGGTATACCTTGGAGAATCTGGCTCAAGTCGCAAAAAGAAAGAAGCCCGATTATGATGGCAATCAGCAAGCAATTGAAAGGGAAAGATCTACAGGAAGCCCAGTGTTGGGATCTGCTGTGCACATTCTTCAGGACAGACCGAGAGATATAAGCTACAGAGTCCACTCGACAACGCAAGCCCCAAGGACAGGAGATCTGAGTCTGGCCACCAGGTGGACAGTTTGATCCGGCCTTGGGAATTGCTGGCTTGCCATTTCCTCCGACTTTGTATACGATATAGATCAGCGTGGCTTGAGTTTCACTCTGAATCGTATCCCTGGCAGATAACCTTCCAGATCAGAATATACAGCAACAAGTCTCGTAGACTGTACATGTCCTGTAGGATACAGAAAGCATCTGTATCGCAGCCTTGTCCAGGTTGTATACAGTACTTGACTGCAGAATTCCATGACACCCCTTGCCTTAGATCTGTCAATTTGATAGAAAATTCCATATGATATCTGGGCTCAACCCCCGATAGCGAGTCGGCTTTTATCTTTCAATTATTGATCAAGAGCTGTCAACTTTGTTTTGATCGTATTATCTGCTATCACGTTGTAGAAGTTCACGTTAACGATATATATAACTGGACGTGAACCACGATCAACAACGCAAAACATTGCTTTCTCTAACCTTGACTGAATCAAATCAATCCCCTGGAACTCAAATAGAAAAGTTCATACTTCCACAATACGTGATCTCGACATCCCCAATTCCCCATACAATTTAGGTCCGCTCAGCACGGAGATCAGCGTAATCGCCGGCTCCACTCATCCTCCTCCTCCTTTCATCCCCGAGAATGGACTTCGTAGGCGCCCCTGACAGCTTCAAGTTTTCCTGCTAATTGGTTGCCAGTGGTCTCGTCTCATTGGTGGCTCGCGTGCCTTGTCCAAACCTCCCAGGGCAGCCTCGCCCACGGAACGGCTAACGGCCTTTAAACGCGCTTGCAATGCTCTCCAGGTACGCGCTGTATCCGATGCTTCCTCCGCCCATAACTAATCTCATCAGCAAATCTGGCGCTCAACAAATACTCCCTCGGGCGAACAATCGGTGACTCACGCGCGCACGTACATTGAACGACTGAACTCGATCCTGAGCGAGGAATCGCACGGGCCCGCACCGCACCCCTGTGTGGCATATGCAGCCTCATCTCAAGTCTTTGTCACAGTCACCAAGCTTGCGCTGTCATTCTACGACCATGGGATTCTCCGGGCGGCTACCGTCTTCTTCAACACCCTGATTGACGCCGAGGTGGACGGGGTGGTGGACAACCGGCTGTTCGCTCGTGCTCTGGTGGACCTGGTTCGTCGGGCCGAGAAGTCATCGGATGAGATTGAAGGGAGGCTCGTGGAATTACTTTTCGGCATCGCCAACAACATCCGTCTGCAGCCTGTGGTGTTACCGGCGTGGTTTGTTCCTCGGGTGTCCCCAGTCCAGGACGACGAGCCCGCAGGCGCCACTGGGACGGAATTCGCAGGAGCTACCAGGAAAGATGAGTTCCCGTTGTTCTACCTGCTCGTTGACTATGTTCACCACGAGGGACGAGCGGGTGACTTTGCTCGTACCGGGCTGCTTTACATCATCGAGACCGCGTCTCGCTCTAAGAACCTGGAGAAATGGTTGATCGAGAGCGACCTGGCCACCCTCATGGCCACCGGCCTCGGTGCACTCTACAGCCAGTTAGGACAGTAAGGTCGATTATTGCTTGAACCTGGGAGAAGTGGCTGACCGAAAGAAGTTTGACATATACCGAGACCGACGGGAACGTGCCTCACATTGTTGCTTTATCCGATCACGCCGAGCAGGAGACAGCCCTAAAACCAACACTGGGCCAGGCAATGGATGCATTCATGTCATACCTGCTCTTCTGGCAGGACACCATTGACCATTGTAAATCGGCCGAAGTGAATGACACTTTACTCGACCATTTTCAGGTGCTCTTTCTCGAGCAACTCTTGTAATGATGCACTTTCCCTCCTTGATACACTAGTGGCTGACTCTCGCAGATATCCTTCATTATTAGAATCTTCCGATGTGGCTGGAGGTTCGACAGCAGCGGTTTTAACCTACATGTGCCGCATTCTTGACTCAATTGAGCAAGGCGAATTGGTCCACCGAATCCTAGACTTTCTACTGGCATCGTCACCGAAGCCGGAAGAACAAATGGACATGTCAGCGAGCCGACGGAAATCCCTTAATGTACTGGCTGCGCTGGCCGAGGAAGCCGCCCAGCCATCGCCATCATTGTTTAACCTGCGCGATCTGGCGCTACTAGGGCTCCAGTCATCCAATCGTCAGACCGTTTTAGCCACTTTGCGGCTTCTTACCACCGTGCTCCAAAGACACCATCCGTTTGCACGCTCTCTCATCCATACCATCCCAACCTTACCCGCGCAGCAACGCCCAGTTGGAGCATTGAATTCCGAGCTGTGTCATCTTTTGCTCATGGGGACGTCTCTTGTCAATGACCCCACGCTAAATGAGTCGTATGATAACTACGTCGCGGATGCTACATGGGTCCTAGAGTCTCGCCTATGTTTACCAGTCTCTGCAGCAGATGAGGACGAGGAGACACTTCACATGCCCCTTCAGCTGCAGCAAGACGATCCAATCGTGCAGGCGCTCTTTGGGTGCCTTGAAACGTTCTTCACCAACAGCGTTATTGTAAACTTGGCGCTCACAGGCGTATTTATGAGCCTCGCCTCATCCCATCTATTTTCACTGGACGGTTGGGTGTTGGTAGATCCCAACCAGTATGATGCTCCAGAGTCTCTCGCGGACGTCGATGGGCTTGACATTGTCAGACAGGCATACGAAGAGCCCACATGGCCTGCCACAGCAGCCCCGACCCTCACCCTGGCGTTACAAAAGCTTGTGAAGCAAGTCCGGCAATGGCAGCAGGACCTGCCCGACTTCCATATTTTGGTTGCAGCTCGTCGAGAGATTTTGCACCAGACGGATCGCCCTTGTACACCACCAGAGTCGCAGGACCCATCTGAGCTCTCAATGCCCCCTTCAGCGGACCGCTCACGTCCCTCATACCCCGGCTCTCCCGATCATTCCGCCCCGGCCTCTCGCGGTCGATCCCCCCATGCGGTTTATCCAAATGCGATCAAGAATCCTGAAGGACATGGCTCCTTCGCCCCCACGGAATCCCGCGGTTCTTCCAATGCCCGAGCTGCTGCCGCTGAAGCTCTCCGCCAGCGCCTTGCTACCCCATTCCCACCTTCACCTGGCACAGACCACGAGTCGCCCTCCGAGGACTCCGAAGAGGCCCCTGACTCAGGAGACCACCCTGAAGATCCACCGGTCGCCACTCTTGGCCATGTATTGACCAATGTGGTGATCCTGTACGAGTTCTTACTCGAATTGTCAGCTGTAGTGCAAGTTCGAGGCAGTCTGTTTGAAGAAGCAGGATACTAAATTCAAGAGACACGGTACAGATCTGTCCCTTAAGAAACCCCCAATACCCTAAACCCTAGCTTATACGATGGAATTTTATATCCGACTGAGATAAGCGCAACCCCGGCGCCACTAACAAACGGCCCCTGGACAACGTGAACGAGTGCCAAGACTCCGCTTGCGACCAGTAGACCACGTAACACTCCTCAATCCTCCTTTTCTCTCCATGGCTTAATCTTTTGGTTCGTCTGTCTTTCTGTCCTTCAGTCCTTCAGTCCTTCTTTTATATATCCTTCCTTGCCATATGGCCCACGTACGTCATTCGGTTGATCGTGAAGACGCTCCATTCCTCGACTCCCCCGACCCGAGCTCCTCCGCACATCGTCATGTTCATTCCAAGCCCAGCATCGGCAGCCGGCCTGCCCAGGCTAATGCCTCTGCTAGCGCTATTACATTCCGCTTTAAGCTGATTCTGTTCTCCATGATTCTGGCGGTGGAAATCGGGTTTGCCTTCCTGGAAGGCCCCATGACCCGGATCATGGAGGCTATTACCTGTCGGCAATACTTTTTGGTGGCGGATCCAACTAAGATCGGGGCCGATGGACAGGTGCCAGAGGCGATGTGTAAAATTGGAGAGGTACAAGCAGAATTGGCTGCAGTGAAAGGGTACCACATGTTCTTTGATGGCACTTTGTGTAGGTCGAGCTATACTTCGCCTGGGAACGGGGTCTGATCGCGCTTATAGGTGCTTTATTGGCAATTCCATATGGTCTGCTGGCAGACCGCCGTGGTCGCAAAGCCACGCTCGCTTTATCCCTCCCAGGGTTTGCCTTGAATACGGTCCTTACTCTGACTGTACTGTGGTTTTCGAATATATTCCCTCTGCGAGCCCTTTGGTTTACTGCCTTGACTTGGCTTGTCGGAGGTGGTCCTGTCGCAGCATTTGCTATCATATGGACTATGATGGCTGATGTCACTAATGAATCAGAACGGTATGGCAAATCCCTCAAGTGGGCATGCTTTCATAGGCGCTAATCGGACTTGCTAGAGCGGGTATTTTCTTCCAGTTTGCTATCGTCTCAATGGGTGCAGACTTTGCCTCTAGTTCACTCAGTTCCTATCTGATGACCTTGAACCCGTGGATCCCACTAGTGATTGGATTCGCAATTGTGATGGGCGGCGTGACCCTCATTCTTCTTCTGCCGGAAACGAAGCATGCTATGCCAGACAAACCGAATCCGATGACTCCTGTTGAGCTCTCTGACCTGAATGATGAAATCGAGCCGAAACATTACATCCACGAAGCTCATGGGATGGAATCATACCACGACGAGGCCGATGTCAATGGTGACCGAGCAAATGAACCTCCGTCGTGGAGTATTCCGTCTTATTCCCATCAGTCCTTGCTGGCCAAGGTCCGTGCCTACTACCGCTTCTATCTAAAGCCCTACGTCTTTATTCTCAACCGAAAGCCAGTGCTGCTTCTTCTCACAGCATTCCTTGTGTATCGCCTCAGCCGAGGTTCCTCCTGGTTCTTGGCCCAATACATATCGACCCGTTATGCTTGGACCTTGGCTGAAGCCAACTTTCTGGTAGCTTGTCGACCAGTTGTCTCAATCCCACTCTTCCTTTTCGGCTTGCCATACCTCAAAAGTCGGGTCTTGAACCCCCGACGCTCATCAACAGAGAAAGATGTATGGCTCGCTCGTGGAAGTATATTCTGCCTAACACTGGGGACATTAGGGATCGGCCTTTCCCCATCTGTCGCCACCTTGATCCCAAGCATGATTGTGCAGGCATCGGGATCCGGCTTTGTGTTCATCACTCGGTCCATCATTACCACCCTGGTTGAGAGAGATGAAACAGCGCGCCTATTCACTGCGGTCGAGATTATCCAGTCCCTGGGCAATGTGATTGCAAGCCTCTCCATAACTACAGTCTTTCGAATTGGTCTGCGTCTTGGTGGGTTCTGGATTGGACTGGCGTGGATGATGACCAGTACATTATTCTGTCTGGTTGGAGTGGCTATCTGGTGTTTCAGGCTGCCTCCTGCTCCCCCCGCCCCAGAATTTATGGTTGACGACTATGAGGAGGATGGTGATCACTTATAGACTGTATATTATCTATAGAAAATTAATTCCACCATTCTTCGTTGATCTAAGAAAAGCTTGGTGCCTCAGGCAACAACGAACATATCACGTGACAACCATCGCATGTGAAGATGATCTTCAGCTGTGAATGTTTGACAGTAAGCATTCGCGACCTTTCGCACCTCAAGTCGCATCCTCGGCGCGCGATCGCTCTCCTATTTGGCTAACCGCCGCGTTGGTGATTGAGCTAGAAACCAGCTCCTCATCTTATCAGCCATGGAGAAATACTCACAATTTCGAGATAGAGGTGAGCCTTCTTCACCCAACTATCTGCTTTGGATTTATACTGACATCGTCCAGGGTCGGGTATCGCGCCCTTCTTGCCTATTCCGTCTGAACCACTCGGCCTGCAAGCACCCCTCCGTGTCTTCCTCTTCTGCTTTCGCCTTCCGCTCTTCATATTTGTCACTCTGAGCTATTTCTTAATTCTACAATGGCTTCCCATCGGATCGTTGGGCAAGAAAGCTGCCTTATGGTGTATACTTGGTGTTCCTAGTATCTGGTGGATTGACCTGCAAGTGGACGGAGTGCGGAAAGGGTTCGTGTCTTCGACAAGGAAATCGGATTGCGCTAACAGCTAATGGGCTTTCTTTAGGTCCTTGAAGCAACAGCAAGCCCGTCTGCCGCAGCCCGGCTCAGTTATTGCCTCGTCCTTCACATCGCCCATCGACGCAGTTTATTTGGCAGCTATATTTGACCCGGTCTTTACAGCTTCTTATCCCAACACGCACCAAGTCGAACGAATTTCCCTACTTCAGGCTGTCCTGCGAGCCTTTAAGGCTCCGTCCACGCAACCAGCTCCTGGCACGCAACTGTTGGATCTCTCGACCCTGATCAAGAAGTACCCAAGTCGCCCGATCGTCTTGTTCCCAGAATGCACCACCACTAATGGCCGAGGCATTTTACCTCTGAGCAAGTCGCTCCTGGGCGTTCCATCCAAAACCAAGGTCTTCCCAATCAGCATAAGATATACCTCTCCCGATGTTGTTACTCCCATTCCGGGGAGCTATGTGAGCTTCCTGTGGACGCTGCTAAGCAAGCCTACCCACTGCCTTCGCGTTCGCATCGCGGAGTGTATCACCAGCAGCAACGAAATTGATACGCCGGGTCGTTCATCACGGAAGTCAACATATGACACAAATTACCTTGACACGTTAGACCAAGACAATCAACGTGGCGAAACTTCAGCCAACGATATGTTCTTGCTTGACAATGTGGGGGAGTCTCTTGCCCGACTGGGCCGGGTCAAGCGAGTAGGCCTGGGCGTGAAAGAGAAGATGGAGTTCTTCCAGGCTTGGACCAAAACTCGATCAACGTGGTGATGTTTACGAGCTGTCCCCCTGCATATTTAGATATATCGTTGCAATTGATGAAAAGCGTTATACCGTCGTTTTGGTTGGATATTCTTGTTCAATTTCTAAAGCCTGAGTTGAGCCTCAAGTTTCACCGAACTCTTTATCAGCTTAATGAATAGAAGAATTGATTTTGTGGGACAGCTGAACCGATCTGAACCGGATCTTGTTCGCCATAGCCTGTCTTCAATTCGCCTGGTTTTGTGAGCTATCAATGGTTGTCTTTCAGATCTGCCTTGTTAATTCCAGTCCGTGGATTGCGCAGGAGGCTTAACCCGGCTGTGTCGATCTTATATCAAACACCCCGGAGGCATCTTGGGGCATGAGATCACCATGACTGCAACCGATTCAGAAGAACTTTTCAATCATCGATACGGTATCTGGAAAAACCGGGTTGAATTAAAAAAAGAGGCTCATGTTAGTCCAAGGTGTCCCTCCCAGCTCCCCCGAACTGTTTACTCACCATTAGGGCTAAACAAGACAGACAACGACCTTAGATAATTAGAAGACTTCAAAATCAAAGCTTTCTACTAATAATCATCTTTTTGCCAGCCATTGGGTTGGTTCAACTGCTCAGACCAAAACGAACACCGAGCCGTCCAAAGTGGTCCAATGGGGCGACGACGTCAGAAATTTGGCTATTATTCACAAGAAGGCTTTGATCAAGTAGAGCTTGCTCGGTTTTATACAGAAAGGAGAGAAAAGAATCCCATAGTCTCCCTAGGATGGGATCAACATCGTAATTACACCACAGCACCAGATAGCGCGACAGATATATCCATTGGGAACTGGGGAGACTTGTTGGATGATTCGAATCTAAAGAGAAGCGACTAAAAAAAAAGCCAACGCATCCAACAAAATTAATCCAGTTAAGCCGATTCGTATGGATGTCTACTGAAAGAGACCAGTCATGATCAAATATCATGAGCGTTGAAAATGCACGGAGACGAGGCAAGAAAGAATTCCGTCCCATTAGGCAAATATAGCGAAGCCCATAGCGAGCAAACTCATAGCAACAATGCTTTGACCAGTGGGCAGGATGTTGGCTGCCGCATTGAAGGTCGGGGATGGGGTTGAGGAGGATGTCGGACTGCTCTTCTGACTTTTCGGTGTCCCCGTGGCTGTGGCTGTAGCATTGCCGGAAAGAATGGCATTGATCTCAGTCCACAGGTCACAACCGGAGAAATCAACCTGGCCCGCCACTGATGAGTTTCCAAATATCAACCCTGGAGACGACAGATTCTTCGCGGAGTGGAATCGCGGCCACGAAACGTCCTTGGTCGATGGGTTGGCAGTCGCTGCCATTGCAGTCCAAGCATCCATCATCTGCCCACCGAGGCGATACTCGGCAGACGTTGAGTTGCAAGTCCCGTTGACAATGTAATCGTTGTCCAAGTTACCGAAGACGTATGGGATTTCGGACGTGTGAGTGGCGGTGAAAAGGGACACCGAGCTCTGAGGGATTGTAGGAAGCCAAGTACAACTGGACCCATGTTGGAACTCGTATGTCCAGGCAGGGACCTTCTTCTGCGTTGCTTGGACGGCACCATACCACGCCGGGCACTTGTACGTCGAGTCAGTCACAACCTGTGCCATAGCAAGAATGACGGCGAACGAGGTGGCGTTGTAACCAGGAATTGCACCACTGGCAGCGATAGGCGCAGCTGCGGCCTCAAAGTCAGCTAGCTTGTAATTCTGTTCAACCAGCGAAGCGGCAGCCCCGAAATCTCGGCGGAGGAAATCTTTGTAGGTGGATGGCGAGGCGATAATCCCCTTCTCGAGGTTCGTTTCCAACCACTGGACGGCAAAGACAATCCCTTCATTCGTAGCTGTAGCTTTGTGTTAGGAGAGTATCGCGACTCGAAGAATGTAGTGTACATACTAAATCCAAATACTGTTGGGACGTTGACACCCGTATCCCAAGGGTCCTTAGGGATGATCTTGCCATCGACATAAGGATAGAAAACGTGAGTCTTGGGACTGGTCACACCCAGTGCACCGTAATATCCAACTCCTTGAGTTAGGAAAGCATCGCTGCTGTATGCGTTTTGCAGATCGGACACAGTCTTGGACTGCAGGCACGCTTTCTTTGTCGACTGTCAGTATCATCTAGGTCGGACATCGCCCTTGCTTCGACTTACATCAGAAGAACTGCACTTCAGCACTTTGGCGTATGATGCAGCCACTCTTTGCTGGGTGGCATTTGAAACAAGACTTCGGCCACCCCCGGATTCGGAGATGACACTATTGACCAGAGTAGAGGCCTGAGGAAGGGAGCCCACGATATAGACATCCTCCGCTCCGGCGGACTGTCCAAACAGCAGGACTTTTTTCTGTGGTTCATATTTGCGATTAGGGCCACAGTCCCGAATTCACGCGGATGATGAGTTGGAACATACCGGATCACCTCCAAAGGCCACGATGTTTTCCTGAACCCACTGCAATCCAAGAAGGATATCCTGAATCCCTTGGTTACCCTGAATCCCCGCGCTACTCAACGCTGCGAAGCCCAAAGGCCCAAGTCTGTAGTTGACTGTCACCAGAATTGAGCCTGCATCGGCAGCATTACAGCCATCGTAAAGAGGATCCGAAATCGAGCCTTCGGTCTCCGAGCCACCGTAGACCCAAACCTTGACCGGAAGGTTTGAGCCCTTGGTGGCCGAGGAAGGCGCCCATACATCCAAGTAGAGACTAGACGAATCGACGTGAGCCAAACCCTCTCCAAGGGAGATTGCACCAGATCACCGAGCGGACTTACCAGTCCTCCGAGGAAAGCGCTGATGAGTTCAATTTGGAAGGAGTAAAATCATCGGAGAATTGAATGCAGGTCGGAGCAGAGACCGTTGCATCAATTTTGCCCTGGGGGAACTTGGTCTTGTAGGGCTTTGGGGGCTCGAAGCGTAGTTCTTTCACGGGAGGTTGGGCATAAGGGATTGCCTTGTAAAAGACTGCGTCTTGACCTCCTGTGCATTTCCCCCCTTGACCGTGCCCGCATCGATGGTAACCGACGCAGACAATGCCACTACGGGAAAGATGGACACTAGGGCTGTAGAAAGGAGTTTCATGGCGAGAAAACGAAGAAGGACAAGCTTATCGCTTAGCAGGATGAAAGCGATGGGGACATAGCCAGCCTTTATACAATCTCCAACTGGATCGACCAGGGCGTCTTCGACTACCGGCATCAATCAAGCCCCCAAAAGTATGGGGGCCAACGCCCTGAGCGGATATCATATCGATGTGAGGCTCGGCCACTGACGAGTTTGGCCCCCACGTCGATCCTACTAAGCCATTTCTAGCTTGAATTGCGAGGGCCAATCAACACCTCCAGAAAGGTTTTTATTTATAGAAGCTCAAAGATAAATACAGTACAGTAGAGGGATGTGGTGTCAATCTGTTGGTTGAAGCTTGAATGGAGTCAAGTTTCGTTGCAAGTCGACCCAGAAACGATCGACAGGATAAGATGCGTGCGTTGAACCAATCACTGCAGAAACTTCAACCACCAGGCCTGTCGCAACCGATGCTTTCTTAGGGACCTTGGACACGTCTTTATTGGACACTCTATTTGGTTCCTCCATCTTAATTCTAATCATGTTGGATCTCGCGGTCCAGGTTCAGAGGAAGTGGATGACAGCCTCAAAGCTCTACACCGCAACTACGCCCCTGCGGAAATCAGGGGGGGCATCTTGCCGTCAATGGGGGAGGGCAGATGCTCCCCAGCTTGGAGATCCATCATCTCCGCATTCTACTTTGCCGGACAGGTCGAACCTATCCGATGCCATGACGTGTCCTACAGCCATGAAAGCCCCCCAAAACAATGGCTTGACCAGACTAACTACTTGGGGCTAGAGTCGGACGCGTTCTAATTGCGGGTTTTCTCTTCCAATTCCCTAAGCACGCGGAATTGCTGGGAATTGCCAACCCCTCGACCATACCAAGCTTTCTGAAGCGTGGGGCTGGCCGGTTACCTCAGGGGATGGGATTCGACTTGCTTGTTCTAGGCGCTTGCATGTTGGCAACATGGTGAAAGAGAAGCCTATTTACTGTAGACCCAACGTACAAGCGCATGATTCTGCATCCAGACGAGTCGTCACCCTGCATGGTGATGAAGGGATCAACTAACTTTCGTCCTACCGTCACGCCCAGAGGGCTGAAAGAAGAAAGAAATAAAATAAAAAGATCTGGCGGAAACTGCCATCTTCGACCACGTAGCGTGAACAGCAAAGGGAGATCTACGCGTGGAGGGAGATGATCAGACCAATGTCGCCCTGGTCAAGCCTGGTCGTGTATCGCAAGCGACTCTCACCCCCTAATTCATGATGGCGTCGAAAGACCATTTCCGCCCCAATTCATGACCCGGGGGTCATTCACTCGTGTTCGACGTGGACCATTCGCGCCTTTTAGCCCTACTGCACTGGGTTAGATGCCGAGTGGGGGCTCAAATCCTCTCGCGAACAGCCTCCACTTCCTCCCTCGTCAACCCTTCTGAATGGTTGTCGCATCCGCCCTCAGTGCCTTTCTGCGATTTCCATCATGGTGTACGATGGCAAGCCAAGTAAAGGCTGTGGGAACTGTCGTTCGCGTAAGATTCGATGCGACCAAGCCCGCCCCGCGTGCTGGGAATGTATTCGAACCAACCGAGAATGCTCAGGATATCGCGATGAGTTGGCCCTGATGTTCCGCGACCAAAATGAGTCCGTCATACGCAAGGCGCACTCTCACTCGTTCTCGGCCTCGAAAGCAAGGGCCTCCAGGAATTGTGGAAACTGCCGGGCTGTCAAGCGACGCGTAGGTTGGATGCTTTTCTTATCTTTTCTTTCCTTGCCGTTCCTTTCCCGTTGCTTCCCTTCCGGGTGCGTTAGTATGAGGCTAGTGCTCATGATGACCGTTTTGATGCCCAGTGCGACCAGCAGTCTCCCCATTGTGGACAGTGCCTGCGACTGCGTGAAACCTGCCCTGGCTACCGTGATGAATGGGACCTCATCTTCCGGGACCAGACTCACCGTACCATTCAGCGATCCAAAGGACTCGAGACCCAAGGCACCCATGACGTGCCTTGGACTCGCACCTTGAGTCCAAATGCCGACGAGGTAGGGGTCCATTATTTTCTTCGTAACTTTGTCAGCCATTCTTCTTTGCGTGGATGTCTGAATTATATTCCCTCGGTGTACCACAGCGAGGGAGAGAACCCAACTCTGGTCGCTAGTATGGCCGCTGTCGGGCTTGTAGCGTTGGCCAATTCAACACAGCAGCCCGAACTAGCCGACCTGGCGCGCACCAAATACATGGAGGCCATCCGCAATGTGAACGCCGCCTTGTGTTCCCCGGTCGAGTCGGTTAAGGACAGTACCCTGATGTCCGTGATCTCGCTGGGGGTGTTTGAACACGTCTCGGAGTATAAGTCGTGGGCGCGCCATGTCCAGGGCGCTGCCGCCTTGGTGGTCGCCCGGGGCGAGGGCCAATTTACCACCCCGGCATCGGTTCTCATGTTTAACCAAGTGCGCGCTGATCTCGTACTTGACTGTGTGCATGCGGGTAAGCCTTTCCCAGAGAGCATGATGGAGTTGCAAGAAGAGGCAGCCAATCACACAGATGTCTCCGGTGCCTTTTGGCTCTTGGGGGTGCTAGGCACCCGGTGCGCCAATCTTCTGATGGGCGTCAGGGAGAATACTGGGGAAACCCCGTGGCCTGTATACCTGGAGCAAGCGAGTTTGTTAGAGCGGGAGTTCCAATCTCTCCTGGTGCTCCTCGCTATCCAAGAGCCGTATCAAACCACGCACGACTCTGCCAGTGCGTCGGAATTCATTCATAATGGGCGAGTTGATCTCTACAAGGACCCTTGGGCAATCCGGGTTTGGAACAACCTGCGAAACCTTCATATGATTGTCTGCGAGATCCTGTTATATCTTCTGAACAAGATTCTCGTGACGGATATCACGCTTTCCACAACCGTCCAGGAGTCTCTGAAGATGAAGCTTCGAATGATAATGCACACTCTGTCCACGTTGGGAGACGACATCTTGGCCACCATTCCGCAGGCGTTGGAATTTCTCTCCTCGGCGTCTGCAGACTCGCCCTCCGTCGACATCTCTTTTCGTGGCAGCGTGTCCGGTGGGTACATTCTCACCTGGTGTCTTTATATGGTCGGAAAATGTCCGGTCACGAACGCTGAAACCCGAAAATGGATCATTCGACGTCTGCAAGACTTTGGTAGAAACATGGGAATTTCAATTGCATTGCGTCTGGTACAGGATATACAGGATATATCAAAGAAAGATCAATCTGCCGGAGTTTCTTGAGTGAACGCTCGGATCCCAAGCCATCCTACCGTGCTGGATCCACGTTCTCTTCGATTCCAGATCGGGACTATGTCGCGATTGGGCTTCAAACGAGCCCAGGACTCTCCGAGTGTCCAAGTCCGTTGCCCAGCCTCGCAGCTATCCACCGTAAAGTTTCTCTACTTTGCATAAATCATTACGGTGTTATTATTGTACCTTGCTCTATAGACGGGCCCACAAGGCCCATAGCTAGAACAATAGGACTCCCCTGTCAGTCCGTCTAGATTGAGTTTCATAGCCCGTGGGTGAGCGTGAGATGGCTGGGGTAAGCTTTGGAAAGCAGCGATTGGCCGAACATCTCACATACCCGAATAGGCAACGCGACGGCGTTCGTGCGCGCTAGTCTTCCGAAATTTGGCGCAAAGTGGAACATTGCGCAAATAGCCCCAAGAGCCACTGAGACTATCAGGTTTGGCCACTAGTGTCTCATGACAGCGATACTAGCGGGGGCCAAATCTACACTCTCTGTTACCTGTCAGCATCCCTCACTTGTCTTTCAATTAGTTTCCTTGTTCTCTCTCAGCCTCGCCAATACAACTACTATAAAGCCCAGATTATCTGATATAGCTTGCTTTGTTGCTTTCCGCGCAGTTGTATCTCTTTCCCCAAAGCATCAACTGCCATATCCAAAATGATGAACATTGACTTTATCACGCTGACTACCAAACCCTCGGCGCAGTTAAGCTACAACTTCCAGGCCTCCACTGAGACCACCAAGCCCGTACTGGTCGTCTTCCTCAATGGATTGGGACTCCCACAAGACTTCTGGCATCCAGTAATTGCCCATCTGAAGACTCTCCGTGAAGGCCGCAATATTCCCAGCTTCCTGACTTACGACCGTTTCGGCCAAGGTCAAACAACGGATCGCGATCCCCTGGATGATGGAGCCGAGGATCCCACACACGGTCACGACTGTTTAGCCGCTGTCAAAGATCTACGCCAATTGATCATCCAAGTCAGTCAAGAAAAGCTAGGAATCTCAGAGGTAGACTCCGTCTCCGTCGTCCTGGTCGCCAATTCCATCGGTGGTGCTCTCGCCCGTCTCTACGCCCAACATTACCAAGGCACTGTCTCCGCTCTCTTACTGCTCGACAGCATTCTAGCAAACTCCGACTTCGTCTCCGTCTTCCCCGACCCAGACGCTGCAGACTTTGATTCCGCCAGTATTCACCCTATTCCCGTTGAGGCTATCCGCGCGGTGCGGGCTGGTGCCCGTCGCATCTTCCATCCTAGTGTCGGCAACAAAGAAGGCCTTAGTCGCCGCAACTTGCGCGACCTGCTACCAGCTAGCGACGGGCCCTTGCTCCAAGGCCCTGGTGGCCATGGCCCATATGTTACCGTGGTGGGCCATGATTTTGATACTTTTGCCGAGGAGTCGGCGAAGATGGGACCACCTAAGGGTGTGACCAACCGCTTTGTCAACCCCTACTGGCAGCGGTATAATGAAGGGTTGGCTAAGATTACGGAATCGAGATATAGCAAGGGTCCCATGATCGCGCCGAATACGGGCCACTTTGTGCAGAAGGATAACCCAGAGTTTGTAGCTCAGGAGCTTGATGAGTTGCTCGACAAGGTTCTATGAAATTATATGTAATGACAGGATAGTTGAAATAATTTAAGGCCAATGTAGCCTGTTCTAATCGGGCGCAGTTCCATTAGATCTGTGCTTATATCTAAGGATGACCCAGTTCAATTAAGTCGTACAGTGTAACGGGGACCACAACAGCACTGATCACAGCCAAAAGTCCGCCCCCAACGTCAATCTCGGTGTCCAATGCTATAGTGTGACTCAGCTACGCCATTTAGAAACTATTGTGATACTCAGCGAAGTCTAGCACGGCCTTCACCATCCTAGAGGAAAAGGATCATTCATAAATAATATGACTATGAATTGTTATTCATATTCCCAATACTTGTTGAGTATTATGGTGGCAAAACCTCATGGCAAGGATCAGCAACAGAGATATACATGGAGCATCCCATGTGAAGGGGCATGGCGGCCGATTAATGAAGAACATGTATTATAAACGGTAGTCTAAACGCTGATTCCCCGAATTAGCGTGGGCTTATATTTACCCCCTAGGTTCACACGACCCGTCATGTAGTAAATCATGTGAGCAAGCATAACATCATCTCAGGGACTGACCTAGTCTTTTAAGTCTTCGAATACTCGGTTTAATATATCTCCGTTACTAGGTCCTCCACAGCCCTAGTTAGTGGTGGTCCTAATTAAGTCCCCTTTAGAGACCACCTCCCGAGGGTCTATTATTACTATTCCTCCGTTAAAAGCTCGTTCAAGTCAAAAACACTAAGGTTAAAACATAAGAAGGGGAAAGGTAAAAAGTCTTCTTGCTAAACGCCCGGAGATTCAGACGGAACTGCGTCGCGAAAGTAACTCTCATATCGCGTCAAATTGCTCGCTCGACCGTTCGCAAATAGATATTCTGTCTGTACTTGACAGCGTAACGATTTGAGATGCCGTGCTCGGAATTTATTTGTGAGCTAGCAGACGAAAACAGTCTCGTTGCCAATTTGGGGGCCCTAGATGAAGAAGTCTTAACTTTGATATTTGCTACCGGTTTATGACGAGAAGACACACCATGTAAATCAAGCTCCGATGCACGATTCGCCAGGTACCAGAGAGTTGACGCTCCCAGTTGTCCAGGTATTGCCCATAGGCGTTGAAAACCTGGCCCTCGGTATCTCCTTTACCAAAGTGCGCGGCACGAAAGTATGTTACCGATTGCGCTGCAGTGGGCGAGGTTACATCAATCCACTGGGTGCCATATAAGTGCTGTGTCGTCACGCATGCCAGACTTTGCTTCAACGAGGATTGAATAGAATGCAGCGGTGTCAACACATTAAGGGGTGCTGAATAATTGGCTATGGCGTCAGTGCTGAACACCTTGCTAAGGGCATCGAAATTTTTGCCGTCAATCGCAAAAGGGTAGATCGCTAGGGTGTTTCGAATCGCCTCAATTGTTCCAGCATCGGTATGAATCTCGGGCGTACAGTGATTGGCAAGGGATGCAATTTCAATAGGGACGACATTGCTAGTCATGGGTGCAATGGCCGAGCCAATCACGGAGACTGAGAGTGCGCAGCGAGAGAGGAGCTTCATGTTTGGCCACACAACAAAATCAAAGAAATGAGAAAAAAAAAAAGGCGGAAAACAAAGGAGATGCAAGTAACTGTGGTTAAAAGTCTCGTATTTAGGGTCATATGCATAACCGCCTCACTTGTGCTGTGGAAACCCAGGACAAGAGTTATCCTGTGCAGGCAGGGTTCCTGCGGCACACAGATGTGTTCTGCGCCACCAACGTTCCCTCCTGTTATTCCATATCGTATGTCCTCAGCGTAATGGTCACGGTTATTCGTGGTGTGTGCACGTGACTTCGCTGACATGGATGTTGGTTGGCTCTCGATGGCCCATTTGTAGGTTGCGGCTGCAGGTCCGTAACACCCTATACTAATAAGTGCCTAGTATATCCGTAATATCACCTCCCCCTCCCTAGGAGTTTCGTCCCAAAGACTTATAAATCTACGGTCCCCCCTAGTTAAGTAGTAAGTTTTTCTTTTCTTTAGAATAATCCGTCCTCGTTATATCTAAACGTAAGGGTAAGTTTTTCCTAAGTATACGAGGACACGGTGAGCGGGCGGCCAGAAACGGCTCTCATTGCACCGCCGTCCTGCCGCTCTCGACCGCCTGCCCGTCTCCACTATCCCCTTGCCCCTTCGGGTTTGGTGCCTCGTCCGCGCCCCCCGTTCGGGTTTAGTGCCACCTCTGTGTTACGCACTTGCTTCCGGGTCGTCGCTATGTTAGAAGATTCCCTGGGTTATACTTGCCTTGTCTTGCTGACTTCCAACCTCAACGATCTGTCTCTCAACCGTACCGTTGCCTAGCAGGCCTTATACGGGCTAAGTCCTTTCGAGGGTATCGAGGAGCGATGCCAAGTAGAGCGCCGAGTTAGTCTATACCGAGATATAGGCCTTCCCGTGGTGTTGTCAAGTTATAATCAAGTTATACGAGTCACAAAGGTTTCCGAATAGTAGACACAAGTAACAATGTTGGATTGAACACGAAGAACTAAACTAGATACATGAGGTCCTATATATCCCTAGTTCTTCCTTGGTAGAATGGTAGATGGTAGGCTGGTAGATGCGCCTTGGCAGGATCTACTCGTAAACCACCATACCCATCTACTACTTACATGATCACGTGGTTAGGCTGACGTAATTCCGATATTCTTATGGGGGAGAATATGTGTTTGTGCTGAGGGGGCCGTAAGTGGCCCTATCGGCACCTAGCGTTGTGGTGTAACCTTCCTGACTGTTCGTCACGTGATCCTGGTGGGTTGGTTGATCGACTGGTCCATGACCGCCCATCAACAAGTTGCGGTCCCATACTGATTGGTGCCTGGTATGTCCGTAACACGATATTTCTAATTAAGGTATAAAGCAACACAATGAATCGATATCTAGAGAGCTTTGAGACTGAGTACCAAGCAAGAGTATCAATAGTATACCGCGTATCTAAAGACTTTATCCCCTGATCAGTTATATAACCATCAAATCAAACCAGTGGAATTACACTATAGATGAATTTCTCCGGTGTGATACCTATACCTAGATTCCTTCCCCTAATAAACGCGTAGAGAGCGTTTTTAATACCTTTTAGAATAAGGCTTTTATCAATAGGAAGTCATAATACACTCTAACCGAAAAAAAGAAAATAGCCGTAGCAAAGTTATCTTCCTTGTCTATAGATACCACTCTACTAAAAAGACGAGCAGTCCGTTCCAAAGATAAAGAAATACCTATAATAAAATCAAAGGCGATAGATATAAGTTGATCTATCGAAAACGTGTATAACATTCTTAAGGTTATTATATACTACTGACGTATAGTAAAAGGGGGTCTCTTTCCTTTAGCGAATGGCTTCTAGGAATTTGGTCTAGGTGGTATAGCGAGTATGATAAGGGAAACAACGGGGAACTAGTAAGTGCAAGACGTATATAGAAATAGCTTAAAGTTTGCTCCATGATTTTCAATCTAAGGCTTTTAGACCTCTAACTTTGCGTTCTAGTAGAAAGCCGAGCCTAGGGTAGCTAAAGCAATACCGGATAGGCAATACGGCTCCTAGCGCACTATTCATAATTTCTAATATCTAAGGAACTCCTCCTATTAGAGCTTAAGCATATAGATAATGCCGGTGTTTAGTCGCTAGTATATACGATAGCCTAGGTATCTACGTTCTATTGTAGCTTAAAGAAAGAACCTTTATATGTTACCACGGGCCTTTAAATATATGATTAGTATCTAGAGAAATATACCGGTTGCTCCTAGGACGAAAGAAACCCTTCCTAGGAACTTATCCGGAATCAGCGGACTATAATCATTAAATCTAGCTATATATCTTGAGTTACTATATATAGTCTTTGAAACTAATAGACACTATAAGTTCTGGTTTTCCTCTTCTAAGGACTCTTTAACTTCTACCCGTATAGCTTCAGATTATCTTAAACGTGTTATACTATAACAATCGCCCCTATATACTAGATTTTTCTACGTCGCAGTACCACTCGCCCTAAACTAAAACCGCCTTTTAGCAATACGCCTTCCGCTTCTACGCCCGTTAAGAAGAGTGTTTGATATATCCTACTACAGTATATCGGGAGTGATAGTTTAGCACTAATTTTTATGTCTACACGCGTCCTATGGCTACTATACGTCTCGCTTAAATAGTTAGAATATAACGGTGGTAGCTTACAATATTGACTAGTCTAACTATAATACCTCTTTATTCTTGCCAATCATGCCGTAGTTTGAAAATTCGATACAATCGTGAAGTTCCCTATTGTCAAGCTTGTGTTAGGCGTAGTAAATTGTATATTTATATAATAAAACGGTTAGACCGGAGGCCTACTCTCTTAGAGCTACGGCTAAATTAGCAAAAACAAGTGTAAGAAGGTGAATTTAGTGAATACCAAACTATATAGAAAGTATAAGAACCGCTAACCGAATAGGCTTTGTAATATAGAACGAGTATAGCTAAGGCGATATACTACGTCGTAGGGTATATAGATGATAAATATATTTAGCACTTAGAGAAGAAGGGTTTCAAGCAAGATCAAAATCCGTCCTATAAGATACTACTAAATATTGTTACGGCTACGGTAGCGGAGGAAATTTCGTTTTCCTAATTAAATGGCCCTACCGCTACTAAAGATATTATGGAGCGGGGTCGAAGCTTATTAACCTCTTAAAAAGCAAAGCCGTTTACGTAGATAACCCCTCCGGTAATGATCACAATCTATAAGGCTTTAAGACCTACGACTGACTATCAACCAGACCTCTTTGCCTCTACCCCCGAATTTTAATTTTACTATAGCTAGGAAAAATATTCACGGCCTACCCACAATCCACTAACTCTTATTGGTTCTAAGTTACCTTTTTATTTCTTTAATTCTTCCTATAGATATAGGCGCTCTATAGAAGATTATATATCGCCGCGGCTGTGACTAGGAAGAGAGCTTTGTCTTACTAAATGGTTATCTTCGAGGATAGCTAATCAGTGCCCGCGAAGCTTTGACTAAGTCTGACTAGCTATATATAGTAACATTGGAAGATATAGAGCTCCAAATAAGGTATATATTGTTTATTATTAGGCAAAATATATCCCCTTAGTCGAGCTTTTTAGCTAGAAGCTTGCAAACCGAACACCCTCCGTACCGGCCGTTTGGAGTGAGGGCAAGCGTCGCATTGATTTATCATATTTTTCAAGGTATATAGGCTAGTGAACTTGAGGGATATAAATCTAAGGAAATCTAGACTCGCGACCAAACCTTTCTATCAACGATGGTATATCGGCTTAAAGAATCGCCACTGTTTGGTGCCGAGGTCTCAATTTATTATTTATAGTCTATGATACTAAGCCTATAGAGAGCTTTTTAGTGTGAAGAAATCCGTGTTTCTAGTATAGAACCCCGGATCCTAAGAATTGAAAGCCAATTAGAAGTGGCGGGATATTACCGATAGGCTTTTCTCGCGTTGAACCCGATATTGTTACCAAAGATATTGGATTGGTTGAGCGAAGCTACTAATATCCCGACTATTTCTGGTACACTTTAGATTCGCAATACTGAAATGCGACGCGAAAGAAGTAGGTCAATTGATTCTAGACTTATTCGGTATCTGATATAGACTAAGGCAATCTAGCCTTGCGTCTTATAGACATTTTCATATCACTTACGTCCAATTAGTACGTGAGATCCTGAAGTCTAAAGCGGATAGAGTCGTTATCATTAAGATATTTCATATCAAGTCATTTGAAGAAATATACAAATCAAACTAGTCCTATAAGTCGCGGTACAACAAACTGAGCCGAAAGACTCCTAACTGTTATAGATCCCACCAATATTCGAGTTTTCTATATTTAAAGCGAAATAAACCGAAACCTATTATGAATCTTTTAAGCCCTATATTCCAAGATAGTAAGAAGGTTGAGATTGTTAAACGGAAAGAAGAAGCGTGAAGATTAGCCCGAAATAAGATAAAATATTCATAATCTAAATTTGAAAACCTATAGGTCTAGAGGATTTCCATCGGTAGTATTGTTGATCGACCGCACTAAACGAGGATAAGTGCGGTGAATAAATATAGTAATAAATACTACTTAAAACTAGATGACGGCAAATGGACGGCCAGAAATGGCCGCTTCGGAGGCCGTTTTTGGCCGCCTATTTGCCAACCGTTCTGCCACTCACCTCGCATCTGCACCCACGCACCCTCGTGGCGGGTTGGTTCGCGCCCTGATCTACTCCACCCCCCCTTCTTTACTATCTCCCCCTGTCTACCAAAACTTCCAGTCTCTAAGGGCGCCAATAATGATTTCCCGAAGAATCGTGCCATTTAAAATGGCAGTGATCCCTCCCCCGTTTCCTTTTTCTCTCGTTCCATTGAGCCCCCCAAAGTCTCATCAACGATCTTTTGATCGAATCTTACTTTGAAAACCATTTGTCTATCAAGACTCAGACCCTGCTTCAGAATTTCCTGCGGCACGGTCTTGTCCGCACTGCCGCGACCCCCATTCCTTCTCATTATGGCCCGTCGGTCTCGTAAAGCGAGATGCAAGTCACAGTCATCTAGCGACAGCGACCAATCCGAGAGAGAAGGCACCGAAGACGGTGCATCCGACACTGATCTGACAGAACCTGAGGATGAATCAGATGAAGCTTTCAACGCTGACGATGCGAGCTTACTTTTCGCTGACAATGAGTACACACCGGAGTACTACATCCAACAGCTTCAAAACTTTGATGAGACAGTCTACACACAGGAAGATTATGCCAAAGGCACCACCGTCCTTCTCGACCGCATTGAACACAAATGGTCCCAGTTAGTTCAGCTTTTCATTTACCCCCCTCCTTGCTACTGGAGGGTCTTGGTCTCACTCATGGTCTTACTAATGGTCTCCCTATTACCACTAAGATTCTGCTATTTCATTCGGAAAGATCCCAACGAGGAGTATCATCACTTATCCATCCCGATCTTATACAACTTTCTTGAATGGGCACTTAATTTGAGACGCGGTAAAAATGGGAGAAGACTTCCAGGGATCAAGTGCAAAAGCTCCTTGAACACGTTCTGGAAGGTGTTTCGGCTAGTTTACGAAAGGTCCATTTCAAAGAAGATCGGAAATCAGATGAACCGTCGGATGCGTCGAGTACGAGAGGCCCTTTTTACCCCTGCATAGCTAGCCTAGTCCCTTTCTCAAGGCTGACCCGGTACTGGATTTAGGTAATTCGACGTTTGGCTAAAAAGTACAAGTTGTCCATCAAAGGACGAGACAAGCCTCCTATGGATGTTCAGGACCTTGCAAAAGTCGTGGAGACCACCGTCAGCACAACAAAGAAAAAGTTCGGACATGGCCGCCACCGCATAGAGCTCGGGCTTTTCTTGCAGCTCGCAGGGCTCACGACTAACCGTCCGCAAGCCATCCTCGATCTGCGATATCGTCACATCCAAGTCAGTCTTCTCCGTGACCCGCAGGGTGGTCCACATCGAATTGTGATTGAGTTTACTTTTGAGTTCACAAAGGAGTGGCTAGGTGCTAAAGATGCGTGAGTACACTCAACTCTGCGCCGTCGTCTGTTACTGACAACTCCTTCAGAAACACTTACATTCTCCCCGAAATCATCTTCGATCCTTCGTTGGTTCTCAGTCCGCATGTATTCCTGTTAGGCCTTCTTTTTGCAGACCGTGCATTTGACCGTGTTGATGGCGAAGAGGTCCTGGTTCTTGCGAATCAGCTTCCTCGGCTTCGAATTCGTGACGAGTGTAACGAACTTCGGCTACAGATTGACCCGGCAATGGGTGACGTGCCAGTATTTCGGATGTCGGAACGGACTTTGAACGGGATCGGCATTTCACCCAACAAACCTCTCCCTTACTCAACCTTGGAACCATGGGTCAAGAAGATGGGCGTAATTACAGGGATTCGGCAAGTTACACGGCCCTACAGCTTACGCTATGGAGCAGGCACAGCTTTAGACAATAGTGGTAAGTTGCACTGCTCTCTCTTGCAAGATGGATCAACTGATATAGCTCCAGGTTCCGTCAGCGACTCCCTCCGCAATCTTGTGATGCATCACGCTGATACACGGACATTCTTGAAGTTCTACCTTAGTAGAAGAATCTCTAAGAACCTGCCCGCCATCATTCGTGGCCTGGACCCAGAAGAAGATATAATGCGCGCTGCTTGCCGAATGAGCCGAACTATCGACCCAGACCGCCCACAGGAGCTAACAACGGAACAATCCTGCTCCGTGAATCAAGAGCCGGAAATCGTCCGCTTGATGCACCAGCGCGATGAGATCAGACGATCTCTAGAGCGTCCTTTGTCAAAACACAAAGGTACACCGGACTACGATATGTACAGGAAATTGAATCAGGAATTGGCGGGAGCCAGGAAGCGCGCACAGGATACACTTCTTGCGCAGATTCAAAACAAGTATGACCGAGAACAGCCTATGCTAGAGATCAAGCGCCAATTGTCCGGGATTGCGCCAGCTGAATCCTCAAGTAAGCGGCTGAAGTGCTCCGTCGAGGTCCCTGTACCTCAACAGCGGTTGATCAAGAGTCTTTTGACTCTGCCACGCCCAACGATAGAGGAGGAGATGGCTCGAAGAACCGAAGCTATTGATTCAGTGGCTGCTTATTGTCAATTTCAGGAGGGCGACACCTGCCGTTTACCGCGGAATAAAAGATTAGAAGACCCTGGGAAACAAGTCGAGATCCATGATCAAGGCCAGCAGGAAAAGGAAAAGGCGGATAGCGCCATTCAACCAGAAACTCCCTTCGGACTTGCTCTTCGATCTGCTATGAAGGATCATCGACCCTTATTTTGCTTTATCTGTTTGGGCCAGCAAGACCTAGACCCTTCAAAACGTACTCAGAAATTTTCCTCTCATGGGGATGTCACCAAACACATCCAAAGGAAACATCTGAAAAAAATGAAGCCAAGCGAGACGATTGCGTGCAACATCTGCAATGAAAAGTTCACAGAAATCATGCATTTTCAGCGACATGCCAATGATACCCACAAGACTGTAACGGGACCTCTGTGGTGCGCAGTTTCTAGTTGATAGGTGTTTTTGCTGGTGTATAGGTGTAGACTGAGAATTTTGAATTTCCATCATAGATGACGTCGGTTTGCTGCAATCCAACCATAGACTTCCGTACAGCAGTTGGCATGGTAAATACTTTAGAGCTCGGCATGTCTTGCGATATACCGTAGATTGGGCTAACGGGTGTCTGAAACAGAAGAAAAATCCCAGACGGTCCAATATCTCAGTGACAATCACCTAAGCCAATAGTGAATATCGCATCGAAAAGGGTGCAATTGGAGGCACAATGAAGGGACACCTCTGGACTGTTTCATTTTGGCAATGATCGTTGAGTTCACATCGTTGATTGTGGGAAGATGATTTCGAGCAAACCGCTGTAAGCTAGTCGTTACAAATTACGATTATTGTTTGTTATGACCACACGTGCTTGTTGTAATACTGGTCGGTGCAGATCGGGAACAAAGCGCACCATCGGAAATAGGTCCCGAGGTTTATATTGCCTTGAAATTCTGTAGTCTAAGGAGCCGCGAACTACGAGTCTGAGTGATGAAACTGTAGTTAGTATGGTATCACAGCTAAGAACTATACTGCAAGCGACGAGTAAGACGGGCATTGGTCTGTAATGGCGCTAGGTCTATCAATCCCCTCCCGGCATTTGTTGTATTGAAAGCTCTGCTAGTCGGGGTGGAACGATTACTGTGTATTACAGCATAGTTCTTCCGGTATGGTTATAGTCACGATACAAAATACAAATCGATATTTGATGGGTAACAATAACCAAGTGTGACAATACCGTGCGGGGAACAGACAGAATTCCCCCCATCGGAATTGGCACCCGGTTTTGCCACCGCTGGATCAACCATGAGCCACCCCTGAGCCTACCCTGAGCCTACCCGGAGCCTACCCTGAGCTTACCATGAGCAACCCCTGAGCCTACCCTGAGCCTACCCTAGCCTACCCTGAGCCTACCCTGAGCCTACCCTGAGCCTACCCTAGCCTACCCTGAGCCTACCCTGAGCCTACCCTGAGCCTACTGTCGGCCATAACTTACGAATACTGTATAAAACCGGATCTATAGTTGCTCCGAGTTTCATTGATTATGTAATTAGATCAGCCCCATAAATTGACAGAGGAAGGGGTAATAGCAATACAGAGTCATCAACATCATCCATTGGTCGAGGACAGTACGGTAAAACAACAGTTATGAGCCCGGTTCGCCATCAATAAATTCATCGGAAAGCATTAAGAAGCTATTCAAAACCAGAAAGCATCTAGTACGCAATAAATCCGACGAATCCCAACGAAAAACCCCTTGTTTACATTTATCGACCGACCTTCTTAATCCGAATCCTGCTACAATTGCTTCATTAGCAATACATCCATCTGCTTCATTAGCAATGGACACAGCAACGATGCTCTCCGCTATCAAAGGCGACAAATTGAAAGATTCGTCACAATGGCGAGTATGGTATAAGCGAGTGAAGGCATTCGCAGTACAACGTTCGGTATGGGACCTCTGCAATCCAGAAGTAGAGATATCCCACCGACCACGGGCTCTCATTGAGCCAATTGAACCTGAATACCCTCAGCAAGGTTCTCAGGAAAATAAGAAAGATTGGAGAGACCTACTTGAGGTCTATAAGATCAAGGCAAACCGCTGGGAAAAGCAGCGAAAAGGCCTAAATGAGGTGAATGAACTCATTATCATTTACCTCGACACGTCAATTCGTGATGCAGTACTAGAGTACGATACTCCGTACGATCGTCTAGTATATCTTAGTCAAAGATTTGCTAGATCTCATGCGTATAAGGAAGAGATTCGTATGAAATGGAGAGCTTTCTCGATCCAAAAACCGATTGGAGATATCGAGAAATGGCTGATATCTTGGGATGAATTACGAGAGCAAGCAATGACCCTCGAACTTCCTGAGGTCCAAAGTGCGAATCAAGATTTCCTACAGGCTATCAAAGAGGTTTTACCTATCTGGTGGCAGGCAAAATATGAAGATATCGTGATGAATAGGACGATAATAGATACGCGAAAGCTAATCGAAAGCTTCCGTTCTATACATCGTGAAATTAGTACGACAATGCCTACCTCACCGACATTGAAAGGGTCCTTCTCTACCTGGCAAGGTCATCAAGAAGCTAAACAAGAAGACGTGCCATTTGACAAGAGACCATGCCCATGCGGCATGAAGAACCACGGACCTGCTAAATGCTATTTCCTCAATGAGGCAGTGAGACCTCGAAGCTTTACTATCCCTAGCGGGAAATTAGAGAGCATTGAGAGGACACTGGCGGCCGATCCAGCATGGAAAAAATGGACAGAGAATATCATCCAGAAAGCGCAAACCTCAACAAGTATAAAGGTTCATCAAAACCTCTCATTCTCAAGCATCGGTATCCCGGCATTAACTACATCACTCCGACACCGATGGATCCTTGATACTGGATCCGGCGTACACGTGTGTAATGACCGAAGCAGCTTCGTGGACCTAGAAGCTTGCCAAGAGGTTCTATCAACCGGAGATAGTAGCACCGACATCATCGGACGCGGTACTGTGAGACTTACTGGCATTGACCCGAAGACCAAAAAGAAGCAGACGATTACCCTAAGCAATGCCTGCTACGCACCTGGGTTCCATGTAAACCTAGTGTCGTACGCTAGACTGCGAGAAAAAGGAGGGTTCTGGTCTGAAAAGAAGGGTTTTATCGAGGATAGCAATGGCTTCCCAATCGTGAGCTTACGTTTATGGAAAAACGTTGGATTATGGGTCTTTGACCAAGAAGGCTCTAATCAAGAATCTTATCTGATGGCAAATGCCGTTAGATCATCATCAACACAGCGAATTAAAGGTGCATCGGCAGAGCTATGGCACCGTCGCCTAGGTCATCCACAATATAAGACAGTCCAACAAATGACTAAACTAGTCGATGGAGTCAATATCGATGGCAATGATAAAGCGCAAGCAATCTGTGAAACCTGCAACCTAGGACGTTCTAATCGGCAAATATCAAGAAGACCAATTGGACGTACGTTCGGACGTTTTGGAAGGGTCCATTTTGATCTGATTCAACTTCCAGTTGCTTACAATAAGCACCGCTGGATTACGCATTTTTACCTCGATGGTATCAGATTTCATTGGCTGATGACGCATGAATATAAACCCGAGTGTCAGATTGCTATCAATCAGTTCGTGCAATTGGCCAAGAATTGGTGGAACCTACCAATTAGGGCTTTTTCCTATGACAATGAAGCCGCTGCAGGACGCCTAGCAGAGCAGAGCTTAACGTCGGATGGCATTGTCATTTACCATAGCCCACCAGGACATCCAGAGATGAATGGATATGCCGAAAGATCAGGGGGTGTCATCATCCAACGAATGAGGATGCTAATGCTCGAAGGCAAGCTCCCAAAAGAGCTATGGCCAGAAGCAGCAATGGCCGCAATATGGCTATTGAATCGGACGCCGACGTATCTCGCCACAGAAAATCGCTGGATCATCCCATGGGCCGAAGTCGTGAAACAGTTTACAGCCACAGGTGATATTCCGCCAAGAATCAACCTCTCAAATGTCAGGTTATACGGAAGCCTTGCGTACTGTCGAATTGACAAGCAAGTGCAATCAGATAAGATGAATCCCCGCGCTGAAATTGGATTCATGGTTGGCTATATAGCTTCAAATATCTGGAGGATCTGGTTCCCGCAGTATGGGAAAGTGAAACTGGTCAGGGACGCGATATTCGATGAAACGCGAAGATACTCGCCAGATTTTCAACAGCTTCAGCCGGTTCCATTGCCATTGGTCAAAGAACCTCAAGAACTAGATCAAGATCAGGCTGCAGCAGCTATCCAGGCATCGATAATAACTGGATCAGTGCCAGATCTAGAACCGAGAGATAACGCCAATGATGACAACGTCCATGACAGCATCCAACAAGGAGACCGTTTTTCGGCCGAAAAACCGACGCCTATTCTTCAGGGGGTGTATACAACACCAGACCGTCAAACATCGGATCGACAAATTGACGTTATATCGGACGTTCCAGGCGCATTCCCGCGAGAACCTCCGCTGCCGCCTACTCCAGCATCCCTTGCAACTGATCAGGGGGTGGAGACAGCACCGGCAATGATAATACCGGAGTCAGAGAATGATCAGCTCCAGGGCTCAGCGGATTCCGACGAAGAAGCTGAACTGCAGCTACAGGCAGGACTACTAGCACCTAGGAATATTAGTGGAAATATCGAAGAAGGGAACATTATCTCAGGACCACGAAGAAGGCAGGCAAAGAGGGACGATGCCTACGCCTACAGCGCTATTGCTATAACTGAGCCACCAGCATATCTTCATGCTTTCGCGGCCGGTTTATACGCAAATAGGCCAATTAAGCGTCACAGAGATGACCTTCCAGAACTCCCAAAACACTGGAAAGATGTCATAAATCATCCATTCCAAGAGGGTTTCCTAGCCGCAATGAGAAAGGAGATTAACTCTCTCACGGAGAAAGCGACATTTGATACTGTGGACTGTCCGAAGGACCGAGGAAAGCAAATCTTGCCACTGCTCTGGGTCTTTGCCTATAAATTTGATCAAGATGGATATCTGATTAAGCTAAAAGCAAGGATCTGTGTTAGTGGAGACCTCGAAACTATATCATCGGACGAAAAGAGAGCTGCTACGCTAGCAGCTAGAACGGCCCGCATGATCTTCGCACTCGTGGCTGCATTTGACCTCAATCTACGACAGCGAGATGCGGTCACAGCTTTCCTAAATAGTAAGCTAGAGAAGGATGTCTATACACGATCACCGGAGGGGTTTGAAACTCCAGGAAAATGCTGGAAGCTCCGAAAGGCCCTTTATGGATTGAGAATCTCACCACGCCTATGGCAGCATGAAGCATCGCGAGTGCTTAGCCAACTAGGTCTACAGCAAGTCCCAGAGGACCCCTGTGTTTTTATAGGAGATGGACTCATTGTCTTCTTCTACGTGGATGATATCCTAATTGCAAGTCAT